TCTATGACAGTGGAACGATGCTCCTGCTTCAGACATTCATTTCCATGATTGGATTATGTTGATCCGAGTTGATTTGGCTGAGTTACGCTCATACAAGGTTACTTCAGTTGAGCAACATAGAGCATGGTTAGATGTGTGGATTGATGTAAACCCTCTTTGGCTGTATCTCGGTCAAATCAACTCGGATCAACATAATCCAATCATGGAAATGAATGTCTGAAGCAGGAGAATCGCTCACATGTCATAGAGTGGACAACAGTGGCTATTGTGAAGAAATGGCTGTTAGCTCGCAATGTACGGGCTTTTGTCAACAGTATACAGTATCATCCTTCCATCCTTCTAGTCATGCAAAGTAGCTGAGTTACACAAAGAGGTCCCTCCGCGTTTTTTGCTCTGCCAGGGTCCAGCGACTTGACATTGAACAAAGACCATTCTTCATATAGCATCACGCTTACAAACATAAAGGTGCCTGTATCTCCAAACTTTACAATCAAACGTGGGGTTTTGAATAGAGCAATGGGCTCGGCTTGGCCAACAGCACCTTGTGTGAAAGTTTCGCGTTCAATGTCGCAACTAGCCCAAAAAATATTTTTTGGTCGCCGTCGTCGAAGAGGTGGACCCCCAGATCCAGTTTGGCTGGTAGCGACATTGCGAAATCTGGGATTGGCAAGCTTGATCGTGAAACTGGCACCCAAGGTGCAGTTGGCCAAGCCGAGCACATTGTTCTATTCAAAACCTCACGTTTCATTGTAAAGTTCGGAGATACAGGCACCTTTATGGTTGTAAGCGTGATGCTATATGAGAAGTGGTCTTTGTTCATTGTCAAGTAGGTGGACCCTGGAGAGCCAAAGATGCAGAAGGACCTCTTTGGGTAACTCAGCTAAAAAGTCAGGACTTCAGGGACAATGCATGAAAGGTACGCAACCCTCACTTTTATGTCATACATTGGCAGCTAATAGCCACTTTTGTGCATTCCCAACTTTTGTGCATTCTATTGTAGGTGGACGATGCTCCTGCTCTAGACATTCATTTCCATGATTAAAGTAGGTTGATCCGAGCTGATTTGGTTGAGTTACGCTCACACAAGTTTACATCGGTTGAGCTACATCGAGCGTGCTTGATGTCCAGAGTGATGTAATCTCTCTTTGACCGCAGCTCGGTCAAATCAGCTCGGATCAACCTACTTTAATCATGGAAATGAATGTCTAGAGCAGGGGCATCGTTCCCATGCAGTGGATCTCGCAACAATGATGATTGGATAAAAGTGGCCGTCAGCTAGCAATACATGCCTGTTCCTAGATGATCCATAAAGTAATTATACATTGACCCTTTCATTCATGCAAGCGTAGCTGTGTTACACAACACGACCCTCTGCATCTTTTGCTCTCCAGCGTCTAGCTACTTTACATTAAACAAAGACCGCTTCTCATATAGCATCACGCTTACAAACATAAAGGTGCCTGTATCTCCAAACTTTACAATGAAACGTGGGGTTTTGAATAGAGCAATGGGCTCGGCTTGGCCAACAGCATCCTGTGTGAAAGTTTCACGATCAAGCTTGCCAATCCCAGATTTCGCAATGTCGCCACCAGCCAAACTGGATCTGGGGGTCGACCTCTTCCACGACGACGACCAAAAAAATATTTTTTGGGCTAGTTGCGACATTGAACGCGAAACTTTCACACAAGGTGCAGTTGGCCAAGCCGAGCACATTGCTCTAATAAAAACCCCGCGTTTCATTGTAAAGTTTGGAGATACAGGCACCTTTATGTTTTCAGTATGCTGTAAGCGTGATGCTATATGAGAAGTGGTCTTTGTTTAATGTAAAGTAGTATGACTATAATAGAGCAAAAGATGCGGGTGGTCCTGTTAGTGTAACTCAGTTGAAAAGGGAGGGTTGAAGAGTCAATGTTATTATTGGAGAACGCATGATAGTTCCGATGGATCAATCTCCTCCATTGTTCAGGCACAATCTCAAGCGAGACATGCTGGTCATGTTACATACTCATTGTTGTAGCTATTAGGATTCAATCCTTTTGTAGTGGCAAAATGGCTGATATTATTATAAAGCAAGAGAGAATGTACAAGGATTGCAGGGAAATCATATGTGAGCATGAATGAATTTACAATACGTTGATGGTGTGTGTATGAGATGCGTGAGTGGATGGTGTGTTAGAGTGTAATAGTGAAAAAGGTGTGACTAAAAGAACAACACTGACAAGAGTACAACAGCCCAAAGTGCTACCAGGGTCTCTGACATGTTGTTTGATGACGCTGGCGTTGCTTCGGATGTGTCTAGATTCTTTTTACTCTTGGATATGGCATGGTTGTTATTCTTGTCGTCGCATACAGATGGCATCTTGCCTGATTTGACATTGCCCGCTGTGGTGTAGTTGGTGTTACTTAGCACTGTTGAATAGCCCATTGAATCCAATATTCTCAAAACGCCTGGACCGATGGGTGATTGGTATACGTGCTGAGTATCAGTGTTGTTGACATTCACATTGTAATAAATTGTTGGTAGATGTTTGTAAGCTTCTTGCACAATGTCTTCAATGGATTGGCCTCTGATGTACGATCCTGTCATGAGAAAATCGGGCGTGGTCGAATAGTTTTCATCCAAATGTGAGATGGCAATCCCAAGTCGAAAATTCCGATTCGATAGCTCCATGTGCGAGGTCAATAGCTGGTCGCCTGTCAACAATCGCATCACTTTGTATGTCTCATTCAGGTACGAATTTGTATTATAGCTGCTGTTATCGATTGCTGATGGTGGGAAATGAAAGCTGAGCGTATTTTCTTCACTCATCGAAGTCCAAAGTCGATTGGCGTTGCGTGATTGATTCGATCGGTTGAACTCTTGGATGAAATTGATGACAAAGGATTGCGTGTCCTGAACACAAAAGTTTTGCATATCAAATCCAACAGCTGCCAACGATAAAGGATCTGAGCGATTGGATTGTGGGTTGATGCTATAAAGGAACTTGTCGAATATCATTGTCGGTTGAAAGCCTGTGACAAAGATGGGACCGGTTTGCTGTTTGATGAACCAAAAAGGGCTGGGTGTCACAAGTTGTAGCTCATCTGGATCGATGATGCCATTGATCAATGCTCGAAAGGGTGATGCCGCATTTGCAAAATAAGCTGCCCATGAACTCAAGAAGCCAACGCCATGTAAGATCTCATGAAGCATGATATATCTCAAGTCGATTTGATCCGATGCAATGTTGCTTGAATCATCCTATTTACGTATATACGTTAATTGCTCTATTCAAAATCCTCACCAATCCCTTCCCAACTTACTTTAAAGTAATAGATTCCTCCTGCAGGAACACCGGTACCATTCCATCCATCCTGATGTGCCTGTTCCTGATTGATTGAATTCATATAAATGTCATGGTTGATCTCCAAAGCAATGTCATGATTTGCCCATGCTGAAGTGTTGCTGTAAGGTGCCAATTGTTTTGCTAGTGCCTGTGGGTATATGTAGTTGAGATCTGCACCATCTTCAAAAGGAAGGGTAAACTGCAACAAAATAAGTAATGCGTAAGTCTGATGATTGGGTATTCAGGAGGCGGTGCAAGTAGTAATCTTTTTTACCTGCGAAGACGGGGCTCCCCATCCAAATGTATCATTGGCACAACCCTTTTCACAAAAGCTGTAATAGGTCGCTTGTATCCTGTAATGATATGCATATCCTCTTAGTCATTTTTCCCATACATGGAATAAGAAGATGTTCAATACTTACAACAAGTCATTCTTTATATTTACAACGTCGTTGAACATTTTGGCAGCATCCTGCAATGCCCCTGCCACCTTGCTGCAGAATGCATGGTCAATCACGCAGAAAAGATTCACTTGAACATGAGGGCTGGCTTCCAAACTGAAATCAGGCGTCCTATTGGAGTTGGTGCTAGAGATGGTGCCGTCGTCATTGCCATTCAATGTTGTCTTTTGCTTGGATGAAGCTACTGAGCTACTCGATGTCGGTAAACTATCGGCGGATATAGATAGATCCCTTGCAGCTGTCGATACGGTGTTCATATCAGCCACGATAGGATACACCTCCTGTGTCTTATGGTGTGCCTCCACTTGATGATAAACATTATCTTCCTCCTCCTCTTCTTCTTCTTCTTCGTTGTCGTCATGGTCGTTGTCATGGTCGTCGTCATTGTCTTTATAGTTGTCATGGTTGTGGTGATGGTGATGGTGGTGGTTTCTGTGATGGGCTTGTTGAGTGTCCTTATTGGAATAGGAGGAGGTGTCCACCAGGATTTCGTTGTGAATCAGCTCAGCATTGTCATGGGCGCAAGTTGCAGTGAAGAGAGCAGCAATGAATAGAAGCAAAGTGGGAATGACAATGCGTGCTCCACTGGTCATGACCTCCTTGTACGGTATCGCTGAAGGGGGAAAAGTGTGTATATGGAACGAAAAGAGTGAGACAGTGTGGAAAGAAAATGGGTGTCGGTGCTACACAACAAGGGATTTGCAGTTGCACTGACTAAAAAGTCCGCAGTAGTAAATCCCCACCCCCAACTTGCCCGTTAACATTCATTGTTGTATCTGGTAATATGACATAAAAGAGCATGAACATGTTGTAAATGTTGCCATTGTATACCAAAAAAGGGGGGCAAATGAAGGAAAAGAGGAGATCAAGTAACAACATGTTAAAATGTCCATAGACAATGAATGACGTTGTCCCAAACACCCAAAGCAGCTTGTGTCACCCAACGTCGATCAGTACCGAGGTTTTGAGTGCGTGGATCTTTTTCCAAAGCCCCGATTCACCCAATGATTTCTACCTTTCAGAAAATAGAACATCATCTTTGATCCAATCATTTGATGCAGAATCATCCTTCACACCATATCCCCTTCTTCACAAGTACTTAGCTATCTATCTCCACCATAATTTACAATCGATTATGACTTTGATGAAAAAGTACAACGTTGTACAGAGATTCACAGACCACAAAGAGACTCGCTGGTCACACCTTTAATTGGCATGTGCACGGCATCATCATTCATAATGCTCAAAAGTGGCTTACAGTATATGGCTAATCTCCTCGATCAGCTGATTTCCATCATATACATGACGAAATACATGTTGTGCATGAATACAAAGAATACCACCATCATCATAGTACGATGCAATCGTGGGATTTATTATTACATTAAACGCTAAAGATACGTAGCATAAGACAATTAATGTTCGCCTTGGAGAATATCCTTGAGACCATTGCAAATGGCCTCCTCTGTTGGCACGTAAAAGAAAACAATGCACGGATGTATAAGCAAATAGAGATAATAGTGATGATGGGTATCTTTGACTTACCAAATTTGTTATCGGGTTTGGTATCAACGACAGGAGCTGGTGGTTCAGAGAGTGTCTCTGGGCAATCGGTGCGTGGCTTGTCAAGCGAGATGGCATGCTCAAAGGTACCAGCCCAGGCATCACGTTTAGTCAAATGATTGGGAAGGTTGAATAGCTATGGGTTGCACACGTTAGTCATCTACCGAACACAATACATATATAGATGTTACCTTTTTGATGGTGGCAGGAATAGAAGAATGCTCGTATTCTGAATTCTTGGAAGGACCATTGGGAGCATGAATGACACCACCCTTTTCGACCCAGGGAGAAATCAAAAGTGTTGGTACGCGAACACCCAATCGATCAAACTTGAAGCCATCAGTTTCCTTGCCATCGGGATTGGGAACTAGATAGATCTATGTGAGCCTCAAAACATGTACCAGTTCATGGCATATACGTACTATCCTTCAAGGGGGTAGGTACATGATCATAGTAACCGCCATGCTATACATACAACGTATACCCGTGTTAATCCCAAGTCAAGCCATTCATAACAATGTACGCGTAAACTTACCTCATCATACGTAACAATGAACAAGGTTTCATTCCATTGGGGTGATGCACGAAGAGTCTCATAGATTTCTTTAAGCAGCTTTTCACCCTCAGCGACATCAGCGGGTGGATGGTTGTCATTTTCAGGGATACATTCGCCAATGGAAAAGTAGGCAGGGTCAATAAAGGTCATGGGTGGCAACTTGCCATCAGCAGCATCGCTCTTGAATGTTGCCCAATTATGATAGTTCTTGAGGTAACCAAGACGTAGCTTGTTGAAAATGAGCAAGGAAGGAATAATTTGATAATAGTTGGCCCAATCGATACCAGCATCTATTGTTCACTCATCAACCATTATTGCTCACACATGGGCCATCCATCATCATCATCATCATGCACGTACCTGCCAGGTTGTGATAAATAGTACGCTGAGAATAGCCACCAATGTACTTCCAGCCATCAGTCACCATCTATGATGATCATCATGTCGAGTGAGCCAAAATAAAGATACGATCAACCATCATCCCAAAGAAAACTTACCTCGCCATCGGATGTAGCCGAATGCACAAACATACGATTGGGCATAGTGGAACCAGGGAAAGACGAGAACCAACGATCAAAGATGGTATAATTGCTTGCAAGCTCATAGGTAATGGGGATGGATGAAGGGTCAAAGCCATTCATTGCTTGTGCCATGGCAGTTTCGTTTCCAGCGACCTCTGGGAATTGCTTGACAAAACTAGCAACAAATCCACCCATGGAAGTATCATGCAACTGGGCACTGGTAGGTGTGGTCTCATTGCCAGTGATCTGTTGGGTGACCCATTCATGTTCATGAGGTGGGTCTCTAGGATCCTTGAGTAAGCCTTTGTTGGTAGCGTAAATCTTGGTACTAGAAGAATTGGTTGGGTCCTCGAGATTGAATTCCTTTCCTGTAAGGCCGTCGATTTGATCCGAATATCTGGTCCACGCATGAATTTGTGATACGTGAGGAAGTTAATTCCAACAAGACACACACACGATCATGTGCTCACTTACTTGAACCATCCAGCCATACGATCAAAAGATCGATTTTCCATGACCAACAAAACAACATTCTTAATCTTGCCTGATGCACCATTTTCTATTATGCAACATGGTGTGTTTTAGAATATATTTATGATGATGGATTTTGTAGATAGGACATCAAGGCCAAGGTTGACGATTAGTTACCGGCTTGATCTTTGAGAATGAAGGGTGTAGCATCAACATCCTTTTCACCAAGGTTGCCTAATTCCCACTATACAGCAATTTGCATGTGAAATTTCTGTGAGTATAATGACAATAGTATAATGCGCGGATATACAGCCTTACGTTGTCTTCAACGGATCTGAGAATAGAATAATGGTCGTACTTGACGCCATCAGTGAGTGCGCTTCTCTTCACAGCAGGTCCCAGGAGTACGGTGAGAACTTGATTCTTTTTGACAACCCAAGTCTTGTTTTCATCCCAAGTAATAACAAATAGGGTGTTTTCGGTAAAGGCCTTTTCCTTGAGACGAGGCTCAAGCCACGACTTGGTCCAGTTGGATGCGAATTCGAGTGAGGTGTCTATGGCATAGCCAATGTTGAGTAATCAACGTGGTGGGTTCTTTCAATGTTTCACTTACCATGACCATCGTTGTTGATCTAGATGAACCCCATATGGGATGGGTATGATTAATAAAGTTACCTTGATTGCAAAAAGTAAAATAATGTACTCACATCAGGGGTGTAGTAGACAAACTGGGGGACGTCATTGTTGGCAATGTCTTTGTCAAGCTGGTCAGCGTTGACAATATTGTCACAGCGGGTGGTGTTGGAAATGTTGGTGAAGGACATGAAGGGATTGTGCTTGCGATAGTAGGTACCATTCTTACGGCCTTGGAAGCAATCACCTAATAGAATGGCCACCAAGAGAAATTAGATCAAGGGCATGAAGGTGCATAGATGTATTGTACATACCTGGATACCCTTCCATGTAGGCTTTCCAAGAGATGTCTCTTGTTTCGAGGAGATCTACAATCGACTTGCGATCGATGTCCGAGTTGGTATCCAAGACGACGCCATCGGTGGAACCACTGATCATGCCAACCTATTTTATCATCATGTGTGTAACAAGCATTAGGGCACTTGCTCCGTTATACATATACCATGATGATGATGTCAACTTACATAGTTGGGTTGCGAGGGATGGGTCAAGCCAAAGTAATTGGTAAGTTGGATGCCTAATAGAAAAGAGAGAGAGAATGAGCCTATGGCATTGAGCACAATAGTAGTAATTACCATCATGTCTTTCAGCCAGGGTCGAGTAGTAAGGATCGGCAGCAGCGTCTTCATAATCTTGATTTTCAAAGACGACAATAACAATGCGATCAAAATCCTTGCCAGGAACAATCTTGTTCTTTTTGGGTGCAGTGGGTGCAGCTGAGACCGAGGACAGCACCATGGCTGCTGCTGGCAGCAGTGCAAGGAACGATGAGAGGAGCCTCATAGTAAATGAGTGGGATGGGATAAAGGTTTAATGGGACAACCGATCGCCTATGGCGTGGATGGCTTTATATATGACCCTGGGAACAACATTGATTGTGACACTCTTTAAGGGTGACAAGAGAATATTGATGCGTGCAACACAGCACAAACGACAAGCTCTTGTGAAGCATTGTGTGCAAGATACAGAGCATTCATTCGCCTATGTACTTGGGCAATGTTGCTTTTCTGAGTAATTTGCCCAACCATGATCCACAACAGTGTGTCCCATCGAGCATAATTATGCCACCTTCTTTTTTCATATGCTTATCATTGCGCTACGTCAAACAAATGACACATCTCTTTCATTTTAAGCAGCGAGCGTATAGGAGAACCAATACTACGGGCATGTGGTCAAAGTGTTAAATTATACAACCGGCAAAACTAGGGGAGCGGTGATGTGATGCTATTTAGCTGTGCGCATGATGAACATCCTTGTTTTGATTGAATCAGAAAATTAAGCGTTGTACAATTGCACAAATGTGTACTACGTGAAAGTATACTACAAAGCGTTTATTGACCATCTTTAGCATCGGGCTTGTCATAAGGTTGATGCGCTTGTTGTTGGCCATAATAGCCACCAGCAGCACCCACATTATACTGATGATAATAATCGTAATCGGCTGAGGGTGGATTCTGCATCGTGGGGGATGTACTAGCAGGGTCCGAATAAGCTACGGGCGATGTAGGTTGTTGTTGATGATGTTGCTCATAGCCGTAATGGTGAGGCTGTGGTGCCATTGCACCTCCAACAGCATTGGTCGCGTTATAGTACTGCTCATGAGCATAATCAGGTCCGCCACCACTCACAGTCGAATGATCTTCCATGTAAGGGTAGTACTCTGGTTGCTGTGCAGCACTTGGAGACCAATTGTTGTAATGATGTACAGGAAGTGGAGGCTCAGGCTCAACGTAATAACGTTCACTATCCATACCACCTGCTGTACCTGGAGGTGGGAATGCACGTGCTGACATGGTCGGTGTATGTTCCATCATTGTAGGCGACCATTGTTGGTTTGATGTTGTCTCTGTTTCATAGCCATGGCTGTTAAAGATCATGTCATCACGTTCACGTTGTGCACGACGTTCACGACGTTGCTTGCGTCTTCTGATCAAGAGAAATGCAATCAAACCAGCTACAAACATATGACAAGGTTGTTATTTCCCATGCTCAGGTTTATGCAAATGATAGAAAAAGCAAAACTTACCAATGAGAGCAACACCCACAACACCTCCCACAACGCCACCTGCAATTGCACCTGTGTTGGTCGAATTATCAGATGCTGCTGCTGATGTCACTAGTAATATGAAATTTTTGTTGTCAATGGTCACATCAATGATGCTTATTTTTCAAAGTTTCAGCATACCTGATGGTGAGGCACTTGTTGAGCTTGAGGCACTTGAGCTACTGGATAAGGATTCAATCGCCGAAGATGTAGTTGTCTCAGATGATGAAGATGGTGTTTGGCTGGTTGTAGTAGGTGCAGCTGTAGTAGTGGTTGGTGGAACACTCGATGTTTCAGGCTGTTGAGATGATGATGGAGGAGCCTGTGTAGTAGTGGGTTGTGGAGGTTGATTACTTGTAGTAGGTTGTTGTTGATTACCATCGGATGGCGATTGAGTTGGTTGCTGCGGATTGTTACCAGATGAAGGTTCATTATTATTGGCGGCAGTTGTAGTAGGATCAACAGGTGCGGGTGTAGTCGGGTCTGGTTGGTTGTTGCCATTGTCGGGAGTGGTATTACCATCACCAGAGGATGCGGTTGGCTCTGAGCTACTATCACCATTACCGCCGCCGCTACCAGCGCTTGGTGTATCATTGGCATTAGCATCATTGCTACCACCACTAGTGCTGCTGTCGCTGCCACTGTTGGTAGCACCACCACTGCTAGCATCCTAATACATGTGTACATATGCACGTGAGTAAACTTTTAATATGACAGCATTACGTAATTTAGATAAACAAACATACGTTGGGGTCTTGACCTGCTGCTGCACCAGGGGATGAAGTACCACCACTGTTACTGCTACCACCATCACCACCAAGAGTTGGCAAACTACGATGATGTACATAGCTTAGTGACATGTGCTATTGGTGCATTCTTCCTATTACTCACTCATCGAGAGATGGTGCTTGTCTACGTTGAAGATGGTTGTTCATATCGGATGCATAGAAGGGTGACATGTTGTAATGACCGTCAAAGAGAGAAAAATGAATGGCGTGGAGTATGAATGCAGAAAATTATGTAACAAGTGTAGTAAATGAAGGTAAAGAAGACGACGACTGAGCCTGCAGCAACGCTTCTTCTCGAGTAGAAAGGAGAGGAAAGGAGAAAGTGAGAGAAAGGAGGAAAAAGTCTGGGTCGTTGACCTGAAACAAATTGAAAAAGTTTAACAGCGGGCTTGTCAATCAAGTATCCAACAAAACGCATGTACCAACCACTACGTATACTCCCCCCATCATGTAAAGGGCGGTCATGTGTAACATTCTCCATGGTATCATACACCCCTCCTGTCTGCTGTATAGGTGCATACGCATAGAGGTTGATCTTTCATTGATGCTGATGCTCACGTTTATTGTTGCTTGTCAATCCATTATTGTGGGTAGCGATATTTGGCGGGATGGGGGAAACAAAAGCCGACGTGTTGTAATGAGATGTCTCAAGCATTGTTGTCCAATGTGATGATGATGAACATGCTGATGGTACTACTGGTGGCAGCGATAGCGCTGATTCGGATGACTTTTTTTTCAAATGCTGATGGCTGTAAAAGACTCGACAAGGAAGAAGGAACAATCAATCCCATTATACCACGTGAGTCGGAGAACCGATGCATGACCTGATAGTAATGTCAAAAAGGTCCCTGCCCGACCATTTGAAAACCAAACTTGATCACATCCATTTGCGCCCTGGTATTTTGGTTGTTTTCAAAGGTGACGATCGGAATGAACAAGGCATTATGCCACGCCCTGTTGCCAGCTTATGGACGTTGATACCCGCATCTGATGCTGGTGATGATGGTGATGGTTTGTCCCTGTCGCCCATTGAATCATCGAGCACATGTAGCGATATGCTTTCATTTAAGGTAAGATTTCATTGAACGGTGCTGACAGCTGCCATGGATCATTATGTCCTTTGTAAGCCGATTCCTTCCACGTTTGTAAATCAACCCCTCCTCCTACGGAGTCATCACGCATGAAGGAACGTTGTAGATGTTGTCCTCTGATAACAAAGGCGATTTGAGTACTGTACATTGCATTGGGCTTTGATTTCACTTGACGACGCCTTTGACAATCGCTGGAATAAAGAGAGCGAGCGTGTGTGTGCGAAATAAGGTCATAAAGTCAACGTGGGTTGCACCATCGGCAATAGTATGGCGTGTTGCATGTTTGTTGATGCATTCAAACCTTTGACACTGCGCCTCTCCTTGTGTACCCAAGCACAATGCGGCAATTGACTATATTTGGTGGAAAACGTGTTGCCATGCCAACCCCCATATTTAGGCACAAAGCGTATCGATCTTGACAATCCTTCATGTTCATCGATAGTGAGGACCATCAGCAACAAGGCAAATCATGTACGTGACGGGTGATAAAATGGGTTGGTCTAGACCGCTTGGGGGTTCAAGAAATGTCATAAAAGATAGCGTGGATTGCAGGATCAATTGATCAAAAGAAGCGCCGATTTTGCAAAAGAGTGGCTGAAGCGCGCGCGCGCTTAACAAAGATTATCACCATTGGCATCGCAAAATGTGAACTCGTATCAATGACCGATCCGAGAAAAAAGAACCTTCTCCCCAAAGAAAATGAACAATGAAAGCAACTCCTTCCTATTTCAGATACACGGCCACGAGCCAACGAATATGCACAGGTTGTATTGTAGAGGTTATAATAATATAGTACAGTCGCGTGAACTTGGGTTGGAGCTGGTAGTACACGGTAGGTGGTGGTTTGGGGGGGGGAGAGAAGAGAAGATATCAATGGGATTGGTCCATGGAAAACGATTTGTATAGGTCCCAAGATGGTATTTCTTCAATGACCCTAAGCCGTTTGGGACTTCTGGAAGCGATATCATCCACAATCACAAAGTTTTGGCGTGTATAGCAACATTGTCGCAACAACCTCTCCATTAACGAAACCGCTGAGTCATCCACCGGGGTTGGTGCAACGCCGCTTTCGCCTTGATTCTACCAGGAGAAATGGATGATTAGAAACAAAGCGTATAAAAGTGCATAACAACACTACTCACCTCTTCCGCCCAATCATGTACTAGCTCGCATTCATTGCACAAAAGTATTGACTTGAGATGTAAAAGTGCCATCCGTACCCTGCGAATATCATCCAACATTATCATCGTGCTCCTTGTAATGAAAAAGTGAAGGTACTTACTGTGAGGCATTCTGGCTATCCATTCTCCGAGATATGCGATCAAGAATATCATCTCTCAACACAAACTTCCATTCACCATTTGCTGGATTCAAATTCAACTACAAATCGATCCAACGTGAGTCGACATTCCACCTTGACAACAAAATGTACATACCCGTCGAGTGGCATCCGCTATGCTATCAAGGATGGTGGGTTTCTCAAGAATGTTTTCCAGGTTGGTAGTAATAAATCCACCTAACAAAGCCATGATGAGTTTCCCTATTCCATCCAGGATGTCCTTCTCCTACTTACCCGTGTATTCAGGAAATATCCGTTTCACTGGAGGCATTTTTGGCGTATCCAAATCGCAAATCCCAAACTCCCAAAAAGAAGGTTGCTGCCATGATCGCTTCCATGTTGATAGATCACGTTGGAAACGGCAATCTTGGTATCGGTCGAGCTAACCACATGGGGTGAGTAAAGTGTTAGAAGGATGGCTGATTTCAACTTACAAGGACCACTTTTCGCTGGGTATGGTTTATTTTCTTTGCCCTGAAAACTTGATATGCTTGTCTCAATTCGGCTGCCCATTTTGAATGTCCACAGACCACAATGAAAGTATCGCGCTTGATCTCCTCTAAAAGCTATTATCAAATCGAATCAGCATATACACTCGTCATTGTCATTGATATATAAAAGACTTGCCTCGACAGGAAATTTGAGCGCCAAAGTCATGGTTTGCCATTCAAAGGATTTACCAGGTGTCGTGTTGGCAAACATGTCAAGATTGAGATAGCCCTTCAATAATGGTGGTTCCGGAGGAATCGAAGGCAGATAAATGACCAGCATGTTATGGGGTAACCAAGCGCCCTTGAGTCTCCATCCCTTTTCCATCGCTTCCGAATGAGGTATCACAGCCAAGACTTCACAAGGTTTTGAGGGTCGTAAAATCAAGCCTGCCTTGAAAAGATCATTTAGTACAATGCATCACTCTTTCCATACTATGATCCCTCCTCCCACCGCCAATGATACTTACCATCCTGTTGATTGTCAAGAAACTTCGGCATTTGGCAAATTGTACACTACCAGTCGAACCAGGTGTCATCATCATGATACTTGCTGATTGTGAAAAGAAGCGTTGGAGGATGTTGAGTGCCAAGAAGGATCGAATCTGCAGCTTGTTGTTTGTACTGAGTCGATTCAGCATTTCCTTGACACGAGGTACATGTGGAGCTCGACCAGCGATCGATTGAATATGAACATCCATTGTTGCAATACCGCCGGCAGTATCAGGAGGTTCAAGCTGTCCATTCCATTCAAAGGATTGCTGTTCAGGTGTTGTACTAGTACTTGTTGAAGGTGTTTGTGATGGTGATGGTGATGGTGATGGTGAATCGTTATTATTACGTCGAGATGATGCGCTATTGGTGGTGATGGATGGTATTGCTTTTACACGTGGTGATGCAGTTGGTGATCGCCCTACACCATGAACTTGTTAGTATCCAGTTGCCCATATACATGTCACGTGCACGAAAAAGTACCACTGCGTGAAGAAGGCCGTAGCGTTGCACGATCGCCGCGATCTGACACGTCCTTGGAAGACCCTGCTTACAGTCATTGGGTATAGATCAATAACACATTTGGAGCACACGCATGACAGCATCAAGCATACCTTCGTCTTGAGCAGGTCGCCTTGAACCACGAGATTGATCGAGTCGACGTTGAGTGTTATTGGTTTTAAGATACGGGGGTTGGGATCGCTATCCAGAATGAATACATGAGCGACTACAATCTGCTAACGCATGCCGTGTCATTCTACCTTGCGGGGTATATTGGGCGATGTATCCATCGAGTGGGCGAGCGATTCTGGAGGAGTCGTGTGTTTAAAGTTTGTGTGGAGCAACAAGAGGTGCAGGATTCAAGACTGCTCCCGAACATTTAATTCATGCTGGGTGCTCTGTGGTGGTGGCCGACATGCTTCTAGAAAAGTAGATACACTCAATTCTAGTATCACCAAGACTCTATCCTAGATGAGACTTTTATTAGTAAAAACAATAGCTCTACTCCATAAACAATCAATCGCATTTGGATCACACCCAAGTACATAATGCAACAACGGGAAGTCTTTATATCTAATAATGGAAAGTGCTTCGTTGTGTAAAAGCGTGCAATCTTGTTGGGGATGGCTTTGATAATGCGCAAGTATAGCACCATAAGATGGCTCAGCATAGATGCCTTTTTGTTCTACCTTGCTGGATGCTGCATTTGATGCTTGGATAAGCTGCTCATATTCAATCATTGTTGACCTAGAAACGGGCCATCTACTGCAACGCGCGTATGTACAAGCTAATTGGGGATAGTATTGGGAAACATCGCTGTTATCGATTTCATTTAAATAACATCATGTTGCGTGTTACTAGAAAAGAAGTAATAAAAGAGATTCACATCAAGCTATCCCTGATTTCTTTTTACATAGTTGGCTTGTGATAGTAATAAAAGAGAAGATAGGAAAGAAATAAGAGAGGGAAAGTTAAAAAAATGTGTGCGAGAGAGAGAGACTATATGTGTGAGAGAGTGAGAGAGTGTGTGAGTGTGTGATGAACGTGTGTGTGTGTGTGAGTGTGTCGAATAAGAGAGAGAAAGAGAGAGAGAAAGGTGAGAGCGAACAGGGTATATGAATACGATCCCCTGATAAATATGTGATGTGATGTGCGTCGTCAAGACCTTGGTTGTTTTTTTACAGAATCAAACACTTGTTCTTTTTGCCTTCCTTCTTGCTCTTGCCCTTGGGACCGGTACGGAGACCTTCACGTTGAGCACGAATAATCTTGACCACTTGGTAAAAGGAACGCTCGACGTTGACGCAGGTCTTTGCTGATGTCTCGATAAATTCGCAACCCATTCGTCTTGCCATCATCATGCCTTCCTCACGTGTCACCTCACGCTCAGTCACTCGGTCACACTTGTTGCCAACCAACATCATGGGCACATTGTCCACATCCTTGACACGGAAAATTTGCTCACGGAAACGCTCAATACGCTCAAAGGTAGAACGAGCTGTTATAGAGTACACCAAAAGGAAACCTTCACCATCCCTAAAGTATAGGTGTAAGCAAGTGCGATTGATCACTGAGATTCATGCTCATGTCTTCTTACCTGATCCATTGATCTCTCAAAGCAGTGTATTCCTCTATAGAAAAATGAATAAGTCATTCCATATCCATGGTGGGGGAAGGATAATATACCTTGGCCAGCTGTATCCAATACTTCAAGCACACATGGTTGATCATCAATCACGACTTGCTTTCGGTAAGAATCTTCGATAGTGGGATCATAGGTCTGTTGTAATAAAAAAACACATCAACATGGATGACGACCGGTTGTTTTGTTTGCATGATGGATGTTTACCTCTATATGGAAGTAAAATTAGCGCTTTTATTCCGACTGCGAATGCAAGGAAACTTACCAACAAAGTGGTTCAAACAAAGCTATTTTTTTGTGGAATGAATTCGTCAATGAATGGAATATTCTCATCACTCCTCACACGCGACCAAGATAACATACCTGAATAGTAAGGGCGGTCTACGAAAAATAACAAAAGGTAATAACAGGCAATCAGTGTATCATTCCCCAAATATACTCATATATCCGCCCTCCGCAATCATCACACGCACAAACGCACACATACACATACACATACACATACACACAAAACAGTCGAGGAGGCTGTGTATGCGTATATGTGCATGTGCATGAATCTTGGCATCATCTCCCACCCAATGCTTACCTTGCCTACACCACCATCACCAAGAACGACCAACTTGTAGAGCATCATAGTGTCGAATGTTTCTTTTCTCGTAAAGTAGATATGCTGTGAAGAGAGTCTGTTGTAAATGTGTGTGTTGTGTATGCCGAGTGTTGTTAAACAAGTGTCGAATCGTGGAAAGAGATAAATGAGTTGCAAGAGTGGGGCAATGACCGAGAGAATGGAGTAAAAGAGAAAACAAACAATGTGTGAGTTGGTCTGTAATGTGTCTTCATCCCTTTTGTGTGTGTCGTGCATGCCGGCAACCCGATCTCTGGATAGTGACCCATGACGAGGAAATGGAAGGAAAAGAAGGGCGAGTGCTTGTACTTACAATTATAAAAAGAGGTTCTAGATGTCCAAGAGCGAAATGGCTGTTGGGGTGTTAAAAGGAGCGTCGAGAGAGGGAAAGAAAAGAAAATGAATGAGTGAGAGTGAGGGTAATACAGAAATTGACCTAGTATACTTCAGACGGAAACACGAGGATTGAACTTTTTCGGCGCTGTTTCAAGGTGGAGATGAAGGATGATTCGCTATTAGGAGATATGAGTGTGATGGATGTGTGCGTGTGTGTGCGTGTGTGGATAGGTTGATATAAGCACTCTACTACTACTACTACTACTACTACTACTAGTGTTGCATACTTTTCTACACGATGATGACATGTTTTCTAAAGAACAAGCATGGGTGACTCCTTGACATACTTTTTGAATCCTTTCTTCATGGGATTGGACGAGCTGGATCAGAAACGAGGAGACAAGACACACACTATTAGAATCCACTAAGCTACACACATCATGTGTTTATTTCTCATATGAGCTTGTTTTTCTTTTGGTTGCACAATCAATGATCGATCATGTCATTTTCATTTATTCACTGCGTCTGTATCAGGGACTTTATTCAAAGGGACCAGCCTACACAGGCAGGACAATGAACATCAAATTTCGTTGTCGGGATATCATAGAGCTGCTGCTGTTGGTCTGAAGCATATGGTCGCTTTTCCCTTTTAGGAAAAGGACCAGAGGACGATCGAATTGATTTGCTGACGCTAAACAAGTGCTCCACGTGGTGCGAATAAAGGCTGGCAACCACAATGACAAAAATATGGATCGGCACAATGGTCAATGACCCTATTCGAGTCGTTGATAGGAACGCTTGTTGAAATAGATATAGCTTGTAGCTACAGCCGGGCACAAGTGATTCCGGACGACAGATGCCTTTATAAGCTGCATAATCCATTGGGTGTGCGTATCCACAGCATGCCATCTTTTTATGAATTTTAGCGCTAAAGCCCATTTTCACATGTAACACACACGTATACGCACAGCCCTACTTACAGTCGATTGAAGCAAAAGATGATCGCGATAGCCAAGGTCTTCCCGCCATTGAACCCCCAAATCATCCTCCGATCGAATATCACATGCCACATAGGCAACAGCTGCAATCAGCGCAAGACAAAGCCATAGCAATACATGATATAAGGAAAGAAGGGCATGACGACACGGCTGTTGCTTGTACCGCAATCCTGCCAATCCAATCAAAGATGTCGATACACATGCAAGGGATGCAATAAACGTCAATGCAAGTATCCCCTTATTCGCAATGGCTATCACACTTGCATACTCAAATCCTTGTTGGTTCAAATACAACAACATGAGCATACAGCAATCGTTGGGGCTTGTAGTATGAATGATTACCATTTGTGTATGTTACAATGGATCCAATGCAAAACACCATGCCATATAAAAATAACTGTTGGGATATATTTACGCGTCAGCGGCAGCTATACAAATGCCAAGTGTGTGACAGAAAGAAATGATGGAGTTTGCCATTACCAGTGATATGGAACCGAGAGCTATTGATTCAACGAGCGGTCGTCCAAAGTAAAGTCGTCGTCGTTGTTGTGTTGTATTATCAGGGTCATTCTTTAGTGACATGCCGGTGGTAGAATACTTTTCATCCATAAAAGCATATGCTTTTTGCTTTTGATCAGCTGATGTTGAGTCGTCATTGCACGTATTGGCACCACCATGACCACAAGTGGTCGTTGCCATCATATGGGCTGGCATTCGTGATGTTTTATCGAAAGAAAAAAAAAGGTAGAATGGCCAATGTGTCACAGCCCATTGTTCATTTACCGCGTGTTATAAGCTTTAATGAAGACAAACAAAAGCTACGAGATCCGACATGATTGGCTTTCTCAAAGAGTATTGACAACATGGTGTTTGCTGAGTGATCGGACCAAACAATGGGAACAAGCCTGATACACAGCAATGGTGGTTGTGAATGAAATGCTTGGTGTTGTGGTTGTTGCAACACAACATGTCGGATGATGTATTAGCAAAATGTCGATTCATCATGTAAAGGCTGCCAATAACATGATACAAGATGATGTGATATGGGCGAAGAATAGAATCATGCATGAGCAGGAATCATACATTTACTCCTGCAGCAGCCCAAAAGACAAAGAAAGGGACGACGTGTCTTGTCGACAAGAAGGAGCATGGCGTATAATTACGATCAAATGAAATGAGAAAGTGTGTGTGTACAGAGTACAATAAGCTGCTGTGCAAGGAGGGGTATATAAATGGGGAGGAGGAGGAGTAGCGAAGAAAAAGAGCAAGTAGGACGGAGCATGAGCCGAGAAAGTTGTGCAAATCCTCGTGGCCTTGTACAACAGTGCACGCATCTCAAATGTGTATTTGTTTGTGTAAAGCTTAGGCTGCATGCAAATCTTTCTTTGTAACGCTTTCATGCCCCCCTTTTACTAGAGGGGGGGGGGAGATGAGAAGTTTCTCTTTTCTCACTCTCTCCTTCTTTTCCAATTGTGAATTTACCAATGTATGCAATACAAATGTACATGTCATGCGATGAATTTGACACACATGCAGAGTACCCGGACAATGGGATCATTGTAACATAAAAGATGGGAAGGGGGAGGGGAGGACCCGATCCTCTGGGGCAAAGAGATGTAACCATGGTGAGAGTGAAAGTGAGTGAGTGGTTGCTAACCCGACAATTTGTCAATGACTCCAAAGTGAAACAAAACGACACAATATCATCCCCCGCCGTAGCTGCATAAGTTGACCATAAATGTGTCAAGAATAAACATGAATAAAGGAAAAGGCATGACAAATAGCTTTAAAAGGCACATGAATCAAAGGTATAGCAAACAAGGCCCCTGACATAGATGATGGTTTTCCTTTTCATATAGTCTCATACACCAATGATAAGAGTGAAACATGATGCATTGATCAACCCAATTTCTCCTTTGTAAGAATATGTCGTTTCAGGAACCACAATAGAGAGGAAAGCAATAGAGAGAGAGGGAATAGAGTGAATGAGAAAGAGACACTAATGATACGTCACATGAAAAGGGCTGCAAAATTCTCTCGGCAGCCCAGCATCCGATTCCTTTCCTTAACCAAGTTATTTTTTTTGTTGCACTGTGTGTGTTGCGTGTGTGTGCTCTCAAACGTTCTCTGTTAGAAGTTGACTCGCATGCACACGCTCACACTCAGTATACTATATCATTGACGAGTACTATCCATTGAAACAAACGAATCACAGCAAACAACTCGCAACGCATTCCTTTACAACTACTCACATTCAAGCCAACCGTACATATATATACGCACCACATTTATACACAACTAGTTTGCATCATCTCTACTTTTGCCCTCTCTTAATCCAAGCATGAGTTCAACTCCCCCACAACATTCCTTATCGTCAACCACAAGTGCCAACGATGCACTCTCATCATCGCCTGTTCTGCCAACTCCCTCTTCCTCCTCATCAGCCTCTGAAGTTACAAGGCAACTCAGACGTGAGCTCGAGCAGCAAATTTCTGAAAAGGAAAAGCAACTGCAGGATTCCACAAGTGGTATTGGTAGAAGCGTGCTCGCTCGACAAATCAGTCAACTCAAAGAGCGACTTCAGGAGATGGATCGTCGTCAACAACAACAAGCAGCAACATCATCATCACCAAGCAACAACCATCCAGCCATGGTTGCATCATCATCATCATCAACAACAACACAACGACAACCAGGTTCGCCATTAAGGCGTGCTCAATCACCATCCTCAGTGTCTGGAGATGAAGATCTTTCCCCAACCACATTGGAAAAGCTTCAAAAGCTAGAACGTGATATTGGAGCATACCGCGCCCTATCACCCAATCTCAGCAGTAGCCTTCGGAAAGACAAGGTATATTGCTAATATTCCATTGCAGCAGCCAGCCACCAACATTCCTTACTAACATCACATGTCTCCTCTAGCTACGAACTGGTTTAGATCCACTACCAAGCCCATCCACTTCCACAATGCTTCCTCCTGCCCATGGTCATGATTCTACTTCACTATTGCCATTACCTCCTCCACCAACCGGGTCAACGCCGACAAAACGCCGATCCAAGGTGCCTAATACAGACCGCCGCAACACCGACATTGAGTTTGCCACTGAGATTGGTCAAGGCTTATTGATGGAAGTGAGGAAAATGCAATCCTTGTTACAAGAAAAGGATGATCAGCTCAAAGCTCTTCAAGCTGCCAAGGCCGATTTGGAGCGTGCTGCTGAATCCATGGCAAAGCAATTACGACAACGTGAAGAAAATGAAGGTAAATAGTGGCCCTCTTCCCCTGCATGCCTATTTACTTTTGACAACTCATTCACATTACTCTATTAGAAAAACTGAAGGAGGAAACATGGAATTTGGAACTTGCCAAGCAAGAGTTGACCATCAGTGTATCCGAGCTTCAACAAAATCTCAATCGTGCCAATGCTGAACAAAAGCGTATGCAAGAGCATATGGATGAGCTTACAGGCGAGATTGAGCAATTGCGTGACAGCGAGGAAAAGTTGAGATCGAGTCTTGAGACCATGAAGCAAAGGCATGAGCAAGATATGGGTACTTTGCGACGCCATTCAGCAGGTCTACAACGTGAAAAGGCTGATTTCATCAAGCAAGTCGAAGCACTTTCATCTGAATTGGCCATTGCCAAGGCTCAAAGTCGCATTGCCAAGCGTAGCCATTCCGATCTTACGAAGGCATCCAATGCTGTGGGCATGGCAACCAATGCAAATCAAGCACAAAGTGAGGACACATCCGATGTATCCAAGGACAATGCCAATTCCAGCTCCGACAATGGATCTCAATCACCCAAATCAGCTGCTGGTGCACATCCAAGAAATCAGGCACTTGAAGTGGAGACCTTAAAGACATCCTTGGCGCATGCTCATCGTATGGTCAGCAATCTTCGTTCAAGTTTGCACAAGGAGAAGACTGAAAAGTTCGAGTTCAAGAAGCTTTTGAGCGAGTCACAAGAAACCATTGAGCAGCTACAAAATGATCCTCGTCTTTGGGTCGATGCTGGTTATCCCAAATCGGGTTCGAGTGGCGGTGGTCCTCCTGATTCAAATGGATCCAATGCACGCCGTACTCGTAAAGGCAAACGACGCGTCCCTGTTTCAAAAACGCGTGTGGCAGCAGCACGTCCTACTCGTGGTGATGGCGACTCTGATATTGATGAGCGACGCAAACGAAAGGATTCTCAGCTCACTTCCTCTTACTCGTTGACTTCTGGTGAAAGTGAAGAAGATGATGATGACTATTATGATGAAGAGGATCTTACAGGAGAAGCAGCAGCTGCTGTTGGTGGTGCCATTGCCGGTGCAGGCTTAGCCTCCCTAGGCTCTGAATTATCCAAAAGTCAACAACGTGATGAGCAAGCAACAGCACGCTCTTTGGGTGATGAGCTTAGCGCTGCTTTTGGTAGTAGTGCTCCTGCACCAACAAAAAGTGCCGATGCATTCATGCAAACGGATGCTGTCCCTGAAAAAGAACCTGTTCAACTCCAACAAATGTCACTTGAGAGCTTTGGTATTAGCCCTGTGGTTGGTCAAGAGAAGCATGTACAATGCGAACCACCCAAGGTTGTGGATGCTGAAACACAATCTCACAAGCCCGAATACGTTGACAGCAGTGCACAACATGAAGCCATTCCCATGGTTGATAGTGCTGCACAATGCGATGTGGCAGTAACACAAGATCAAGGTATGTGTTTTAGAATCCATGTATTGAATGATGGCGTAATAACGTTTATTGTATAGGTGTTCAAAGTGAAGGTGCCAAGACCCACGACGTCTTTGTTCAATCCGAAGCCCCTGAATCACATGATGTCTTTGTTCAATCCGATATCCCTGAAGCACACGATGCCTTTGTTCAATCCGAAGCTCCCGAATCACACGATGTCTTTGTTCAATCCGATATCCCTGAAGCACATGATGCCTTTGTTCAATCCGATGTACCAGAAGCACACGACATTTCAGTACAATACGAAGCTATTCCAGGTGTCGATATGAGCACTCAAATGGAAATGCCTGAATACAAGGATATCTCCATTCAATCCGAACCTGCTCAAGTCAAGGATGGCTTTACGCAATTTGAGGCGCCTGAGATCATTGATATGGGTGTACAACATGAAGCTGCTGAAATGGTCGATTCCTTTGTGCAAGCGGAACCAGCTGATGTGAAGGATTCCAGTACTCAAATGGATGGTGTGGAGGCCAAGGATATGCACGTGCAGCATGAGCCTGTTTTCGAGAGCAAGGAGGCATTTGTGCAATGTGATCCTGCCAATGTCAAGGATAGTTCAGTGCAACATGAGCCCATTGTTGAAGCCAAGGACATGTTTGTGCAACATGAGCCTGTTGTCGAATACAAGGACAGCTCAATGCAATCAGATGCTGCCAGCATGAAAGATTCATCGGTGCAATCCGAAGAGACCGTTACCAAGGATACCGGTGTACAATACGAATCAGCTGACAACACCTCCGATGCCTCTGTTCAAGTGGATCTTTTGACAGCAAGCAGTGCATCAGTCCCATCAACTACAGCTACTGATGTAGGTGCAGCAAGTGGTGCCTTTGGATTAGGTGCATTGGCTGCAGCTGCATTTGGCAAGCTTGGTGGTAGTGGTGCTTCCAAGGTCATGGATACTCCTGCTGATCGTGAGATCAAATCATCTTCTTCTCAAGAGCGTGGGATTAAATCGCCTTCTCATGAAGCAGCAGCTAGTGAGCAACTTTACAATGCACCCGCTGATATGGCCGTACCTGAAAATGCCATTGATGAACACTTGAAGGATGCTTCAGCTGACGATGTCATTGCCAATCAACTCAAGGATGTGCCTGTTGTCAAGCAAAGCCTTGCTGTACCAGAACAACCTATCGACAACAACAACAACGACGACGTTGCCAAGGATACACAAGCTGAGGATGTTGATAACAACAAACCTTTGGAAGATGTTGAACCTACCAACGCTATGCAAGATGAGCCTTCGAGACATGCCAAGGATGAGCAAGATGATGTTGTGAGCTCGCACCAGCAACCCCTTGCAGACTCTGCTACTGATTTGCCAAGCCAAAACGATGATCAAGATGCCAAGGTGTATAGCAAGGCTGAGACGGATGCACTTATTGCTGCAGCTGTTAGTGAAGCCATTGCCAAGGCCCAGCAGCAGCAACAACAACAACAACAAAGCAATGGCACAGTCCCTGGTTCACGTGAAATCCGCAACAAGCCCAGCTTAGCTGATTTAGCAAATGGTGCCATCATCCAACAACAACAGCAACAGCAAGAGAATGAGATTCCAGCTCGACCTGTTAGTCCACCCCCTGCTCATCTTTTATCACGTGTTGCACAACAATCACCAACACCTTCATTGTCCACTGGCTCTGTTAATGATAAAGGAAAGGCACCTGCTCGAAGCATTGGATCCATTGGTAGTGCATCTCAACAATTGCAGCAGCAACAACAACATCGTCCACCTTCTCTTGTTTCCAGTGTGTCGACATCCGAACCACGAGCATCGATTGGATCATCAGCCTATGATACAACATCGCTTCGTGCTTATGCTGATCCACAACAAGTGGGATTGATTACACAAACCATGATTGGTGATTGGATGTGGAAGTACACTCGCAAGTCTGTGGGTGCAGGTTTATCTGAAAATCGTCACAAGCGCTTCTTTTGGATCCATCCTTATACTCGTACCTTGTACTGGAGCACACGAGCACCAGGTACTCATGGAAATGAGATGAAGGCTAAAAGCGGTAAGTCATTATTGTGTGTATGCATGCATTGTACATGGGATCTCATTATTTTTCTATATAGCTTTGATTGAGGGTGTCACGGCTGAGCCGGACTATACGCAACCTCCTTCACCTGGTGTGCCCAATGTTAGTCTTTTGGTCAAGACCACCAACCGTGTTATCAAGTTGACGGCTCCTACCATGGCACGACACCAAGTATGGCTCGAGTCGTTGAGTTATCTATTATCACGCCCAAGCAATGGTGATGCATCATCGTCGCTTTTAGACAGCATTGATAGGAGAACCAACGGCACAGCATCCGTATCCAGTCACCCTATGATGCGTAGACAACCCAGTGTACAAAACATGTTCCGATCAGCAACAGCCACGCAACACCGTGATCTTGATGATGACGACGATGATGATTTTGAAGATGAGGCCATTGAAGATGTACGCATGTGTTGTGATGGCAAGCATCATGTGTCCAAACTTCAACGAGACCATATCCACCATCGACCTTATTATCGTAAACGACAAAGTCGGCAAGCACAGCGTGCATCCAACAATAACACCATTCGCACTTCCACTTCGACTCCCATTCACAACAACCACCAACAACAGCAACGTGCAGCAGCATATTAAGAAAAATACAACAACACCACCTCAGCACTACCCTTTTTGATAACTTTTTTTCTCGATTCACATCACTCACACTCAATTCCCCTCGCAACCGATATTATCTTCGCATGCAAACTTTTTATCTTTTCCCTCTCACTCTCTCTTATTTGATTTTTGTTTTCTTCTTTTCGTATTCCCTTTCCAACATTTATACGATTGTAGGTTTTTGGAAAAATGATCATTAAAAAAACTGAATATTGCCTTAGAATTGGATGGTTCTTCCTATTGGCTGCATGTGTACACCAAGCTCTTGATTACAACATCATGACATCATCGAAGCTGGCATAAAAGTGATAGATGGGAGCATACATAGTACCAAGACGACACCACATAGCATCATATGAGGATGGATACTATACCTGACACAAAGGGACACGTATGGGTGACGAAAACGAATAGGGAAACAATGAAAACCAACCAAGATGGCATCAGCTGCTGTTGGAAACGCTGAATGGGATAACGCAGAATGCCCCGTATTTCCACCCAATGATGATGAGAGAGTGATTAGCACATCACCACCACCCGATTGATATAGGATAGGTGCTGTGTGCGTGTATTTCAGGGGAAACAACATCCACGTGCTATTCATTGGTTATGATTTTGCATGATTGTTTTTGGCCATGGTCGCGTGAAACATTGGGCGTCGACTGACTCACTGACAGATGTGTATACATCCAATATCAATATTGCACAGCTCCCATATATATATATATACACACACAATCTATTGCATCCATTCTCCCTTTTTTCTTGTTGATCCTTTTCCACATTTCAAATATGAAGCTACTTGGCTTGATTCTTTTAATAGCAAATGCCCTGGTGGTGGTGGTGATGGCAAGAGTGATATTCCAAGACCCGGTTGGAGGTATGTAGTAGGATCACGAATAGCGTTTGCATGCATCTAATCCAATACGCCACATACAACAGTGTTTCAAAAGGAGATTTTGGGTTCAAAGTTTGCCGTTACAATGGATGAATGGTTGGAGCAAGAAGCGGCTGTGAGCTGGGATTGTATCCGACGCAACATTAATCCCCCAGGCACCATCCGTGGGTTTGTGGCTGCATCACCCTCCACGTTTGGACCTGATTACTTTTACACATGGACACGCGATGCAGGGCTAGTGATGCGTGTGGTTGTATCCCGATACAATGATGATAGAAACGAGGAGGTCAAGCGTTTGCTCCATGATTATGTGGCCCAGGAAATCTATCATCAAGTGACTCGCACCGAATGTGATTGCTTGGGAGAACCAAAATTCAGTAAGTCATGATGATAAAATAAGCCCACAACATCCACTTATTGTAGTTTTTATATAGATCCGGTAAGAGTGGCAATAATGGGATGATTTTGAAAAGGACGTTTTATTTACTTTCTCACAGGATGGCTCTGGCTATGAAGGGTCATGGGGCAGGTAATGTGGATGTGAGTGCTTTTGATGTCATATGCGCTCACGCAGCAGCACACATACAATACCCCTTTTTAATATAGACCCCAGAATGATGGACCCGCCATTCGAGTCACCACACTCTTGTTGCTTGCAAAGAAATCAAGTCCACGTTATGTTGAAGGCACCCTGAGACCTGCCATTTTGCGAGATTTGGATTACATTGCCCGTGTATGGGAGGAACCATGCTTTGATTTATGGTATGTGAAGAGCCCAAAACAATGCATGTGATGTATCATTCTCAATCGATGTGTGTGTGTGTGTGTGTGATAACAGGGAGGAAGTATGTGGGGTACATTTTTATACATTAATGGTCATGCGACGAGCCATGGTGGATGGCGCTGAATTTGCAAGAGAGCTTGGAGACCAAAAACGAGCATCGCATTACGCACAGACAGCTGACGGCATTCTTTCTCGTTTGGATACCTTTTGGTCATCCTCTTCCAATTACCTATCCGTTACACAGGATCATTGTGACAATGTATGGAAGCATTCTGGGCTCGACACGGCAGTGATCCTTGCTGTAAATCATGCAGGTAAGCATTCGTAGTATCCCATATCACTCGTTTCATTGTTTTTAACATACCATCAACCCAAAGGCATAAAGCCTTACACTGCTGGATCAGACAAGGTACGTTGCAGTAATGTAGCTATGTTGATTACGTAGCAACAATAACATGATGCATTCTTGGTAGCTATTGGCAACGGCCCATCGACTTGAATCAGCCTTTGAGAATCTTTATCCTATCAACGATCTACATCCTGCCGGCTTGGGCACTGCCATTGGACGTTACCCTGAAGATAGCTATGATGGCTATGAAAGTGGCTCGTATGGTAATCCTTGGTTCCTGACAACAGCAGCCATGGCCGAATTGTATTACAGGGCTGTCCATGAATGGGAAAATGACAAGAGCACCCTCATCACCGTCAATGACATCAATGGTGGTTTTTTTGCTCGTCTTTTTGAAACGAGCGAGGATAAGGTTAAAGGACTTTCATTCCGTTATGGTACCAAAGCATTCGAAACCCTTGTGGATACCATGACCACGCGTGCTGATCGCTTCATGGCCACTGTGCAATATCACCAACATGACAATGGGTCACTTTCAGAGCAATTCAATCGCTGGACAGGATTTGAGCAAGGTGCACGCGATCTTACTTGGTCATATGCTTCCTTTATCAGTGCAGCCGATGCAAGAGCTGGTCAACCATTACCCTAAAAATTATGTAGATGATGCTTTTTCTTCTTCAATAGGCTCGTCATATTTCATCACATCATGTTACACATTATTGAAATGACATCAGGAATATTATTCTTCTTTTGAATATGTAAATGAGTGGGGATGGATGGGGTTGATGAGGGTAGAATATACGTGTGAAGAAGAAAAAGAAGAATGAAATGGATGCATGATACAAAGAATGATGGTAAAAGGGGTGGGGTTGTGTGGATGGAAATAACTATTGCTCGTTCTTCTCCTCCTTTTGCTGCCTTCGACGACGATCAATCAAGCTGGCGTTCTTCATGTTAAGTTCAAAGGTAGGCTTGGCCTTCTTATGGGCTGATGATCGCTTCGTGCTCACTGTAGGCTTGTCCATTTGCTGAGTAATTTTGTCACGCTGCATCTTTTGCAACAAGCTGGTAGGTTCGTCATGTGATGACACATTGGGTGGAGGTGCAATATTTTCTTGATCATCGTCATCGTCGTCGTCATCGTCATCATCGTCATCGTCATCGATATTGCCCATCATGTTGGGATAAGTGAAATTGGATGATGCTTGTTGTTGTTGTTGTTGACGACGTCTAATTTCTTTTCGCCGAGATCGTTCTTCCGCCATTCTGTGGACCGCATATGAAACATCAAAGACTTCTTTCATGGAAGGTAGACCCGAGAATACATCACGTCTGTTACGTTCATGTGCTGGTGTTTCGAGTGTTGTTGCTCCAGGGATGTCAAGAGCTTCAGGTGTTGTTGCTGCAATCTGTGGCGACATATGACCCGTACTTTGTGGTGTCAACTGATCACTGGATTCAGCCGTATGGATGGAAGGTGATTCTGCAATAGTGCCAAGTGGTTTCTATCATGTAACAATAGAGGGCATTAGTAATCACGTGAGTCATGGAATTGCACATTCATCCAATTGACCCCCCTAAAGGGCCCCCCAAACATACCTTCTTCATCCAAGGATGTTTCATAAATTGATCGATTGTATAGCGTTCTTCAGGATTGATACATAGCAAGTGGCCGATCAAGTCTTTGGCTTCTTCTGAAATAGGATCCCACCATGGACTCAAAAACGTGTATTGTCCCTTGGCAACTTTTTGTGTGAGCACCTCGATACTTTCATCATAGAACGGTGGGAATCCACAAAGTAGGGTGTACAAGACACAACCCAAGGCCCACATGTCCACGGATTTGGAATATCGTTCGTCCCTCACGATTTCTGGGGCCGTGTAGCCGACTGTACCGCACGGGGTCATTGTGTGTTGATCCCATACCACCTTGCTTAATCCAAAATCTGCAATCTTGACACGTCCAATACCACCACCGCCTATGCCTTCGATAAATTCTCCTTCATCTTCCTTGTCTTCATCTCCCGGTGGTACGGGTGGTGGTGCTGTTTTCCTTGGATGAAAAGGGATTGGATCAAACAATAAATTCTCCGGCTTGATATCTCTATAGGAAAGAGAGAACATTGAACATCAGCTGCTTGTATAGACATCATGTGTGCATATTCCTTACCGATGAACAACGCCTTTTTCTTCATGCAAATATCGGATAGCATCCGCCACTTGTCGGATACAATGCCGTGATAGCTCCTCGCTAAAGTAGGTCAACCGCACAATCTGATGAAACAACTCTCCCCCTTCACACAGCTCAAGCACTAAAAAATAGTACTAAATGATAATAACCAGCACATTAGTATAATGATGATCCATATCCTTGTATGCATTCACCCTACCTCTTTGGTCTCAATAAAGCTCTTGAATTGTACAATGGACTGGTGCTTGAGAGTGCGCATGATTTGGATTTCTTTGAGCACGCTTGCTCGCTAGTAGTGAGTGTGACATGTGTCAGCATCATAACAATGATGAGCTAGCTACCTTTATCGCTTTATAGAATACTACTACTAACCTGTTGGGGCTTCAATTCATATTTACGAACCACCTTGACGGCAACATTTTCATCCTTCTCAAGATCGACTGCCTTGTACACCTTCGAGAATGCTCCACTATAAAGAAGAAGAAAGAAAGAAAAGACATCAATCACCTTATTCATTGTGTATACGCACACACACCACTTGTTGCTACCCAACCAAACCTTACTCGCCCAATGTATCCACAAGTTTATAGCGTTCCAATCCAGCATAGGAAGGGAGTCGTTGTCGAGCCAACTTTTCTTCTTCAACAAGTCGAGCAACCGCCTCGTACTTTTTGGCTTCTCTTTGTGAAATAGTGTCTTCACTGTCATCGCTGCTGGTGGAGGAGCGATTGGTGCTGTTGCGAAGGAATTGCTTGATTTGCTGGAATACCGACATGGGACAATGTCGTAGAATGAGGAATGAGAAAAGAAAAGAGAGAGAGAGATATGAATGAATGAATGCGAGTGTGTGTGTGTGTGAGTGTGAGTGAATGAATGTATTGTGTAGCAAAGAGCTTACTCTTTTTGTGTTCCCGCGCTACAGGAAATGACATCATTCCGATATCTTTTTCTTCAAAAGTGGATCATGGCCTTTCCCAAACATAGTCGGTAGAAAAAAGGTGAAACAATAACCGAGGTATGGCTCTGCTGTCATGCTTTGGTAATGCAATCATGTTATGGTTACCCCGAGCATCATCATTAAGCGGGCTGGGTGGAAGGCGGAATGTAGAATTCATGGTGTCAGCGACACATGCGTTAATGTGTGTGTGTGTGTGTATGTGCCACAATGAAAATCCGAGAGCGGACCGATGTTTGGTGGTGATAGTAACAAGTGGCGAGTGTATCGAAAAGCAATGTGTAACAACCATTGATTAAGAACAAGAAGAAAAGCAATTAAGATCGAGATCAAAGCAAAAGAAAAAAACGACTGAGTTGGGATGGTTGCAGGAACCCGCCACATATAGCAACTCTTTATCTTTTTTGAGCATACTCCCAAAGTTGAGAGAGAGAATTTACGGGTTGTTGGTTGTTTTTCTTTTCTCTCTTTCCCCTATAGCCATGTTGTTGTTATCCTGACAGCTGTAATTGATCCGCCCTCTCCCTCCTCCCCCTTTTTTTTCTTTTTGCTTGTTCTTTCCTCTTTCTTTTTTTGCTCCGCGTATTGCAGCAACAACAACAAGAGCCCTTTTCTTTCTTTTGCACTGTATCAACAACACCGCTGTTATGAGCGACGACAGCAGGCGGAAGAATCCGCTGTCATTCTTCTTTCTTAAACAACGACATCATTCTGTCCCAACAAAAAAGAACCCATCCAGCAGCAGCAATATCGCCAAACCCAAAGGCATTTTTGGTGCTCCATTGGAATACGGAGCAGAATGTGGATCGATAACACCACGCGGTTTACAAGTGCCTGATCCCGTGTATCGATGCATGAACGAAGTCATTCAACGAGGTTATTATTGTTGCTGGGTTTCTTTTCTTACACGTCAAAATCACCCCTCCATTGTTATACATATTAACACGCGCACACACGTGGTCACCCATCACTTTTTTATTGTTCAACTATTATAGGATTGAAAGTGGAAGGCATCTTTCGATTATCAGGAGCAGCCTCTGAAGTGGATCAATTATGCCGTTTGTTCGATACGCCACCCACCTATGGCAAATACCTGGACCTATCCTCTTTTGATATTCATGCAATCGTTGGCACCTTGAAAAAATACTTGCGATCCTTACCTTATCCTGTGATTCCAACATCCTACCATGAGCAGTTTTTGGGCACCACCAACAATATCCAACAATTGGCCCATTTGGCAATGCGACAGCTACCACGTGCCCACTTTATCTTGTTGTATACGATCATTGAGCTGTGCTCACACATCCAAGCACATTCACGTATCAACATGATGAATCCAGAGGCATTGGCAGTGGTGCTTGCTCCTGTATGCACAGGATTGGATCAAAGTCTTCGGGACATGTTTGTATTGAAGAACAAGGACATTGTGACCGATATTGTTCAAGCCAATGCTCGATGGACCGATTTATGGACAAGGATGATTCAGAGCCACAAAGAGCTACTTGATATTTGGTCCATTGAACAACCTCAATTACCTCCAGTCGTTGTCAATGTAGCATTGCCCAACAAGGTAACGAAATCAGATAACCGATCATCGTCGTCATCGTCAAAACAATGTGGGGTTATTATCATGCGAAAACGCGGAGGACAACATTATCAGCGAAAGCACGCCTCTTGGCCTATGGAACGTCGCACATGCTTAACCAACGATGATTATTGTCTTGTCAACCCATCCTCTTACGACATCCTCTCAGTGCGTCGACGCACACAATCCATGGTCAATCCAAGTATTGCCCCTATATAACGTCATGATTCTACCATCATCATCATTATTACCAACATGTCCCTTTTTCCCTTTGCATGTACACATTTCTTATACACCACCTATGCCCCCTCCCTTTCCCCAGACTAGTAAGCATTTCTTTCTCTTTGTAACTATGTACTTTTATGATCAAACGTAATATCCATTGTATGAACCAATATCCTACGTGTTGTATCGGGAAGGGCTTGTTTTCCCTTTGAGTCATTAACGGGCCGCGAAAATGACCGATCAAGGCGGTTATTCCCGCTGAGCATGCATTTCTTCCGCGCCACATATAAAAGAAGGGGGAGGGCGGTCAAACCAAATCTAAAACTTGCTTCCCTTTTTGTCGACTCCTCTCGATCCATTTAACAACATGAGCGATATTATTGACGTTTTCATATCTGGTGCTGGCCCTGTGGGGTTGTTTTTGGCCTATCAGGTAAAGATGTGCACGTTTTCGTCATGTTTGCATAACACTGATTCACACGCACGGATCCATCCATTTAACAAACAACAGATGGCCAAGTTGGGGCATTCCATTTACATTTGTGATAAGAATGAAGGACCCAATACATATCAAAGCCGAGCCGTGCTCGTAACTTCAAGAACGATGGAGACATTGGCCAATCATGGCATTGTGCAGCATTTCATGAAAGAAGCTGCTTTTACCCAAGGGGTTGAGGTGTTCTCAAATGGACATTCGGTAAGCCAAATTGTGTATGTGTGGAAGAGTTTGATATGCTCAAGGTGTTGTTTTTATTTAGATGGGTACGGTTAATGCATCTGGAGATACGCCATTCCCGCATTGGACATTGCTTCCACAAGGCCGTACTGAATCGGTGCTCATTCGCTTGTTGTCGCCAAACAAAGTACATCGTTGCACCGAGTTTGTGGAATACACCCAAGAAAAGGATCACGTGTGTGTGATTGTGCGTGATCTTCAAACCGGTGAAACAAAAACAATCAAGGCACGCTATCTCGTTGGCTGTGATGGATCCCATTCAAAAGTGAGAAAGGCTACATCGAGTTGGACCTTTGAAGGACACGCAAGTGCTTCACGTTTTGTCTTGGCAGATGTTCAATTAGACGGCAAGGATGGCTCAGCTATTACACACAAACGTGCCAGGATCTTCAACCATCATAAAGGTATGGTGGAAGGCTTAGTTTTCCCATGTGGCTCAGCTTTTGGAAATAACAAAGGGTGCTGTTTGAATACATAGGTGCATGTATGATTATACCCCTTGGTCGCAAATACGAAAATGGGCCATTTTATTATCGTGTCATGACGAACCTTGATCCATATCAAGTACAAGAACAGGACGATGGTCATGATCCAACACATGGCATTATCAAGGGTTCGGGCGATGAAATAACACTCGACCAGATCCAGGAGGTGATGAATGAACGTTGGCATCCTCAAGAAATCATTCTGAAGAACCCTGTATGGATATCCATGTATCGAATCAACGAGCGTAAAGCGAATGGGTATCGTCGTGGTCGAGTCTTCCTTGCTGGTGGTAGGTATTTGAAAGAACAATTATGGGAAAGAAAGGTATGGTTGACCCTATGTGTGTTTGAAATAGATGCTGCACATTGCCATTCTCCAGCTGGTGGTCAAGGAATGAATCTTGGTTTGCAAGACGCTGACAACCTTGCATGGAAGCTGTCGCTGGTTCTCAATAATGCAACATCCGATCCTGAGCTGCTTTTGGATTCGTATAGTGTTGAGGTTGGTACATGTGAGCGTTGCTATGGATACGGGCATTGATTTGATAATGTGCATAGCGTGAACCCATTGCCAAGGAAACGCTTAGAGTGACTGGAGAAACCACCCGATACAGCTTCAGCGCAAACTTCATTACAGGTAAGCAAAATAGGAAGGAATACGCCAAAAGCAAGGTTGTAACAACAATCCATAGCCACCATCATGTATTATATGACCATGGTTGCATTGAAGATCTCACGTGTGCAGGAGGCTTTTGTCACACAATTGATGCAGGTACGATAGGGTTGGCGGGAGGATATTTATTGTATCAACAAAAAAGCTGATTGCAACACGATAGCTTAAACTTCGTATTGCCAAAGAGTCGACATTGCTCTTGACAACAACACGTGGATTGATTGAAGCAGGCATGTACATGCCTGAGACTGTCGTCTTACGAAAGCGCGTCATGTCACCGGAATCAATCGATCGTCGCACACTATACCAAATCGTTTCAGGCACACGGTCTCAGCACATCCTGTTATTTGTCGCTTCACGTCATTCGCATATGCCACCATCCCCTTTGGTGCAAGACTTTTGGGAAAAGCTGCAAACGAAGGATTTCCATAACAAAGCCGTACGGCCGGTCATTGTCGAATCAACGTGGCATATTGATGAATGCCGTCTGCCAAGTTTTGTTGATTCAACCAATCCTTCAAATGAAGAGGCATTTTGGAGCGAATACCAGTTTACAGCTGAGCATTCAATAACGCGACGTATCGGCTTGATAGACTTCATGTATGAAAAACCCGTTCCCCCAGCTGCTTTGATTGTTATCCGACCCGATATGTATGTTGCCCAAAGCAGCCTTATTCGCTCCAACCAAGACATCGACACTGCTCTCAATGCTCTCAAACTCTATCTCCACTAGTGGTGTCATTGTATATTGCCATCGATCCATCCACCCATCCACCATCATATCCCATCATATGCGCTGTATAGAATAAACGTATTGCCAGCATGTAGCCTTTTCGTGTTCAAATCCATATACATCATTTGCTGTTTAAAACAATCCCGTAACATTGCCATCTTCATCAAGATCCACATCAAAGAAACAGGGTCGTGTTGGCAATCCTGGCATAGTTTGCATTGAGCCCACAAGTGGATACAAGAATCCTGCACCAACCGAAGCACTATAAGAGCCAAAAATGTCAATATCGCATACAACAGCTACATTCACGTGGATCATCTTACCGAATATCGCGAATAGGTACAGTGAATCCTGAAGGTGCGCCTTTGAGAGCGGGGTCATGGCTGAAGCTGTATTGTGTTTTCGCCATACAGATTGGCAATGATCCAAAACCTTGTCGGGTATAAGTCTCCACCTTCGCCTTGGCTTCCTCAGACAACTCAATGCCATCAGCACCATAAATTTCTTTGCAAATGGTGGTAATCCTGGATTCAATAGATTGGTCGAGATCATAAATGTACTTGAACTCCCCTTGTTGCTTATCACAGGCTTCAATGACAGCTTTGCCGAGATCCACTGCACCTGCACCACCCAAGGCCCAATGATTGCATGCAACAGCATCACTTGCACCAGCCTCAAGAGCCAGCTTTCGAATAAGCTCAATCTCTGCATCCGTATCCGATCTACATATATCATGTAAGCTTCCTAACTTTTGAACAACCCATCAAAAGAGAAAAAGAAAACTTACGTGAAACGGTTGATGGCAACCACGGCTGGCATACCAAACTTGCCAGCATTCTGAATATGTCTTGCCAAGTTGGCACAACCCTTTTCCAGATATTCAAGATGTTCCTCAGTGTATGCTTCAGGTAATGGTTTGCCAGCCACGGGTTCGGGTGCACCACCATGCATTTTAAGAGCGCGTGTCGTAGCAACGATCACCACGGCATCAGGTTTTAAACCAGAGATACGGCACTTGATATCAAAGAACTTTTCCATGCCCATATCAGCACCAAAGCCTGCTTCGGTCACCGTGTAATCACCAAGCTTGAGCGCCACCTTGTCGGCAAGAATGGATGAATTGCCATGTGCAATATTGGCAAAAGGACCTGCATGCACCAGCACAGGGGTTCCTTCCAAGGTCTGCATCAGGGTAGGCTTGATGGCATCCTTCATCAGCACCGTCAATGCACCACCAATACCAATATCATCAGCAGTGATCGGTTCACCTGATTTCGAGCTAGCCACCACCATACGACCCAAGCGCTCACGCATATCGGTAAGATCGGTCGCAAGAGCAAGCACAGCCATCACTTCACTCGCCACGGCGATATCAAAGCCTGTGGTACGTTCTTGTCCCTTCTCCGTTGGGTTTTGACCCACAGTGATTTTGCGCAGGAATCGATCATTGATATCCATGACACGTTGCCAAGTAACGGTGGAAGGATCAATATCAAGGCGTGCAAAACGGTGGATTTCCTCCTCTGTCAATTCGCTTGGATCGGTCTTGTTGATGGATAGCTTTTGCAATCGCTTCAGCATGACAGGCGCAAATTTACGCACTCCCTTTTTGGCAGGGCAAAGACGATTGAAAAGTGCCTATGTATATCCACAACAAGTTAACACCAGCTAGACTACAAACCTACATCCATCCATCCATCCATCCATACCTTATCAGTTTGAGTGTTTTCATGGAACATGCGAGCATCAATTGCGGCAGCTACATAATGAGACATTCAAATCAATAAATAAGGAACCATATCGGCTTGTTGTATACTTTTCTTACCTAGCAAGTTGTTGGCTGCTGTGACAGCATGGATATCACCAGTCAAATGCAAGTTGAATTCGTCCATAGGGATAACTTGTGAATAGCCGCCACCAGCTGCACCACCCTTGATACCAAATGTAGGTCCTTGTGATGGCTGTCGAACACATGCGTAGGCCAATTTACCAAGATGGGCGCTCAATGCTTGCACCAGGCCAATAGTGGTTGTTGATTTGCCTTCACCAAGGGATGTGGGTGTAATACTATTACGTTGTGTGTCAACTTCAATTCCCAATACCATGTACCCAATTCATACCCTGTGACCACAACGTATCGTCCATCCGTGCGATGCTTTAACCGATCCAATACATTGAGATTGATCTTTGCCTTGGTAGTTCCATAGGGCTCGTACTATGTAGGAGAATTGAGTATGATGATGATGACGATGACGATGATAGGCTATTCATTGTGATGTACCTCATTTGGCAAAAGACCTAGTTCTTGACAAAGCTCTGCAATGGGTTTGGGTTCTTGTTGTCTCGCAATTTCAATGTCGCTTGGAACAGGTGTAACAGGATTCAATGGCAGAGGCGTAATGCGTGCTTGAGTATTGGATTGCTCGAGGGCTCTCTCGGCACTTTGTCGCGTATTATCCATCAACATGGCAACGGTCATTGGACCCACACCACCAGGAACAGGCGTAATTGCATTGGCTACCTTGACGGCTTCGGAATACTCGACATCGCCAACCCATCGTTTACCGGACTTTTTGGTTGCATCTTTGGAAGAATCCACAAATGAGTATGGATGGGTGATAGCAACATCATCAAACAATAGCATCAACTCTTACCAGGAACAGCGTTTGTGCCAACATCAATGACCACAGCACCAGGCTTGATCCATGCTCCCTTGACAAACTCTGTTTTGCCAATCGCCACCACCAAAATGTCCGCTGTCTTGATCTATGTAACAATGATCCCATCATCACTGCTGTTAGCTTTGCTATAATAACAAAGGACAATGACACGCTACTTACAATCTCCTCCATATTACTGGTTTTGGAATGACAGATGGTGACAGTGGCATCAGCCGCTTTGAGTAATGCTGCAACGGGAGATCCCTGAATAAAGTTTAGTATTAGCGTAACCGTGTGAAAACTGATGCTATTTTCGCATCCGCTTTGCTGGACCTTATCATACCACAATATCACTTCGACCCACAACAACTGCTTGCTTGCCGGCAATAGTAACACCTATATAGAATTATATAAGCTATCATTGTCATTCAAAAACCTACGCCTTGTGGGGGGGGAAATACCTGTAGATCTCAATAGTTCCATGATACCACGTGGTGTGCATGGCAAGAACATGGGCTTTCCTGCTCGCTTCACCATGTTTCCCATATTGACAGCATGGAATCTGGATGCAAGCAAGGTTGGTATATACACGTGCTACAAAGCGATGTCATTTCAACGTACCCGTCAACATCCTTGCGATAGTCAATGGCGGCGACAATGGCAGCATCGTCGATATGAGAAGGTAAGGGCATCTGGACCAGGATACCATGGACGTTTGGATTGTCATTCAGACGCTTGACATGACGTAGTAATTCGGCTTGAGAAATGGACTCGGGGAGTGTCTCATGTGTGAATTCGATGCCGGCCTGTACAAGAAGAAGTGTTGGAAAGATGATCCCCTCCTGCCTCCTGATCACGCATTATTTACCTCCAGGGCCGCCTTGTGTTTCATCTTGACATAGATGCTGGAATCCTCGCGTCCACCCACTTGAATGATAGCCAAATGTGGAGCATATTCAGGATACTTTGCCTTGGTTGCAGCAATGTCTTCCTTGACCTTGGCACGAATAGCGCTATTGTAGATGCATCCAAATCATCAATCAGCTTATGCTTTGTTGTTATCATCCAGTTTGTACCTTGCCACAGCTTTTCCATCAATAATCGTTACGGTCATTTTACACACGTGAAAGAATAAAAAGAGAAAAGAAGAGAGAGAGAGAGATACACGAAAGAAATGTGGGGGTGGGGTGAATAAGGAAGAAATATAATGCGTGAAAACGGGATCTATGAATTCGACATCAGCAGACCTACCTACCTAGGAAACCTTAATTATAAGCTCAACTTTGTACGCAGCCATGCGCATAAATCTTCCTTGTGTGATCCATTACTTACCACATCTAATTCCCACACCACCCATCCATAAACATCATGGATCAATTTATACAACCGCATATTGTCTGCTGAGATGCAGCCAAGTAGAAACAACCGATGAGGATATGACTTTGACGGAGATAAGGGATTAACGTATTCATGCTACTACTACTACTACTGTGTCACCATCTTCCCTGACACAGCATTTCAAAGTTAGCTAATAAAGCATTCAATGAGCGTGCGATATTGAAACTGATCCCATGACCCAACCTTTCAATTTGACAATGCACTAATGACGCGTTGTCAGTTTTAAATCAAGAAAAGGATTGTGTGAGAGAGAGCGTTTACGTTTCAGATGGATCGCAAGGTGATCAACCATCTTGTTGCAGGTACATACTCCAATAGCCAATACTCCTTCTTGGCTTTCCTTTCTTAGACTTCAAGAGCGTCAATTTGGCAAATCTTTCATAGATGGTCGTACTCAACCAACAAAGTGATGATGCAAAGAGCCTAAGATTCACCTCATTATGCGTGCAGTTATGGTGATGGAATATTTTTAATCGTGCTGCATCCTATGCTACCACATTTATCGATGCAGCTTTTAAAATCGGTCTTTGCCTATGCAAGGTTGTATGTGAAAGGTGACCCCACTTTCATGTTGTACAGCAACCTTGTTGACAAGGCGGATGGATCAAGACACATGGGACACGCCGCAAAATTGATACTTGAAGGTGATGGATCACGTCTCGTTGAGAACGAGTGCTTTTACGTGGACCAAATGGAGTTTTACAAGCACAAGTGATGCTTATATAGCCATAACAGCATTTGTCTCTTTAATTAAAGTCCTCTGAGAAAGCAGCTGTTTATTACAACTACTGGTTAACATACTGCATTGATGGTTTCATAGAGAAGGGCGAACAACTTCAACTAGGGAGAATTATTGGGTTAAGCTAGGAGAGAGAGAAGAACAAAAAGTCTATGTTTATATATGATGTTCTATCATAAGCGAAACTAGGGCACTAAGAAAAAGTGGTTTCTTGTTGGAGCTATCAAAAATCATGTCACACGGGTTTTAACCCTTCCGCATCAATAGCCAAGGACCAACAAAAGGCCAAAAGGGGTAGTCTTGAATTGAAAGAGCTGGTTTTGCCAACGGAAGTGAAGGTACTTTCTTGATGTGCGATGGACCAATATATGGAGAATAGCGTCTTGTAAATCAACGGAAGTAAAGGTTGTAAGAGCTTGTGTCCAGAATGTATCCCAAGTGCTCTATTACCTGGGTGGGCTGGAGATGAGACTTTTTGAAGTTCACCAACTAGACCAAATGTTGAAGGCGACTTCGAAGCGATCCTTGTTGCTGGGGTCTACATCCGTAAGATCCATGTCCTTTGTGTACTCGTACACTTTCATATATGGTCACTTGCCATCATCGAGCTTTTTGGAGGCCATAAGACGTGTATCCAATTCTATCCAGGAGGTATAAGACAACACATGAATCAGAATCAATGACTATATCACTTATAAAGAGGTATACCTTTAAAAAGCCTCTCTTTTTTGTACCCTTTCGGACCTCTGCCGCTCTGGATGTAGTGTTTTTGTAATATCATTGATATCATCGTCTCCAAAGGCTTCCTTAAACCTCATTGATACTTCGGCTCTGCGGGTCTCAACACGTGCTGCAGCGTCTTGACGTTTTTGGATGTTGGTCTGATGATGCCATTGTACCGCTCAAAGCTGAAGAGCCAAAGACCATACACGGGTCCAAAGTCTTGAACGACCTCTCGAAGGTGACAATGTAGGTGCATGTTGGGTTTGATAAAGCCGTCGCCATAGAAACTGACAGGTCGTCTGCCTCGCGATGAGTGATTGATGGTTGGCATCGGCACGATCGCGACACAGCTTGCACGAAATGAAGCCAATCCTGGTGATGGTCAGCATGAAACAATGGCACAGCGTATAAATGGTCCAAAAACGCTACTCGTTCAAGGGGAAGCATGGCTGAGGCAATATCCACAAAGGTCGTAAACTCGCTTGGTGTGAATTGGGAGCAAATGGTAGGGAAAACCGTTATGCCGGCTGTGGTACAACATGCCATCTAACACAACGTTTCAGGTACATCTCGCGAGGTAGCTGTATCAAAAGGGACATGAGTATGTGCTTCATCAAGCGAGGTGATTAGGATTTACCTTATTGGAAGAGCAAAAAATCACAATGACAACAAGGAAAATGGGGTACTAGGATGACAATGAGGCCTTAAAGATCATCACACATACATTAGCTCATGGATCACTCACAATAAAGACTTTCAATCACGATACCCACCAAGGGGTTTTGAAGGTGTCAGCAACCAAAGAGTGATATGATGGGAGGAAAGAGATGTGTAGAAAAAGAGCGATGGGCGACAACAACATTCATCTTGTTTATACCTGCATGGTGGGCGTGGGCATTCTGTGACCATAAAGAGTGATAAAATGTCTGTTGGGAATGATGATTGATGGGAAGCCTACACCATGATTAAGTCTGGACCTTTTTTAAAAAGCCTTTGATTGACCACGGCCATGCAAAGGTGGACCAAATGAAGGAATCGTTCAACACATCATCAAGAAAAAAGGCTGATTACATACGTACAAGCAAGACGTTGGTTTTATTACAATGCAATGCGATTTTCCTTTCACATGGTGGATGTGTTTTGGGTGATGGGCATTCCTTTTTTTTTGTATGTGCATAAGAAGATTATTTACAAATCATGAGCCTTGCGGAAGTTCTCGCCAGCATAGATAGCGTTGTCGCCAAGTTCTTCCTCAATGCGCAAAAGTTGGTTGTACTTGGCAAGACGTTCAGAGCGGCAAGGAGCACCAGTCTTGATTTGGCCGGTACGCAAGCCAACAACCAAGTCAGCAATGGTGGTATCTTCGGTTTCACCGGAACGGTGGGAGACCATCACACCCCAACCAGCAGCTTGAGAATCCTTTGCAGCTTGAATACTTTCAGTGAGAGAACCGATTTGGTTGACCTTAAGCAAAAGGGCATTGCAAGCCTTCTTTTCAATAGCAGTGGCAATACGCTCAGGGTTGGTGACAAGCAAATCATCGCCAACAAGTTGATAATCAGAGGTGTTCTCAAGGTGGGCCCAGTTGTCCCAATCATCTTGGTCAAAGGCATCTTCAATGGAAACAATGGGGTACTTTTCAGAGAAGGACTTGTACAAATCAGAGAGCTGTTCACCAGTGAGGTAGGTAGCAGGATCCGAATTGGGGTTCTTGAAATCCAAGTCATACTTGCCATCCTTGTAGAATTCAGAGGCAGCACAATCCATACCAATCTTGATCTTTCCAGTGTAGCCAGCCTTTTCAATGGCAGTAACCAAAAGCTCAAGACCTTCCTTGTTGTCTTGAATGTTGGGAGCAAAACCACCTTCATCACCGACATTGGTAGCATCTTGACCATACTTGGCCTTGATGACACCCTTCAAGGTATGGTATACTTCAGAGCCCATCTTCATGGCTTCAGAGAAAGACTTGGCACCAGTGGGCAAAATCATGAATTCTTGCATAGCAAGCTTGTTACCAGCATGGGAGCCACCGTTGATGACATTGAAAGCGGGCACAGGGAGAACAAATGGCTTCTTGGAACCAGCAAGGTCAGCCAAATGGACGTACAAAGGCACACCCTTTTCACCAGCACCAGCCTTGGCAACAGCAAGAGAGACACCCAAGATGGCATTGGCACCCAATTCGCTCTTGTTCTTGGTACCATCAAGCTTGATCATGAACTCATCAACAGCCTTTTGGTCAACAACAGGGATCTTGGCATCAATCAAAGCAGGGCCAATCTTCTTGTTGACGTTCTCAACAGCCTTCAAGACACCTATAGAAATCGAAAGGAAAGAGATAAGTTATCAATCAATCAATCAATCAATCAAACCGCCTACTTGTTTACCCGCGTCTTCCCGCAACACACGCACATTGGCCACATAGATTATACGCGTAACCAACCAACCAACCAACCCCCGGTCCATGCACCCAGACCATACCATACACACACGCGCGCGTTTTCAAGGTTGATTATTATCCCCCATCATCATACGTACCCTTGCCAACGTAATCAGCCTTGATGTTATCACGGAGTTCAAGAGCTTCATGGATACCAGTGGAGGCACCAGAGGGAACAGCAGCACGGAAGACACCCTTGTCGGTGGTAACTTCGACTTCGACAGTGGGGTTGCCACGAGAGTCAAAGATTTGGCGAGCGTGAACCTTGTTGACAGACATGTTTTATGTAAAGAGTAAAAGAAAGAAAGGGTGAAGAAAAAAAGAAAAAGGAGAGCGATAAAACGCCGCAGGATTGGATGTCTTTTTATACCTGCAAACAACACACGCACACGCGCACCAAAAAGGCACCAAAACAAAACCACCTGATTAAACCGCGATAAGTAAGATATGTGTGAGTCAGTGCATTATACTCTTTGCTCCATTGTACTCATATCTATAATATACTCCTTTCAATCTCATCTTTATCGATTTCCCGCGCTGTTCAGCCATTCTCCCGCATAGATCAAATGGTAAATCATTGACCAGCTCTTGCCTTGTACATGTCGATCATCATATAGTTTGATGAACAAGTATCAACTTTAGTTACAAAGAATGGGAATGTGTATTGGAATGCTTTATTGGTGTATATGCTTCGATGATATTTTATATATGTGCAAGTGTGAGTGTGTGTCAAAAAGCCCGAGTGATTCGGAGACACTTGTTGTCGCCTGGTATCTAACTTTTGTTGACGTATGCCGCTTTCAACAAGCGCGTTGATTCCTTTTTGGCATTGAGCCGCTCATATTTATACAAGAATGGTTTTCCCGCGGATAGCTTGTCGACACTTTGCCACCAACGCCACTCCTTCTTCCACCGCCGTCATTCCAAAACTAGGTCGTCATGTCTCTCGCATTGGCTTTGGCGCGTATCGTATAGCTCCTGGTGAACCTCGTCATGCTCAAGCATTACGCGATGCGCTCAAGGCAGGTGTTTCCATTATCGACACCGCTTCCAACTTTGCAAACGGTAATTCCCCTTGTTGTGTTATTCGTGGAGAGAATCGGTGACCCTGATTCCAATTGTTGTGCAGGTGGATCAGAACGAGCCATTGGTGAAACGCTTGAGGATATGGCCCAACAAGAACAACTTGATCGACAGGTAAGTTACTCATGTGATGATGATGATGATGGATGGTGTGGTAGATTGATCACTTTTCATTGTAGTCCTTGACACTCGTATCCAAGGCTGGTTACTTGACGGCTGATCAATTGGATGGATTTGAACCTGGCAAAGATTATGTGCAAATCAACGACAAGAGCTTTCACACTGTATCCCCCAAGATCCTGGAACGAGAGATTACATCTTCACTTGAAAGGCTCAAGACCAACAAGCTGGATATCTTTTTGATCAATGGACCTGAACGCATGCTGATGGCAAAGAATAGGGTACGTGTTTATATAATGCATATTGGCGGCATCCAAGTGTGTAACGTGACATTGCATTGTATAGAGCTACACACCCGCCCACTTGTATCAGGATCTCAAGGAGAGCTTTCAATTTCTCGATTCCCAAGTAGCGAATGGTAAGAGTGATACATGGAGGAAACAAGGATGGCAGATGATTGAGTTATTATTTGATCCTCTCAGGAACGATTGGTGGATATGGCGTGTGCTCCAATACAATGGCCCTTCCAGCTGCAGCAGACCATGTCTCTCTCAAGGATGTATTAGGCGCGTGTATCAAACCAGAGAACTTTGTGGCTATTGAGACACCTGTCAACCTCTTTGAACGTGAAGTCGTCTTTGGTGATCAAAAGACAGTGAGCGAGATTGCCAAAGTAGGTTGTATTGTGAGGTAGTGCAATAGACACGATACTGATGACAACGATTTGGATAGGAAAATGACATTTACTTGATGACCAATCGACCTCTTAACGCTATCGCCAATGGACAAATTCGTGTCCTTGTGAATCATGTTTTTGGAGAAGGCCAATCTAGTGAGTTTGAATGATGATCTCTTAACATGCGGAAGCACTGATGATATTGTTATCACACACAAGGTGAACACCAATTGATGGAGAAGATGACCCAAACCTTCAGCCAAGTCTCTAATCTGGAATCGGATATGATGTCGGAGTGTAAGTCTCTCTCTTTATGCCTAATGCTACTTGCTTTCAAAGGCTCACTTTAATGTTTTAGTACCTCTTGAGGAAGAAACCTTGGCTAGCAAATTTGTATGGGGACAAGTGCTGTCCGAGAACTTGGCTCGATTGGCGGTGAATCATTTTGCTACCAAGCATTACCTGACACAGCAAGTATTGCCGGCTATTGACAAGGATTTGAAAACATTGGAGGAATACGCTTCCCAATTCGATGATGAAAAGGCACAATCATTCAATGACTGGATGGCTGCATACAAGCAGGTAAAACGTGACTTGGCACTCGCAATTTCGATATAGGGTATTAACCACATTGCTTACTTTAGAATGTACACACCCTTGCAGATGACATTGTCAGCTATGCGTACATTGATACCCTTCGAAAGAACAGCGAGTTGGATCGTATCCTCGATGCATTGTCTCCCACGCTTAGTCGACAAGACAACCAAGACATTCATTCTCCGCTGACTGTCAAAGCTTTACGTGTCCTTCTCGGCCATGATCAGATCGGTACGGTGTTTACAGGCATGCGAGATCCAGTCTATGTGAATGATGCGCTCCAGGCACTCGACAAGAGCATCAAGGATCCCCTCAGCCAACAAGATATCAATGACATTTGGCAATGCCCGATTTTTCAATGAACACACCAATTGTATACATACACACGCGTACGACATAGACAATAAAGTTGATCATTACCATATACAAGCAGAATGATGGCGATCTTACCATGGATGAAAGAGAACAACGGATGAGTTGACAGCATCACTTTGTTTACGCCACAAACAAAAAGCCAACAAGGAGAAGGTGTGTGTGTGCACATGCCAACCAGCAGCAACAGCAGGATGATGCACTTTTCCTTTTCCACACCTGTTCCGCGGGAATCAAAGTGGACACAAGATTCACGCAACAACGTGATGTGCTCTTTACACGCAACGTCGTACAATATGTCAAATGGTCTTTTTGTTCTTCAGTGTGATCTGTTGGACGACCACGCAACTTGGATCCCTCAGTTACACAATCTACGAGGATTCTTTTTATCGATGAAATGATATTCTTATTCGAAGGAGAAAAGAGGGGAAATGGAAGGGACATTGCATCAACAAGCCAACACAAAGTTCTTTCAGCTTGTGGTCGTCAATCAACAAATATCCACCATCAGCCCGCCGCCGCCCGACCGGAAGGCTGCTCCGACCCTCCGCAGCACAAGAAGTTTATTCAACAGCTTTTGAAGCCACACGCAAAAAAGTGCACAAAAACGACAAGAGAAGAGGCCTTTGTATGCGTGTACATTAAAGTGACCAGCATTGTGAAATTGCCATCTGTGGATAAGATATGTATGCAGGATCCTTGTGGAATGGCGAAGATTGACAGGACACAAACAAGTTTACATGTCGATCATCTTATGCGTGCGCGCCATTTTCACTTTTCAACTACAAGCCAATGATAAAAGAAAGAAACACAATGACAAGCTACTTGTGCCAATGAATGATGTATATATTGATATGACAAGAAAAGATAAAGGATATGAGGAGGTGTAGAATGTGTGCTTGTTTCTGGGATATATGATGTAGTTGATGGTGGGAGGGGTAGAAGAGTAGGAATAGCATTAAAACTACAAGAGTTGTCAAGGAATTTCATAATCAGGGTGAAACGACGAGAGAATGTGCTTGCTTGAGCAATGATAATGCGTTTCGATATTGGGGTATAAAGCACAACAAGGTCATCTTGGACTTTTTTTTCTTTTTCGGTAGGAGGGTGGGTGATGGTAGGTAGAAGATGTATATGAAAAACAACACACAAGAAGAGAGCAAAAGAGAAAGACATGAATCACCAAAATCAACCGCTGCTTTTGATACGCTTGTTGCTGTGCTCTGCCTTTTCAACAAGCTCAGTAGTAGAATCGTGGCTCTGTCGTCGTTTCTTGTTGTTTGCATTGGTGGTAGATGATACTAAAGGTTAAAAAAGTCAGCCTCTTTTTCTTTTGTTTACGCTTGCAAACACACACACGATGCACCACACCATAAACACAAACGCACGTTTTACCTTCAGCGTGATGGTTCTCACTGTCATAAATGTAGGGTGGATGAATGGATTGATCAGCAGCGTACTTTTCGGGTGGTGGGCTTGATGGGAAACGTGCTACTGATGGCTCATCAATACCACCAGATCGGCGTGCCATGAATGGATCATCTTCAAGCGTTGATGATGGTGGATGAGTAAGGCTACCAAATGATGAAGGTCGAGGAACACCAGCAGGCGTGCCATTCAACATGCCATTGTAAGGTGTGCTTGTAGCTGGCATGTCTTGTGAGCGAAGTGCTACATATTACATGTATTAGTAACGTAAACACAAATACAAATAAAAAAGAGACTCACAGTCATTGTTGGCCAATGATGAATAGGGTGGGCGATTCTCCCATGATGGTGGCATGTAATGATAGCTTGAAAGATCCGCCGTCTTGTAAGGCGACATGGAATGCGTTGTTCCTGATGGTGGTGGTGGACCCACTAATGATTTGACGGTGGATGATGTTTGAGCCGTTTCCACAGATGCTGTATCTCCTGAAGGTACGCTGAGACCACTGTCAGAGGTAGTGCAAAGGAATTGTGATGGGTCATCAGTAAATAGAGGATACAACAAATCAACAATCTTGAACTTGGTGGCCAGGTCCTTGGCGCGTGAAAAGGTAATCCTGCAAGGGGGGAGGGAGAGAGAGAGGGTATTTAGTTTCTTTCTTTCCATCGAACGATTTCCGAGAATAAGGGATAGAAGGGGTAAAAGGAGCCAAAGGAACAAGTGCGTGTGTGTGTGTGTGTGTATTGTTACGTAGGGAACAAGGGGAGCAAAAGAAAAACAATGTACACTTACCATACACCTTTGAGATGCATTGCGCCAACCTTGACAACGACACGACCTTTTTCATTCTTGAGAATACCATCACGCTTTCCACGAGACATGCCAACTACATTAAGTAACTTGGTACCGTTGACCATGTCATTGTCTATATAGGATGGTCAACATCTTTTCAAAAGTACTAGTAGTAATACGCGGGTTGTAAATTTTTTTTACCTCGACGACGAGCAACACAAATATTCTTGGCATCGACTTGATAGCATACAGTGGCTTCATCTTCCCACACCGTAGTGGTCAACTTGGGTCTTTGAATAGGTGCTGGCGGTGTTGGATGACCAAAAGCATTATCGGTCGGAGAGCAAGGACCACCAAAGCAACCTGCAGCAGCTGCAGCAGCATGACCGGATCCATATCCGCTATGATGACCACGACGAAATGCCGCTGACACAGGTGATGGTAATGCAGGTGGACTCATGTAAGAAGGAAAACCAGATGAAGCTTGTGGTGGATGTTGTTGTTGTTGTTGCTGTTGTGCCGTTGCGCTTGATGACCATGTTGATGGTGCACCACCAACAGGTGAATAGGGATCAGCACCACCCGCAGCATTACCCATCATATCATGGCTGCCATAAGAATGTGGTGTGTGATTGATAGAGGTATATCGATGGCTGTTATTGAAAAAGCTGCTTGTAGTAGTAGACCGGTAAGGTGGTGGCGGAAGTTGCGGATGTTGTTGTTGTTGTTGTTCCGTGGCATAACTCGAGGTTGGCACATAAGGTGACTGAGGAGCACCAGCTGACGAGTAGATACCCGATTGATGATAAATACTTTCCATGGCTAAATGGTTTGATGAGTGAAATGCTGCAAAGCACATACACGCACGTACCTGTAATCCGTGCGTTGGGATGGGAGCTGCCTAACTGCAAAGACATGTGAGTGGTTGGTTGTGCCTTTCTTTTTCACGGCATATGTCGAAGCACACAAAACAACGAAAGCACACACACACACACACCTTCTTGTTGAACGAAATGCAGATCAAAGAGAGGGTGAAACAAAAATGCAAGTGCTAAAGGCAGCTGCGGTGGTGAGAAAAAAAAGAGAGAGAGAAGAGAGGAAGAGATGAATGATGGAGCAGCTTTAAAATAAGGCGGGAGGTTAAATATGATGGTGTGTGTGAGTGATTGTGTGGGTGTGTGGGTGTGTGGCAAAAGAAAACGGGCAAGTGGGACGGGTGGGTGAGTGTCCAATAGAACAAGGGATAAAGGAGGAGATAAGTTGGGAAGGCGAAAGGATGCTAACCTGTGATTGAGCTGATTATCTGTAATGTTTACTGTTTGTGTGCTGCACAGCGGTTGAGTTACTTGCATCGATATGTCCATTTTTATTTTACTTTACAAGAGCCACAACACGACATTTTTTCATGCTGAGCCCATCATTGCAATCATCTTGTCATTATGCTGAGCCCATACAAGCCCTCAATGATGGCTTTTGGTAAGGCTGATATTGTTTCGAGAGATCCATTTAAACGGCTGCAGGTGAGCAAGGGCAAGGAGAAATGACCGGCAGCAGCAGTTGCAATGAAATCATACGACGACCCACCAATGTTTTGTGTGTGCGTATGTGTGCTTCTCTCTCAAAGTAGACGCTCGAAAATCGACATCTCCCCGGATCCGCACCCCCAAACTTTGTTGTTGTAGGTGCCGTAGTGGTGTACTTGATTCTCCTATCAATTTGGTTGTTTTGGGTGTTGTTTTTTATGATGGATTTGTGGCGGAAAGCAAGGAACTATTTGAATGTAAACCAATGTGGCCACACTCTATATTGTACATGGTCTCCTCTATCCTCGGACTCTTTCTTTTGTAGCTTATGTGTGCTTTAATGATGACTTTTTTTTCTTTATAAAAAGTGCTTCACGTAAACACAATTGCAGTGCCACCCAAATAATACTACTTGAAAGGGCAAGCAAGTTATTTGGATTAGCTGAGAGAGTGAAAGCGGGCGGGGTGGATATGGAAGTGATCTCGTGAACACTTGATTGCCCTGTCATATAATCATTAAAAAGTTTCAACATGTCCAGCGTGATGTGCACAAAAAGGCCCGTGATCGTTTCATTCTAACTCCACCTTTGGCTCAGTCTCATTTTCTTTCTCTTACCCCTTGTGTACCTCCCCCCGTCGTCATCATGCTCTCTCTTTTTTTCTTCTCTCCACCCCTGATGTCCCCGTGTATATGGGCTGAGACAAGAAGGCTGCTATTACAACTAGTCATTAAGATGAAGAAAAAGAGAACAAGGGGTTGTATGTGTGAAGGAGAGAGAGGGGTTTTGTGTGTATACCAACAATCATCAAAGTGAGTCAAAACACAAGCGTGCATGCAATGGTGGCAGCGAAAGGCATTGAGAGCCAGCCATGCATATGCGTTCCTTATTCCCCCGGTCAATATCAGGGCACTAGACACACACAATATTGGAACACAAGTTTCAATAGCTATGTTGGGCGATCTATGTTGTTGTTAAGATTGAGAACAGCAGCGGCGCGTCGTGTAAAGAAACACGACATGCAAGATGCTGTAACTTGTGCATCTCATTAACCAAACATGGTTGGACCGCAGTTGGCTTTTGAAGCACTTTAACGCAAAACAAATCCTGTTTCGATGGGAAATGCTCTCTCCTTGCCGTTGAGTCTAATGGATGATCATCCCAGTCCCTTGCAGCTTTCTTAACCCCGTCCTGTGGTCCACAGCATCACCACCACCACCATCATCAAAATCCTCCCCCAATCTTTCTGACAGCATCAGTACACACACACACATTGTTTCACTGCAGCACAATCTGTCAAGTGACAACGCCCTCTTCTCTTGGCTTTTTTGTTTGATTGGTGCTATGGTAGTCATATCGTGTATATACACACACGCCCATGTGCATTATGATAATGATGTTCCTGGAGGGGAAATTACTACATGGAGAAAAATTATTGTCGAGATAGGAGCCTTTGGCCACTTTTTTTTACCAAAGAACAACGAAAGCATAATACAACCGCCCTATTGCATGCAGGTTAACAAGATCCAAAGACAAGCTCATTCCTCTTTTTGGATTGCTAATAATATTCTACAACAAGGATCGTACGAGATCCAAAATGCGTCATTGTATGATATAGGTCATTTTCAATAATCCAATGATGGATGTTGAGATGATGATCGTGTGAAAATGAATGGGGAGTTGCATCTCCTTTTTTCCTTTCCTCTCTTGTTAGCTCACTATAAACGACGTGGATACTCTACTTTTGGAACAATGAGTTTGTGGAAGGATAAAGAAATGATCATCATCAGCTGGCCTGTCCTCATTGTAATACAACAACCGGGAACTACCTCGGGAAGAAAAAAGACGTACAAGCGATGACCCACTTTTTCCTATTGCCCTTTGAATGAAGAATGATGCTTGCTTTTATATAATGGATGACGATCTCCGGCTGCAGCATGCTGTATAATGCTGCTGCTGCTGCTGCTGGTGTCATGACACGACGCTACTACATAAGCTGCGCAGCATCGATAATATCGAGACAATCAAAATGGGTGATGCTGATTCAAAAAAGCAATTTGAGATCTTGCGTTAAATCGCTCACCTGCTGCATGCATCATCGCCGCTGCACAACGATGCATGAACTTTGCATATGCTGTGTGTGTGTATGTGGTGCGTGTGCTCTGCTGCGCAGTAAAGGAATCATTCTCTTATGCATACGCTTCTTCCTTTCACAAGATGACTTTACGGCAAGTATTAACACTACCATGGTAAGGTAAGCCATGATGCATCATTGTTCATCTGTCATTGTTATCTTTCTTGACATTTGTTTGTTGCACAATTGCGAGGGACTTGTGTTCTTGTGCAACTTTTACGGGAGGACAAAACCACCCACCACTTTTCATTGTCCTTTCTTGGTATTCACCGCCGTGATTGACGATAAAGGTAAGGAAGAATAGCGATTGGCTTATGTTGTGCATAAAAAACAACTCACAAGATCAGAAAAGTTATAGTTAGTTTTAACATCATGCATCCATATCGGTCTGATAGCACCAATCTTGTACTAACGACGTAAACGCTTGTAATCACTTTCATTAATAAATCTGAAAACGGGGGTACATACGCACTAATGGGATGGGTTAAGCATGGTCAGTGCGTGGCGGAACCACAACAGCAGCCGTTGCAGCTGGCTAATCTTAAACAAGGTAATGAATGTTAGGGCTCCTACACAATGGGGAATTGGCTTTGGATCGGGTACATACACGCGACGGGGCAACCGCATACACATGATGACTACACGCACCAACAACTCTGACCCCCCTCCTCTTCTCCTAGTCAACTCCTTGCATCATTGCCAACAGCTTCTCAGAACCTCACGCTTTCCCAACATGTCTTTAAGCATACATGGTTTCATTGTTGTCAATGCCCAAGTTAATATTGCCACCGAAGATCACGATAAATGATTCTATTGAATCACCTTGTATATGTCCTAAAGTGTAATTTCTATGGTCTGGCGCCTGCACAAGCGCTATTGCTCATGATTCCTCTTAAGGTTAATTGCCGTATATCGTGTGATTCAAAGCCCAAATTGAGACAATACGTATTTGGTTGTTGTCATTGCTTCATTAGAGTAATATCCATATGGTGCATGAAATGACTCGGGAAACATATCAATGTTCGTCAATTTTAATATGTTGTCTAGTGCAGTAAGGATAATCTTATTGTAATTACAACAAAGCGTTGGTATATGGGATCATAGCTACACTGTCTACAGAAGCTGGTGCCGGCGTTGTGTCAGAAAAAAAGAGAGATCTCATTTCCACAATCCGAATACGACATCGTTTTCCACAGGCTTCTCCACTGCTTGATTGACGATATCCCACATTGAGCTGTGCACTTCATCCATGGATCCTTTGGCATCAATAACCTGTGGCGTAATTAGATGGCCATCCTACCCATCTTTTCTTATGCAAACCATACCTTCCAAGAGGGCTCTTTCAATGCCATAAACTTTTCGCGCACCTTGGTTTGCAATTCACGCGTCTCATATCTCTCAACGCCAAAACCGCCACGCTTTTCAGCATCATCGATCGATAAATCAAGGAAGAGTACAAGATCCGGTACCAATAAGCCGACATCAGGATGCTTACACCATTCAAGATCAAGCCCCTAATAAGAATCTCATATAAGCATCATCATCATCCATTGATGTACATAGGTTCCTATACTCACCTTGGCTGAAGAAAATGCAACACCCGAGAAGGCATAACGATCCACCACCAAATGGGTGCCTGATTTCAGCATTTGTTCCATGGCATCCCTGTCACGTGTGTGTGAACAAGCTGACATTGGTCGCGTATAATCCAATAACCCAAATACTTACATGGCCTCCCACCGATTAGCTGAAAACAAGAGATGGATAGCCTGGTCATTCATATGGCTCGATTGCTTCAGGTATCCGTCAATCATTTGACCGGTTTGAGTAGTGCGATCTGTTGTTGCCAATGGCGGTGGTCAGCAAGTCATAGTCAGGTGTAGTGTTGTAGTGTCTACCTACCAGGAAACTTGAGAAGCTTGGCGCTATGGCCAGTGGCATTCAAACGCTCTGTCAGTCGTGCACATTGAGTCGATTTGCCGGATCGATCGCAACCTTCAACGACAATCAAGAGACCTCGTGACATGATAGCTGAATGGCGGGGAGAAGAAAGAGAGAGAGAGAGAGCGGTCCATTTTTGCATTGATATAGAATACATAGCTCAGCAACCATCAATGCTATATACATAAATCCTCTTTAAACGTTCACAAGACAATAAAAGACATTGGTAGAAATATACGAGAGCATTTAGTTGATGTTTATTAGAGACCATTTATGCAACCAGACAAAGGATAGCTGCTGTCAATAACACCGAAAAGATCATTGCTTGAAAGTAAAGGCCTTGGTTGTTCCAATTGAAAGTACTGAGTACGGCTCTCGTTGACCTTGATTGCAGTGGCTTTTAGCGAGGACGCTTGATGGCACTTGGTGGGGGATAAGGACGAGGCAAAGCCATTTTTGGAGGACGATCGGCAGGCATTTTCGCTTATTGTTGTTGCAGAAGAGTAGAAGTGGTAGTGAATGTTGTTGTTGGAGAAGATAGATGTATGTAACTAAAGAACGAAGGAGATGATTTGAACATGGTCTTTTATATCTTTTGGATCAAGCATTGCCGATGATAATAACTGTTGTCAACCCAAATATCACAGGTTGTCAATGGGGTTGGGAAGTTGTCATGGTTGCTGATCCATTGTGCCCAATTGAGTATTACGCCGACAACAAAGAAGTCTCAAACAGGTTGCTATCCAGTCCAAATTCTGCTTCCACATCAATGACCCATATCCAACAAAGACTCCCATGGGAAAATGATCCTTTGATAAAGAAGATGCGTTTGTGGTCACTTGGCCTTCATTGTTGCCAATGATTGACAACTTCACCAATAGCACCCTTTCATCCAATACAACCAACAGACATAAACTTCAATCCATGTATTCTTGTCTTCATAATTCAGTATGCTGAGTGGGTAAGGTGATCTCTAGGTATTCGGCAACAAATGCTTTCATGACAACAGTCAATCGTTCAACGGTCTTCGGGTCAATGGCTTCAGCGTTATCCTACAGGATGATGAACATCAATACGCGACAACATCGCAAAGTCCCATGACTCAAGCAACTTACACCCATTGTGTGCCATACTTCAGGGAAAGGATAAGGGATGAGATGAAGGATATCAGCTCCACGATGTAAAAAAGGCAAATGGTCGTCCTGCATGAGATATCCACGGTATGTCAGGGGTGACGACAAATCAAACATGTTGTTGGCCTTGTAGAGTCGCTTTTCAATGTCGACAAGCTTGTGAAAGAGCCAATCAGTCGATGGATAATAATTGGGAAAAGTAGGATTGGGAGCGCCCATCAAATCCAATAGCACCATCACATCCATGCGTTCGAGATCACCTGATTCAGCCCAAACTTGTCCCAAATGCCTGTAGAAATGATAGACGAGTTGATCAATACACGACACTTGTCCAACCTTCTGCTTACTTACTTTGCACCATAGATAGAATCATACTCATTCCATTTCACAAAAGCTTCCTCGCCATCAAAAAACACGAGTTGTAGGGTGGTATTGTCAAGTTTTGTAGTCTTGAAAGGCAATGATTCGGCAACATCCATCAGCATCCCACATGGCACGGCGCTATCAGTCGCACCAATAAATCCTTCGGGCGTAGCTTTGGAGTCATAGTGAGCTGCAAGCACAAGTCTCCTTTGGGCTTCAGGATTCTGTGTCGCTACGATATTCGCAAACGTAGTATCGCCAATGGGTGTAGCTGCAATGAACTCATCGAGAGCAACATGCCAACCGAGATTACGGAAATGCTGTACAATAGTGTCGCGCACTTGCTGATTGCCAGGTGTGCCTGATACGCGTGGTATCATGAGTGGATCGGCCAACTCTAATGCGCGATGCTTGCTGTCTGCAATGCCGGATAGTGATTGTGTTGAAAGTGGTTTGTATGCATAGGACCAAGAGGCTGCTGCTGCCAATAAAAGCAACCACGACACCAGCATGATGCGAATGATAAAGAGAAGAGAAGCGGGGTTGACGGGCGCTCGTGTCTGGTGCCTGACCAAGCGATTAGGAACGTTCACAGATAAATTACGTGTTGCTTACATGGGCCATCCACTTTTACGCCACGTTATTTACTTAGCTAGAGTGACAAACAAGACGTGTTGGTATGGTTTATTGATTTCTCCATATATTTATTGGCAAAGTTTACACGTCTTTTCTTCTTCATCGCCTTCCATTTCATTTGCAGAAATGAAGACCACATTCACAACGGGCTGAGCAAGCTGTAATACATTTTGCCTTGACATTCAGAGCCATTGAGATACAAACTTGCAAGCTACATAAAATGATCATGAAAGGTGAAGGGTTGATGAGAGAGCCACTTGCCAATTGACAATGCACAAGGATAGTTGGTCGTTAGCGATGATAGAAAGCACCTTAAATGCAATCACTTGTGATGTCTCTTTGCCTCTTCAGCATACCACTAAACATTGTATATCCTCGATGGCATGTCTCAGCAATAGGTAATGCCTCTAAATGATTGAGTTCATGATGCAATCGCTAGATCTCAAATACCTAACCATGCTGTATGCATATCATTACTGGCCAATGTCGTAATCGTAGTGAGAGACTTCGTCATATGGGGTGATATGACATTTTGGTTACACAACTCTCATGCATGGAAAGCTTGTAATTGCTGTTTCAAGAACCATTATCACACCACATTTATCAAACCGACCATGCTTAAGCATGATTTATAGCAGCTACTTCAGCTTGTCAACCAGTACCCAATGCTACCCAATATATAATTGCAATGGTTACTACCATACCAAACAAGCACGTAGTTATCAAGCTGTCAAAGAATAAAGCAATGGAAATCGCTTTTATGACTGATTTCAGAAAGCAAGATGAAGCAATATATTTACAAAATGATGACAATGCTGATGATACAATGGTTAATGATGATACAGTTGATGGTGGTTTGCAAGGTTTCCTAATGAATGGAAGCGACGACGGCATACGGAGCAACGTGGAACAGATTCAAGGATAGTTGACGAACGCCTTAATTGAAAAACATCTGAAGTACTTCTACGTCGATCATTAGTAGCTATTGCTACTTTGGGCTTCGCAAGCATGTCGTTTGATGGAGGGTTGAGGAGGGAGCTTGTCATTAATGCTTCATCTGATTCTGCCATGTTTGTGAACGGCAATGGTTGGCAGATGGGGTAATTGGGAGACCGAAGCAGCAGCTGTGTATTTAAACCATCAAGTTGATATGAAACATGTGGTGAGACAAAGAATGACCTGATGTTTGTTGTTTGCTTGGATTGAGAGATCTCCCAATAATGTCGCACTTGCGTCATGTTTGTCGAGCAGATGAGCATAAGAGCTGACGTTATCCACATTATTGGATTTCGCCACTCATTGTTTCCAGACGTAGCATTGACATCATGCAGATGACGAGGAGCGGCAGTTTCTTGGAAAGAAATTTCAACCGCACAAAGCAGCAGCAGCAAAACCCGTATTCCGCCGTGACACATGTGAACAGACCACCAATGACTTTTTTGATCCCGCAATCTTTTTTCTGGTCCTTTCGATCATGGTCGATAGATCGTCGATGCTGCATCCTTTAAGAAACCTTGTGATTGTGTGGGGTTGGTTTCATTGTTAAATCATGGAACTTTGTAGACAATGAGATCCATTCCATATTCTACTACAACGTGCATGGCGTAATGATTTATGCTGAATGGTTTACAGAATAAGCCATAATGTTTGTAGCCAGGATCGCTCTGTTGTTCATCCCAAAACTATCATCTTGCTGTCGAGTCTACAACACAACAACAAATATGATCTGCATAAGACACAAACAATAACCCTCTCCCTAGTTTCATTGATCGGATCCTCTTTTTGGCCTTCATAATGACCCTCCTCATCACACCAGCGTGCTCTATTACATACTCAATGGGCCACCATACCATGACTTTTAACAAACAATGAGCTCTATGCTATTTTTGGCTGTTTCATCAATGGATCAAGGATGGTCTTTATGGTATCAATAATGGAATCAAGAACAATAGTGTATGTAATTCAATGGTGATGGATAGAAAAGAAACTTGAGCTTGGTGACAGAGTCGTTGGATCCTTCGACATTGGTAGGCCAAAGCAATCCTCAGTCTTTGTCTCTATCCTTGGATGATGGCTCCATCTAACTAGGGCGAGGAATTGGTTTTGGGTATGGACGAGGCAACGGCTTCTTAGGAGGGCGAATTGGAGGTGACATTGGCTGCGTGATTACTGCTTGTTGATGGAAGACAATATAATAAGGTTGTTCCTTTGCGATTCTTTCGTTATATATAAAGCTTTTCCCAGCGCTGACAACAGTTGTCAATGCATCCAATCCATCTCGTGATTAGGTCAAGCGAGCAGCAAGACCAGCAATTCAACTACCATCCCACCACCAGCAACAACAACAATCACACGTGTGGATGCTAAGCAGGTTAATACCGGGATTTATCCACTCACAATGGTGCAATGATGCATGATGAGTATATGTAATCAGATATAGGTTGCATAGGATCACATTTTAAGATAAGGGCTCGAACAAGGAGACTACAAGCTTTCCAGAATACGAACTTTTCTACAGCACCAATATCACCAAAGGCTGGTAGCTGTTATGGTAAACGTGCACGCTTCTTCAATAGAATGCTTATTGTTGCGTCCTCGATAAGTCGACAACTTCTTAAGTATAACGAAAGTTCGGTATGTATGCTACCCCATCCACTTTCATATCATACTTCAAGAAGCTTTTGGACTCATACATGGGATAACCAGAGGCGCGAATGTGACACGAGACAATCTTCGGGAAGTAAATGTAGTCGCGCACAGACCACACATTCTCGTGTTTCGGATCAAGACAATGTGCACATACTCAAGGATGCATGTAGGCACTCATGCCACATTGTATCAGAGCTCACTCTTTCTTACATTTGATGATTTAAGCTTTCAATGGATCATATATCTGTAACAATCACTATTGTTGGGTACCATTACTATAGGTTTATTATCGTTGAAAGTACAAGCGTCAGCGTCTATTTAAACCTGTGCACTACCATGAGAATTGCCACCGCCTATCGTCTATCAGCATGTGAACAAGGAAGCCTAAAGAATGTGATGTGATGAAAGCAACAAAGGTGTCTCGATGCAATGGCGTAGGTGATCCCATCTCACTTTCCAACCTTCAAATTTGTATCCTCCCTTTCATTCTGGAAACCAATCAAGTGGACGACATAGAATCAGTGGGTACCATTGTGTCATTGTATCCTTGGTTGCTGCCGCCATAAACATCCTCATGCATGATTGCAAACTAGTTGCTGTGCGTGCCTTGCCTCCAATATCCAATGCCATCCATGGTGACAAACCTCCTTTCGTCAAAGATGTAAGCCCTCGCATCCATGCCATCCAATTCATCATCATCATCAGCCGCATCCACGTAGCATGATCCATCCTCCCTGCTGACGCCGTGCCAAGTAACCAAAACCAGATTTCAGGATCACCTCTCACTGTGCTTGGTTCCATCCATCCATCCATCCATCCATCCATAGCCAATGCAAGTCCAACATGTTGATACAAGGAACTCTTGTGATCGCTTGCTGACATACTTCCTTTTCCATCTGGCTGTTGATCCATATCTTTCTTGGTCATTTTCATTGCAGCCCAACCAGGCGAAGGTTTCTTGTAATGTGGTATACTTGATGGTTGATATGGCATCATCCATAGGGATCCGTATGTATTGAAGCAAGTTGCTACACGTAAATAAAGCTGCTGCTATACAATGGCTATCTACTGTTCACGTAAAAAAAGCTGCAAGGCAGGCTGCTGCAAGTAAAGAACGCTGTTGGAGACAATGGAGTAAAGGGCATGTTGATACCAATTGCTGGAAGGAATGCTGTTACGATTGGTCGTGGCAGAGGAGCGTGCAAGAGCATGTGTTGTAGTAGAGTGACAAGAAGGCTGTGTACACGCCATGGACTTGCCATTCAGTCAAAGACAATCAGATCAAGACAATCGTAGGGTTGACATGGTGGGTTGAAGCAGGACAATCATTCGCAGGTGGTAGTTGTGCTTGAATGGGGCAACAGTTGAGAGTGAGAGGAAGAGGGAAGAAGCTGGGAGTGGAAGAGGTGTAAATTAAAGAGGCAAGATGCTGCCCTACAAATCCATGCACACTGTACATCAAACCTTGATATTGACATTGCCCCTCATGAACCTGAAACTATCACACAAGGTGCTCTTGGACATGCTGATCACGTTGGTCTAAAAAAGACCTCATGTTTCATTTGAAAATTTGGAATGGGAGGGTATAATGTGGGTTTACTATGTAAGTCGGAAAGCAGGTCAGCGCCGGATTCATGATTTATCGAAATAGTACGTATTACCTTGGGATTCGCCATCTCGAACATGAAACTTTGTCAGAAGGTTCGCTGCAACATGCTGATCAACTTCATTCATTTGAAAACCATACACTTCATTAAGGATGTCTTGAATGCGGGAGGGCCCAAACGGTGGATGATGGGCAACAAAAGAGCGGACGGCCCACCGCCCCGAAGTTGCTCACTTCCAACTTGCAAATTGGTCAGAAGGGTGCTCTCAAGCATGCTGATCAACTTTTTCATAATAAAGATCTCATGCTTCATTTGAAAATTTGGAATGCGAGCGTCCAAAAGTTTGAGAGGCGGAGACATTCGCAGGGTCTGCGATTCATTAATTTTCATGCTTGCTGTTCCAGCGTAGCTCACTCAAATCGGCTCGGATCAAGAAACTTGAATGATGGAAATGATCGGTTGGAGCAGGAGAATCGTTCACATGAAGTGGATTTCGCAACAACCCTGATTGGGAGGAAATGGTTGTTAGCTCGCTATATATGGTCATTATAAAATTATCATCCATCAACCCTTCCAGTCATGCAAAAGTAGCTGTGTTACACAAAGAGGTCCCTCTGCATCTTTTGCTCTGCCAGGGTCCACCTACTTGACAATGAACAAAGACCACTCTTCATATAGCTTCACGCTTACAAACATAAAGGTGCCTGTATCTCCAAACTTTACAATGAAACGTGGGGTTTTTATTAGAGCAATGTGCTCGGCTTGGCCAACAGCACCTTGTGTAAAAGTTTCACGTCCAATGTCGCAACTAGCCCAAAAAATATTTTTTGGGTCGTCGTCGTCGAAGAGGTCGACCCCCAGATCCACTTTGGCTGGTAGCGACATTGCGAAATCTGGGATTGGCAAGCTTGATCGTGAAACTGGCACCCAAGGTGCAGTTGGCCAAGCCGAGCACATTGCTCTATTCAAAACCCCACGTTTCATTGTAAAGTTTGGAGATACAGGCACCTTTATGTTTGTAAGCGTGAAGCTATATGAAGAGTGGTCTTTGTTCATTGTCAAGTAGGTGGACCCTGGCAGAGCAAAAGATGCAGAGGGACCTCTTTGGGTAACTCAGCTAAAAAGTCAGGACTTCAGGGACAATGCATGAAAGGTACGCAACCCTCACACTACGGGAAAAAAGTTGGCTATTCTTGGGTTAAAAGCTGGTGAAAAAATCCCCCGTTTTTTGGGTGACTTTTTACCAATCGACCCAAAAATCACCAACAAGATCACCGGTTTATCACCATAAGATCCCCCATATCCCCCACATACGACCATGATTTCACCAAAAATCGCCAACGAGATCACCGGTTTATCATCATAGAATCATCATTATCACCAAGTTTTCCCCCAAATACAACCATGATTTCACCATAATCACCCATGGCATAACAACTATATCCCCAGGTCATTACACAGTGGGTGTGGGTTATACATTGGTGATGGTGGCCATCCCATGTTACCATAGCACCATGCAATGGGAGTTCCAAGTCGACCGGAGTGGACAAGTGCCAGTAGTAATCCATTGGGGTATGCAGCCTGTGCCGGTGCCACTTGTACAGTGAGCACTCACACCCCTCCATCATGCCCAACACACATACGACTATGGTATTGAATCGCAAAATACTGCGATTGGGAAGGTTAGATGCCCATGCTGCATATACAAAATCTCGAGAATTCCACTGTTTCTGTCACTGGCGGAGTTTGCTTTAACATAGCTACCTGCTTCGTTCATGCATCCAGCAGCTTCATTGAAGTGTTGTAATGACAAGGAGTATAAGAAAAGTAGTGTATTGATGCTGTAAAATCATTTAAACTGCACCTTGAGGGCTAGAGTCGTAAGGGTGTTTTCGGGTTATTAAGGTGATATTTGGGTGATAGCATTCACCCATCATTCACCCAAATCCTCTTTAGATCACCAATGGTTAAAGGTGGGGTATTTAGGTTGTATTTAGATGATTTGCTGTAACCGGAAAATGACCAGCGGTAACCAAAGGTGATTTCTTGGGGAAATGGATGAAAAGCAGGGGATACAGTCACCTTCTTTTCACCCATATCACCATTGGGGGTTTATTGGCGATGTTGGTTGTAATCTGGTGAAAAGATCACCCAAATTTAACCCATCAAATTGGTGATTGCAAAAATCACCCATATTTCACCAATATCACCGAGTATTCACCTTTTTCACCCAAATTTTTCCCGTAGTGTCACTTTTATGTCATACATTGGCAGCTAATAGCCACTTTTGTGCATTCCCAACTTTTGTGCATTCTATTGTAGGTGGACGATGCTCCTGCTCTAGACATTCATTTCCATGATTAAAGTAGGTTGATCCGAGCTGATTTGGTTGAGTTACGCTCACACAAGATTACATCGGTTGAGCTACATCGAGCGTGCTTTATGTCCAGAGTGATGTAATCTCTCTTTGACCGCAGCTCAGTCAAATCAGCTCGGATCAACCTACTTTAATCATGGAAATGAATGTCTAGAGCAGGGGCATCGTTCCCATGCAGCGGATCTCGCAACAATGATGAATGGATAAAAGTGGCCGTTAGCTAGCAATACATGCCTGTTCCTAGACGATCCATAAAGTAATTATACATTGACCCTTTCATTCATGCAAACGTAGTTGTGTTACACAACACGACCCTCTACATCTTTTGCTCTGTCAGGGTCTAGCTACTTTACATTAAACAAAGACCACTTCTCATATAGCATCACGCTTACAAACATAAAGGTGTCTGTATCTCCAAACTTTACAATGTAATGTGGGGTTTTGAATAGAGCAATGTGCTCGGCTTGGCCAACAGCACCTTGTGTGAAAGTTTCGCGTTCAATGTCGCAAACAGCCCAAAAAATATTTTTTGGTCGTCGTCGTCGAAGAGGTCGACCCCCAGATCCACTTTGGCTGGTGGCGACATTGGCCAAATCTCGGATTGGGAAACTCGATCACCAAACTTCTACACAGGGTGCTTTTGTTGACCCAGCCGGGCAACTTTGTTCTATATAAGATCCCACGATGGGTTGTAAGATTTTGAGATATGGACGTCTTTATGTTTTCACTTGATTTAAGCGTGATGCTATATGAAAAGTGGTCTTTGTTCATTGTCAATCGCTTCACTCATACTACGAGAGCCGAAGATGCAGAAGGACTTGTTTGTGTAACTAAGCTGAGAGGGCAGGTCTTGATGATGCGTCAATGCTGTAGATGGGTGATTGTGCATGATAATTCCTCCCCCTATAGTGAGGTCTGCCCATGAAACCCTGTGTGAATGGTTCATATAAGGTTTTGAAAGATAACGGATGCTGAGAGTTGCCATAGCTAAGCATACCATTTTATGCATTTGTGCCATCTAAATCACGCGTTGTTTGAGACCCGCCGTTGAATAGCGTCTATTAGCATGTGTGCTAGAGAGCATGGATGATGTCTGTACACGATGCCTCTATGTTGAAAGCGTTGTTCTCTGGATGTCCATATTAGTCGACATTCAAAAGGGTGCCAAGCGTGGTAGTCGGGATGTTGTTGTAGCTGTGTAGTAGCATAGCAACAACATCAGGTTGATTTGTAAATGTAATAGTATAGTCCAACCATGTACACCGCTCTTTTTGCGATCATAGCTACACTCAACTCTCTTTGCCTTGCTCATTTAGATAACATCATATGCAGGCGTGAGATTGCAGCAAGATGCCTTCCGATGCGTTGTTCGATCTAAGCGCACGGACCATTGACAACGTTGCACATGGCACCATATCTCCGTAGCACAGCGTAACAACGCTCTGTAGGTGTTGCATGCATGCTTAACGGTCACGTGGATCATACCTTTTGAAACCATCCACTGTGGGAAAAAAGGTCACTGTGGCAATAAGAGGTAGCTTTAAGAGGCACTCACGATCAAAATAAAAAAGAACCCAGAGAATACAACAATGATTGCAAAAGAGGGCATGGCTTTTAATTCACAAGAAGGAGCTATGCTAATGAACAAAGTGACCTATATACATGGATGCCTTTTTTTCTTTTTCAATGTTTGTACAATTGATGATGGTTTGCAAGGTTGCCTAGTGAGTGGAAACGACGACGACATGTGGGACAACGAGGTACAGCATCGAGAACACCTGGCGATTGTCGTAAACGAAAAACATCACTGTTCACTCGTCTCTCCTTGGTATCTTGAGCCGCCACGGGGACTACAGCAGATACTCCAATGATTGAAGGTGACATGCTTTTAGCCATAAAAAGTGGTGAAGGAGTAATGGAGGATGGGTTTAAACGAACGCCTTTTCAAGAATCGCGTGGATAAAAAAAGGGGGAGAACGAAAGGATGATGAGATGATCACAATTAAAACAGCAGCAGTGATCGTGAGATAATGATCGTGAGTGAGTATAGAGATGGTATTATTTGCTTGACTTTTGATGGCTGATCCTACTAGCGTGCCCTTTTTATATGAAGACGTTCAAAATGAGATGGCATAAATTCCTTTCCAGAAGGACATAGATTGCACCATTCCTCCGCGCTCCTGAGATAGCAATAACACCGCAATTTAAAGAGTCGTTCGTTATCTCACCCTTGTGCAGCATTATTGACATCATGCAAATTCGCATGAGTACAAACCAAGATATGAGCCATTGGTGGTGGTGATGATGCCAATTGGTGGTTATCACGGATCAACATGCACGCACCACCGCGCAGTGTGAATCGATTTCCAACGTTCCGAAGATACATATTATTATCATTCCAATGCTATTCTACATGCAACATCATAATCAGCCCCCAGCCCCTTTTCGTTTGAGAAATCTTTCTTTGGCAATTCAATGTATACACACACGTAGTACTATACTGGAAGGGTTGTTTCAGCATGTGCAAACGGACCACCAAGCGGATCATTTTTCATTTGCAGGGTCCATTTTCGGCTTTGGATGGTATCATCGGCTGATTCTCGGATTCATCTTGTGAGGGATTTATCCTATTATGTCGGTGCAGTCCGATGTATCTCCTTTTTTGCGTTGTTGGTTTATCCGTTTACATAGCGAGAGCACATTACGTACAGTGATGATAAGCATGGACGAATTCGGACTCGCCCGTTATATGCTCTTATCGGCATGAGCTTGTTTGTTAATCCTAATAGATTACTTTATCCTCAATGACAGACAACGTCTATTTCATGCACGCGTGAAAACGCCACCAAAGCAACAACATGCACGGTACAAGCCGAGTCATCATGTGCATTGCATTATCTACTACTACATCCATTATACACGACCATGCCGGTCTTTGTGAATCATCTTGCCGCAATACATTCCTTTAGAAATGATGCTTTATTACTACCATGTTCATATCAAGGGGAATTGGATACAGGATGGGTGACAACAACAATGCTACTCAAAACATTTGACGCGCCCACTGTATTTGTACTTTCTCTTCTCTCCGCTTATACACACACCCACACCCACACAAAGGACAACACATGCTCCCAGCCCTGCGTTTATCACGATCTTGTCATCGGCCGCTTTTTATGCGTGCCTTTCAACGTTCTTATGGCAGCAACAGCTCTGTAGACGCCGAAGAAGTGAAAAAGTTCAACGCCATGTCTCAGCAATGGTGGGATCCCGATGGCGAGTTTGGCATGCTGCAGCTCATGAACCCTGTTCGTGTACGTTACATACGTGACCAGCTTCCTCAGAACGACAACGAGACGCATCCATTCAAGGGCCTTCGAATGCTTGATATCGGTTGTGGCGGTGGTTTGTTGTCAGAGGTAAAAAAGGATATGTAGTATGCGTGTCACCATCGTTGACATGTTGCCTGTTAGTCTCTTGCACGTTTGGGTGGCCAAGTCGTAGGCGCTGATGCTTCTTTTGATAATATCCAAATGGCCAAACTTCATTCACGTAAAGATCCTCGATTATGGCGTGGCCCTGGTAGTGTTGAGTATCGACATACACTTGCAGGTAAATTCATTCATTCATTGTATCAAGGCACATGAGAGACAATGAGATTAATCAATTGGGGGATTATAGAGGATTTACTTGAAGCCAAGGAATCATTTGACGTTGTATCGGCCATGGAGATCATTGAACACGTATCAAATCCACTCGCATTTCTGCAAACTTGTGGCGACCTTGTACGACCTGGAGGTTCCTTGTTTTTATCCACTATGTCACGCACCTTGCATTCGTACCTGTTGACGGTCTTGCTGGCTGAGGACATCTTGGGAATTGTGCACAAAGGAACGCATGACTGGACAAAGTATATCAATAGCAAGGAATTGATTGCAGCCGTGGATTCGATCAAGGGAGGGTGGACAGTGCAGGACGTTCGTGGTATCTTTTGGGATCCTCTCAAGCGGAAATGGTGGTTGTCAGAGAAGAATGGTCATATCGCACCCTGTGGAATAGAAGCTTTAGAAGTCAATTATCTTTTGACAGCCAAAAGGAATGAAGATTAGAGATTTCCAATATATGTATATAATATATGCCTTTGTTCAATTAATCAAAACAGTGGATTGAGGTGTGTTTGATGATGCTTCTACTACAATGGGTGGTTTATCTTCTAATGGTGATTGGGATACGCTGGCTCGGAAACGATGCATGGCTCGAATGGCTCCAACAGCACCCTTGAGCTTACGTCGTGCACAAAAGTTCTCTCGTACATTCTTTAAAAGGTCAACATCATTGGCGTCTTGTCCTATCAGCCATTTATCCTCAAGTGCCTCCTTTGCTGTTAGCCGCTTTGCAGGATCGAGTGTCAAGAGGCGACGAATAAAGTCCTTGGCTACAAAAACATACCCTTAGTACGCAAGTCTTTCACAAATACAACATGACTTACCATCCTGGGACACTGTACGCCAATACCTGTCATGGAACTCGTATCGAGCATGTGTGATTTCATTAATGAGCTCACTTGGTTCTTCTGCTTGGAATGGTTGATATCCACACAATCTAAAGTATCGTTTGCATGAACATGAAGCCCTTGTAGATTATGTTCCTTGATAATCCTTACATGGTATACGTGATGACCCTACAATAGCAATATTAGCTAAACCATCCCTCCATTCGTTTTCCTTTGAATACTTTACCCCACAGCCCACAGATCGACTGGAGCTCCACAACTCTTCTTTTCCAATACCTCAGGTGCTGAGCATGGTCCACAAGTTACCAAAAATAGAATTAAAGTTTTCTGGATTGCCGCTTACCAACATAACCTGGAGATCCGCAAGCTGTTTGCGCCGTTGATTGTTGATCTGACAATGTAGCAATCCTGTTTAAAATCAGTAACGATCCCCATTATTATCATTTTCGATCGATGACAATACCCAAAATCGCATATAGCCAAGTCAGCATGTGCATCGGATGTCTTAAACAGGAGGTTTTCTGGCTTGAGATCTGAGAATGATAGTACAGGACATTACCAAGTTGCCCATGTTTGTTGCTGTAGTAGCATGTTCATCCATACCTCGATGTACAATGTTGTGTGAATGCAAATACTGTAAACCACTTAGTATTGATCGTACTACCACGACGGCGTCCTTTTCAGTGAATTTCCCTCGTTCAAAGAGCCTGTCAAACAACTCGCCGCCGGTAGCACTAAAAAGAGTGTGTGTCTCAGGTGTCAAAAAGAATCCCAGTCCATCTGCGTAACCATGCAATGTCTCATTCCAGATACTTTACAGTTCAAACACTAGATAAAACTTTTCTCTAAAACCACTTGTCAATATACCATGTTGCATGTGCTGGGGGAGAAAGGGAGGGGAGGTGGTGGGAGAAAAAGTGTGTCTATACATACCGCGACTCGAACCACTCAAAGAAGCCAATCACGTTTGGATGAGACAATCCCTCGAGGACTTTCATTTCAGCATAGACCATATCGAAATGGCCTTTGACATTGCGTTTGGGAATGACCTTGATGGCTACTGGCTTCTTATCTACAACTCGTATTGCCCGTCGGACATAGCCAAAAGAGCCGGTGCCTAGAACAAAACATGATCTGCATTAAGAGAGGTATATCCACACCTACATCAACTCTTATTACCAAGGGTATCTCCAAATTCATAGGTACGTTTCTTGATGTATGAAGTAGGTTGTTGTACACCACCGTGTAAAATTGTATCAAATGTTTGTAATAAACCCATCATGAGATCAAAAAGAGAAGGAAAAGAAAAAGGAGAAGACAACGATGCTTTGTGTGTCCTGCACCACCACCACCGCTCGCTCACACACTAGTATGATCCGCTTTTCCGAAACTCCCGAAAGGTACTAGGCGGGCGCAGTTTCCCTGGGAGGAGAAACCATGTGCATAGTAGAGACCTTGATCCAACAATGAGATGACGTTGTTGAGTAAATCATAAAAGAGAATAATGGGCATGGTGGCAAGAGCATCCTGTTTTCTTATCCCTAAAGTGTCTCAAACCCATATGTGCGTGTGTGTGTAAACTACATGCATCCTATATGTTATTGCTGCAAATGCATGGATATATATATACAACACAACATACAACTGCATTGCTGCAAACGATGGCTCAATTAACAATACCTTGAATTTTTATTCTTTGGATTCCTATCCTAATCTATATCTAAGGTATGCATATGGCTACGTGCGAACAATGGAGAAGGACATGATCAGCAGAAAGGATGATGAGGGATGTCCTCACGTACCACACAAGGAGTAGACCTTTTTTCTTTTTTCCAAATGCGGATGCATAATGCCATGCATGTCCCCCGTCAACAGCAGCAGCAGCAGCAGCACAATCCCAACCTGATGATCCCCTTGCATTTGACATGCAACCAAGAATATAACATGACCATTGCTATACTTCGTCAACTATTTTGCTCTGTAAATAGAAATATAATAACAAAAAGAGCGAGATGTGTGCATTTATTGACGCCGGATGTGTATTACGTACTTATTTTTGACGAATGCAGCTCGCTGCACAAGGAGACAGAGACTTGCAAAGCATATCATCCTATCCTCTCCCTCTCCCTGTTTCCAAAAAGTCAATTTCGTCCATCTCTGAATAACTTATAAAGAGAGCACACTCCACACGCCATTACATTTTCTTCATTCTCAACTTTTTTCTACCACTGTTATCACCACCATCATCATCATGTTCATCACTGGATTTGCCGTTGTTATGGCTGTGCTGGCCACAAACTTTGTTGTCGTTGCCGAGGTAGTGTTGCATACTTCTTCATTTCCATGACACGAACAAGAGATTAAAGCCTGTACTTTTTAGCGAAGCATTACATTGTCAAAGAACAAGTCTCAAAAGAAGGCACGCCGTGAGATGGATGAGAAGCAATGCCTTATCATGGATGAAAAGAAGGCTATGGCAGCTGCGCTGTCATGAACACTATTCCCATCGTCATCCCATTCATCTATCTCCCCTTCGCCATGATCGTCATCTTGTACCCCTTAATGCACATCTCTAATCACACTGAAAAAAGGCCTAATACACACGAAATGCCTTTTTTGTATCCAATGCCTGATATACATGAAATGTTGATTCTTTTATGTGCGTGGATAACTGTGTATATACAAAGACATGTTGATGCTGAAAATGGTGTAAAGGTCATGGATGTGTATGTGTGTGGATTGGGATAATAGATCAATGCTGCTGCTGTTGTTGTTCATGCGCAATTCTCTTGATTTCTTCAACACGTTGATGGATTGTTTCAACAGCTGCGGTCCATACTTCAAGTTCTTTTTGTTGTCCAGCAACAGTGGCACGGAAAGGAATACTCTTTGTTGTACTCATGGCAATGCTACCGGTCTTGCGGAGGAAGCGAACATTGTCTCTTAGGGCAAGTTGGATATCCTGTAAAACATCCATCCCATATTAGATCCACCTAGTCTCTCCCTTTCTATCAACAAGTACAGTATCATACATACATTCACAAGCGAGAAATAACGTGCTGCCAACGCTTCGAATTCCTGAACACGTTCGTGGACCGCCTTGGAGGTGTCTTCGTCATTCTTGCTGTCATCGCTCAGAATCGCCAGTGCATCACCTGCCGTTTCAACAAGAAGCACCAGTTTCTATTCATGTCGATTAGTAAGAGAGCAAGTCATTCCATATCAACCGAGCAATGGGCACCTTTTCAACTTCGTGTAGATTCTTGATGCGCGTAGTACTCTCGGCAAGTTGTGTGGTATCCATGTTGTAAGAAAGAGAAAAGTGCAATTGTCCACCAACCAACCAACCCCGCCATCACTCATTCATTCCCTTCCAGTATACAGCAAGCAAGCAACTCGAGTTTATTATACATTCAAATCAAGACATGGTACTTTTCCATTTGGCAAACTTCCCATAGGACATGTAGACCATTTCGAGCTATCACATAAAGTCCATCCTTTGTTTCCATCCACGTCCATCATATCTTCATCATCCATTATCTAGAAAAAAGTAAAACCCCCATTAGGACAATGTATCATCCACCATCCCAAAGTTTACTTACAACTCCTTGCATCGCTTGGATACGTCCTTTGAGCTCACTCAATTCTCCTTCCATATCAACCTCTTGTACCGTATCAGCTGCATTATTCGCCTATTCAAAGCAATTAGCATCGGTGCCCTGGATAAGAATGAACCCACTTACGCTGTGTTTGCTAGCCAAGTAGCTGTCAATGTATTTCAGGAACGGTTCAAGATCCCTTTCCAGGTCATCATCTGCCACTTGGGAAATATTTCGCAGGACCACCCGTGTGCTATAAATAAAATGTCATTAGTCTAAAGGCTGATCCTGAGAACAATGAACTTACAAATGATTGGGGTAACGAAGGCATCCTTCCATAACATCGTTCAATTCAATGTTCACCAAGATAGACTCATTGTGATCACCACCACCTCCAAAATCATTCGATACAATGTGCTTCAAGTAACATGCGAGTGTTAACAGGTAGCTGTTGCCCGTAAGGTCATCATCCAGTGCATTATCCTCCTATATGTGTCGACATGTAAGCATGGGGCATGTACATAAAGAATAGGAATACGACTTACCAAAGGTCCTGACACGATGTAGGAGAGCTCTCTGCTGATTTTGTATTCTACACAATGAAAGATTAGCGTCATTGATTGTTCACAATGAAATTGCGCTTACCTTCTTTGACATCCAATCGCTTCACAATCGCATCCAGCAACTCCTTGGCAAAATTAGAGTGTTCCCGATCCAGCGCACGTACGAGAGGAAGCCATAGCTCAAGTAGATCCTTTGACAAAACCATGTAGTCAAAACTTGGACGCTTCCTACAATACCATCAACATCAGCATCACATGTATGAACCATCCCCTATCATGACGTACTTTTTGCTGACAGGCACTAGACCACCAGGTTTCAATAGCTCGGGAACCACCGCGTCTCGAATGTAGGGTCCTGATACAGCTTTCATGAACTTTTTCAATGCTTCCTCGTGATCATCGTTGGTGGGTCGACCGCGTCTTGAATCTAATGGATTGATTAGAGCCCATGATCATCCACTCTCTGAAGATCAAACTTTTTACCTTTTATAAATGTTTTCCTAGCATCCTTGTATTGTTTTAATGCCAATCGAATAGCAAACACCTTGTTTTCATCAAGGATAGGCGATCTTTCAGGCTTGAGTTCCATTGCCCAATAAGCATCATACAGCCATTGTAACGCCTAATCCCATTCTCAGTATCGATTTGCATGACCCCATCCATCCAATCCATGTATGATGTTTACCTGTTCAGCTGCTTCACGTAAAACGGATATACCTGGGAGATGTTCATGGGTAGCTGCATGACGAAGTTCAACAAACCACAAAGGTAATCCCAAGCGTTCTGCGATCTCAGATGTAGCTCGTGCAACAGAGCCTGTTTGTAAAGGATCCACCATGCCATTGACAAATCTATGATTTGATCCCCTTCAATATGTGATCCACGTGATCAACCTCCTCCTCTACCACCATCATTTACCTGATGAGTGCAAAGGCATATAATTGTCGTAGCTCCTGTAGTGATAATGCCATATGGCCTCCTCGGTCTCGTAGTCGTAATTGTATCAATGTGGATGTACATTCAATAGCAGTGGGTAAACGTCCTCGACTTGACCAAGCAGCCACCTATTTATGTGTGTGTTAGGTCTTGCATAACTAACCCATTGTGGTCCGTGGTTGATTTTACCCGATCGACGCCATGTTGAGCTTCTTCTGGTGATTGAGAATATAGCCATTTGTGAACCGTTTCGAATTCTTCAAAGTTGATCCAAGGGACAACGCGTAAACCGCCCATGGCTGTAAAGGTATTTGAGAGAGAGTGAGTGTGAGTGAGTATGAAAAAGAAAAAAAGAAGTCGCTTCTCCTTTTGACCTCTTCCCTTTTTTTCCTCCCCGCTGTGTAGCTTTCAAATGTCAAAACGAGCCGCCGATGCCGAGCCTGAATCCAGCACTGCTGCAGTTGCTGTTCGAGCAAAACGCGCCCGATCGTCTCAAAAGGAAGGTCATGTAGAGGACTGCACCGATCCAGAATGCCAAGGGTGCGATGTCGGGGAGATTGAGATCACATTTGTGCGCAAAGACGAGCATGGTCACGAACAAACAGCAACACCGAGCGCACAGGAACTTTTGGATATGGCCATTGCTGAAGCATCACATAGCAGCAAACAACGGGATGATCATCTTGTACGACGCCTGTTTGATTTGGCATTGGAACAGTATCAAGAAAAGGAAGCGGATAATCGAGTCGGTTATGCAACATGTCTCATTGAACTTGGACGTGCCATTCATGTGGAAGAAAGCTTACGAGAAGGTCTTGACATCTTGCGTGGTCTCAACAAGAAGCAATCATTGGATGATGATGAACAGCAATTGTTATTGGCACGTGCAGCGATGGATCTTGCTATTTTCATTCGAAAGCGACAAAACGCCTTATATGAAGAGTTGCTGGATTCAGAAGATGAGGATGAAGAACCTAGTCAAGAGTTGCTCAGCAAACAAAAAGTAAGCAGGGAGGAAATCAAGCTATGCAAGGAAGCTTTGGATGCCATTGACAAGGTAAATGTTTTGTTGTTGTCATGTTGGATCAAACTAAAGTAATGCGTTAGGTGCTACCTTCTTTGGATAAAACGCCTACCAAAGCTGTCCGCTCAACACTGGAGAATCTACACGCATACGCTCAGCTTTTGGATCAGCCCTTTCATTTTGAACACATCTCACTTGTCCTTGATGCCCTTGTACGCTACATTCAACACTTTACATATCAAGAAGACCCAGAATCTCAAGCATTATGGGCTGCCAGTTTATTACATAAGCAAAAGTTTATCCAAGATACTGGAAAGCAGCAGGTAACACGAATCCATTTCTCTCTCAAAAGACAATATGGCTAAGTGTGGTATTTAGGATCTATGCAACGAGATTGAAAAGTTGATTTCTACAGCCAACAAGATCTACAAGGAACAGAATAAACAAGAATACGCACGTGGCATGGAGCTGGTGAGTGTGACACATGTTGCATTAACACAACATGTTACTAATGTTGTTATCCATAGCTCGGCATGCTTCAATTGACCCAATCCAATTTGCTTGAGGATGAAGATGCTGTTTTGGAAAAGTATGACGAGGCAATTGCATCATTCAAGAGAGCGTTGGAATTGAATCCAGGTAAAGCAAAGAAAAGTGGTTTTAGAACAGCTTCATTCATTCATTTATATGTATACGTAGACAATCAAGATCTTCAAGACATGGTCAACATGCTTAATGGAGAAGAAGAAGAAGAGGAATAGAAACCTTTGTTTTAAATTACATCTTATACATGTCTCTAATATAATCAACCAATCCAAAGCCATTCTTTATCAATGAGATCCATCACATCGCTTCCTTCTGATGTGCCTTCAGTGAGTCGTACTTTTCCATCCTTTTCGAGTTTGAGTAAATGTAATACCACACCACGGGTGGCTGCTAGGAATAAGGTGGTTGGGAGACCTTGGTATATTTTGCCGGCAATGTCTGTTGCTGACCATGGCTTTTCTGGTCCCTCGGAAGTCATCACCTTGACAACTTGCTTCTCTCGTTCTTCACGATGTTGAATATATTCGGTGATTCGGGCCACACCATCTTCGACGACTGGGCCATGTCCTGGATACAATCGTTTCGGTTCAAGTGCCAATAGCCGACGTAATCCCTCGAGATACTCTGACAAGTCTTCAAATACAGCCGTGCCTTGACCCAACACACAATCGGCCGTGAACAAGCTTTGTTCTTCCTCGAGCAAAAAGGCACAATGATCCTTTGTATGGCCCGGCGTATAGAGGACTCGGAGTGTGAGTGAAGGATCGATCTTGAAGATTTGATTATCTTGGAGTGGCGAAAAGGGGACATCTTGAGGAAATCCACGATGACCTTCAGCATTCTTTGAGGAAGCTGGATATTTATGAATGCGGATATTACGACGACTGTTGAGGATGGATGAAGCGAGAATGTCTTTGAGTCCACCAAAATGATCAGGGTGTGCGTGTGTCACAATGATATCCGATATGTATGCATTGGGTGATATGCTCCTAAGAGATTCTTCAAGTAACGGCACATATTCAGGTATCCCTTGACCTGCGTCGATAAGTAGTTTACGTGCTCCCGTACCAAGTAGATAGGTGTTGGTGCCTAATGACAACAACATGGTCATCGTCCCATCGCCATAAGCTCTTCTTGTTCCTCATTGCAAAAAAAAGTCAAAATAAAAAAGCATACCTTGCAAAGTGAATTTTCCTGGGTTTAAGCCGAGCACTCGCCATACACGCTCAGAAAGCCGTACAAATGTAGGAAGGGATACCAAGTTGTCCACCATATCGTATAAAGGAACAGAGAAAGAGGGTGATGGATTTTCCCACCCAATGTCCTACTCGCTGACAAATCTTATTCCGTACCATGGTCAATGACGTGTGTATGTTGTTGAGCTTGGGACAATCATCCAAGTACACATGCATCCACTCATGGTTCATTTCCTGCATAAAAGACAATGTCGGACTCATTCAACAAAGAAGACCTTTCCACCTTCTTGCCAAGTCTTATATACGCTATAACTAGGTACCATTGTCAAGCGATTTCAATTCCATTAAAGGTGTCTGCCAAAGATGATTTTTTAATCTAATTCCTTAATTCCATCGTTGAAGCAAAGCAAGTTATAGAAGAAAAGGAGGAATTCGATGCATGATGCCATCAGTGTGGTAAATAGCGACACTCAAAGCGCCATCTGGGTATGAAATTGGTATCATTCCAAACACGTTTTGTATTCGATTCAACCTGTTGCATGAGAATTGATCCAATCAATCCAGCATCCCATTTAGTAGTAGGAGCAATAGTGAGTAACCTGGTGGCCTCATCAACTTGAGTATAGCTTATCTACCACATGCATGAGTATAGAAGTCCACATTCGGTAGCATGAAAAAAGATACGAGGAGAGATCAAGTTATAGAAGAATGATGTGGTAGCTTTATTGTCGACAATGTAAAGGCTTTATGGATACGTGTGTAGCATGGGGTAAAAGTGACGAGGAAACAAAGGTTTACCAATGACAGGTACAACAACGATCACTATGGAGATAAATTTAAGTGAGCTTGTGACTCCCGCAATTTCTTTTTGGCATTCCATTCTATCACCATCTTTTGCATGTCAACCGAAAACAATATCCTAGATACCTCAAAGGAGGCCTTTATCAACCTTATTTCGCAACTAAACGACTCTCAGTTGCATGAATTTGATGCCTTTGCACGTTCAGCACTTGGTACGCTACTACTTGGACGTCTTGTTCAACACACTCTTATGCTGACGATCGTGTGCTTGCTTCCTTAGACGAGTATCACCAACAACTCCATAATCATGACCATGGCAGTGACGATCTTGACATGGAAGCCAATGACGAGCAGGGATTTCAACCTGTGAGCGATGCCAAGTTGCAACGGCTGGGACGTATTGTAAAAGACTTGCGATCTCGCGTACCGATATCAGCTGAAGCACCAGGTGAAAAGACAATGATACCAGACACCAAAGACGTGAGTCATTCATTCATATCTATATGGGAAGGACCATGGATCTCATATGTATATGATCTAGTTTGCAGGCTATACGGAACAAAACACGGTCCATGTGGATGGATTCCTGTTCACCGAGGATGATGTGGATGATTTGTGCGATCGTGGCAAGCTCTCGCGTAATTATTGTGTTGATTGCATGTCAAGGAATACACAACCTTTGAGTAAGTGGATACGGTTGCTAGGCAACAAGGGTGGTAGAGCTGATCCATTTCTTGTTTTCAGATTTCATTTCACACTCTGCATCCGTCATGCAGCTACAATTCCTATATCAGGTGGCTTTGGCTAACCGCGTCAAGGACAAGGTGATTGTGGATATCGGTTCTCGATTAGGTGCTGTGCTTTATTCCGGCTACCTGTTTACACGTGCAAGCAAGTTGATTGGTGTTGAATTGAATGAATGGTTCTGCAAGCTACAACAAGAGATGGTCAACAAGTATAAAATGGGTGATCGGGTGGAGGTAAGTTATCAAGAAGGGTATATATATGGAAGAATGAATTTGCTCTAACTCCCCCCCCCGCCATAGGTTGTTTGCAAAGATATCCAGCAGGTGCCTGAACTTCTCAATCAGCAAGCGGATGTCGTTGTTATGAACAATGTATTCCAATTTTTCAATGAGTTGCCAGTACAACAGCAAATTTGGAAGTTTATCCGGTCCGAGACGAAGAAACGATCAGGATTGCTGCTTGTGACCTTGCCTTCATTACAAGAACAGCTTCGAGAAGCCAACATGTCACCAACCAAGCTCATGAAAGGATGGGTTAAGGAAATCAAGTTGGATTATGAGGGCGGTTGGTTCCAAGATCAATTGCATGATGATGAATTGGATGAAATCAGCCAAGTCCATTTGTACAAAGTGTTATAGAATTCGTTGTTGTATTTATAAAGTTGATAATAGAAGCATGTTTATTCTTCAAAGAGTGTAGTGTGATGAGGGTCAATAGGATGTGCATAATAATGCTTGATGGTTGTGGTTGTGGTAGTGGTGCCTTTGTTGTTGATTTGTCCGCCCGCCACTTGCAAAATTTATTTTTCGGGCAAAGACTCGATCAGCTTTCTTTCCCTTGACAGTCTCTCTCTCTTTCTCGATCGCCATGCCCGACAAAGCGATCCTTGAACCTACCTCTCAATGGTACACGATTGAACTTCCAGAGATCACTCCCAACGATGTGCAACTCTCTGCTGAAAAGATCGCCGAGAAAAAGTCATACGCCAAACAGCTACTCAAGAAGGAGAATGAGCTTGTCGACTTGACCGGCGCCTTATCCACCAGCGATCGCAACTTTGTTTCCAACATTTTGGCTTCGGGTACACTCAATGATAAGGTGTCTGCTTTGACTCTGTTGGTGCAAGAGTCTCCTGTCCACAGCTTGAAGACAATGGATACCATGCTCGCCATGTCCAAAAAGAAGGGTCGAAAGGAAGCTGTCATGGCACTCGAGAGTTTGAAGGATTTGTTCCTTGGATCCGTTCTCCCAGACCGCAAGCTAAAGTACTTTGCTGATCAACCACTCGCTGCTCATGGTGTCAAGGATAAGCATCTTGTCTTGTGGTACTTTGAGGACCATTTGAAAAAGTATTATTTCCAACTTGTTCAACAAATTGAGGTATGTTCATGTTGTGGCATACATGAAAGTGATTCCATGTGACTTATTGGATTTGTTTGAATAGGCACTTTCCCATGATCCTCTTGTTCATGTTCGTATGGCCATGGTTCGATGCATTCATGATTTGCTTGTTGGAAAGCCTGAACAAGAACAGAATTTGCTAAAGTTGCTTGTCAACAAGCTTGGTGATTCTGAAAACAAGGTGGCAGCCAAAGCATCACAATTCATTATCGATTTATTGGTGGCTCATCCCGGCATGAAGTCCTTCGTTGTCCGTGAAATTGAACAATTGTTGCTTTTGCCCGATGTATCCGAGCGTGCACAGTACTATTCGCTTATCACCCTCAATCAAACCATTTTGACGGCTAAGGATACGGCAGTTGCCAACAAGCTCATCGAGATCTATTTCATCTTTTTCCGACGCTTATTGAATTTGGCTGAAAAGGAGGAAGAGAATGGTGAAGTCAAGCTGGTACCTGTCAATGACAAGAAGAAAAAGAACAAGAAGAAGGGTGGCAAGCATGGCAAGAAGAAACCTGAGCCCAAGAAGAATGCTGAGGAAATGGATGAAGTACGTAGCAAGATGATTGCTGCTATTCTTACTGGTGTCAATCGTGCGTTCCACTTTGCCAAGATTGCCGATGAAATGTAAGTATCTATGATATGGGAGGAGAGGAAAAGGCGCATGCATACTAATCTATGTATCGGATCATAGTGTGGAAAGACATTTGGAGATTCTTTACAAGATTACCCACACAGCTTTCATCAACACTGCCATCCAAGCCCTCTCTCTCATTTTCACCATTTCGCTCTCCAGACAATTTGCAGCTGATCGATTCTATCGCACACTCTATGAATCGCTTCTTGACACTCGACTCTTGACGACTTCGAAGCAAACCATGTATTTGAATTTGTTGTTCAAGGCTATTCGTGCTGATACCGATCTCAAGCGTATCAAGGCCTTTGTCAAGCGCATGTTGCAAATCGCAGGTCATCATCAACCCCCATTCATTTGTGGTGTCTTGTATCTCTTGAGTCAGGTAAGGTTTTCATTTTCCTATATACAATGGTGGACTCATGGGTGTTTATATATACAATAGTTGACGGAGACACATCCTGGTTTGCGAGCCATGCTTACGACTCCAGAAGAAGATGATGAGGATGAACATTTTGAGGATGCACCCTCTGAAGAGGAGGAAGACAATGACGATGATGATGAGGAGAAGAAGAAATCCAACAAGAAACCAGCACAAAACAGCGCACGAGCCAACTATTACGATGGACGTAAACGTGATCCCCGTTTCAGCAAAGCCGAAACCAGCTGCTTATGGGAATTGATACATTTCAGAAATCATTACCATCCCTCCGTGGCCAAGTTTGCCAACATGCTGTTCAATGATGAAAAGATTGCCGAACAATCCGACATGCACAACTTCACACTTATTCACTTTTTGGATCGATTCGTGTACCGCAATCCCAAAAAAACCGCAACAACACGTGGCAAATCTATCATGCAGCCTCTTCCTGGTCGCCAAGATGGTGGTATTTTGATGACACGTGGTAACACACAACAAGAGCATGCCGTCCCTGTCAACTCTGAAGCATTCTGGCGTAAAAAGATTGAGGATGTACCAGTGGATGAGGTAAGAAAAAAAATGTTTACAGGTGGGAAACCAGGATTACTAAGACGAGACCTTTTTTTTACATTAGATCTTTTTCCACAAGTACTTCCAACAAAAGCGTGCTGGTGAAGATCTGGATGAGGAGGAATCTAGCAAGAAGAAGCGAAAATTGGAGGGTGAAGATGTGGATGATGAACAAAATGAAGATGAAGTCTGGCGAGCCATGATGTCTTCGATACCCGGTGGCCTTGACGATGATGAGGATATCGACGATGTGGACGACGATGAAGATGATTTCGACGATGATGAGATGCGAGCTCTATTGGAAGATGACGACGACGATGAAGATGAAGATGCAGAGGGCATGGAAGAAGCCTCATCCGATGATGATAATGAAGATGTTATGGACGAAGACGATGATGAAGATGAGGAGGATGATGAACAAGCTGAAGAAAATGAAGATGACGATGATGAAGGAATCACTATCAATGGCGTTAGAATGGTCGAAGCGCCTTCGTCTGATGAAGAAGAGGAAGACTCGGATTGAAATTGCCAGCATTGAAATCATTACTCACACGCACACACTCACGCACACACACGCCTTGTATCAACAACCATACGAAACATTTTCCCCATATTTTGCATCGGCTAGTCATTCTAGATAATCATTGCTTTCTTTTATACATCCAATCCAAATAATACAACTTGCTCATTCGTACCCGATTTACTTGTCACATTGATGGTTCATGTCACGTGTCTATGGGGGTGGTCTTGACATTGTGAGATTCTCAATACCTTGTATTCATGTGTTGATGCATTCTTTATTTGCTCTCCTCCTTGGCACTTTTAAAACATGCAGGGTTTCCTTGACCAGATGATCTTGGATCATGTACCCTTGCTGCTTGCTGAGCAATACCCACCTGAATATCCCAGGTCTATTGTTGGTGATAGGATGGCGTAGCCAACAAGGATTGGGGCCAATCCGTCAATGATAATGAGCCACTTGGCAATGTTCTTTTGGGAGACACGGTCCGTTAACATCCGATGTGAACAACAAAAACCATGACAAGAATGCTCAAAAGAGTAATTCATTTACCATGTGACGTTCGTTCCTCCAATCAGAGGGTAAGCAGAAGGAGGTGTGTGTGTGTATGGGATGCAACGCCTATGGATACCACGTACAGCCCATCTGGGTGTATCGGGAAATGTGAATGGATGGATGAATGCGAATGGACTCCCCATCATCCCCCACTAAATACAGGGATAAAGCATTCTTCTCTCTCTCTTTTGAACACTTGTTTTGCATATGTTGGAAGATTTTGGATCAACAAGTCTGCGGGGGGTGGGTAGGTAAAGGTGAGGCTGAGACAAGTAGAAGGTGTAATAGGCATCTTCCACTAAAAGGTGCAGGTAATACTGTACAAGCGGAGGAGAGATTTGAAGCGGGGAAGGGGATTATTGTAAAGGGTAACCCACAAAAGGGCGTTTGTCGGATGTACGTACAGCGAAGGAAAGATGCATTTTTGTGTCCCTGTTCATATATGGGGGCTATGTGTGTTATTAAGAGAGAGAGTGATCAAGCCCAACTGACAAATCAGATTGCTTCTTTAAGTCTGAATTACTATAAGATCAATAATGATGATGGCAACACAGTATATTATTGGGGTATAATGATCGACGATTGTGATGGACACGGATCGGATATGGAAGAGTATGATATAGAATGATATTATAGTACATGAATCATGGTGCAGCAGCAGCAGCAAAAAAAATGAGGGGCCCCAACATTCATTATCATCATCATCATTGCACACCGAAAGGAGTGGAAAGTAAGGATTTCATCAATCAAGAGCTTACCACCCACCCACCACCCACCATAGAATTCTGCCCCAGCCAGGAGAGTGAAAAAAAGAGCTCTCACTCCACCTATGCACATGCATGAAGAAAAAAGCCGCGAGTCATTTTTGCGGAAAATCACTCACTCACCCACCCACTCAACATCATCATCATCACCTTAATGCCAAGAGAGAGTGAGAGAGTCACCCACATTACTACTTACGCTGCTTTTGGTGTGTGGTGGTTCGCCCCATATTGTACACCTACACAGGTGGGGGGAGAGTGACTTGAGAAGCTAACCTACATACATACGTATCCGAACCCTCATGCCCAAATACTTTATCACCATGTTGATCAGACGCAGTATGATATAGGCGTTGCCATTACTCGGGTGGGGGAAAATAAGGCTAGGTTGCGTGGCAAATCTTGTGACGAGAGGGTTTTTGCCGAGTGTGGTGTGTGTATGTCAAAGAACGAGGCATTGGCACCGAATCACATGTTGCGAGGCTTGTCAACTTTGCTTGTGATAGGCAACGAGATTTTGCTTGTGTACATACACAAGGACAACTGACATAGACATATGATGATATACAAAGACTATATCCCCCAAAGGCTTGTATCGAAAAAAAAAAGATGAGACATGAACTACAAACAACATTGCAGTTGCAGCATAATGCGTATGTGTATGTTTCAAGATGTGCTTGCTGTAGGTTGAATCTTATTGCACAGCCAGCATGTTGATGTTGTGAGCTAAGAATCTACATACAAGATGAGTCTAGTGGTCAATAAGCCTAGTCGGCATTTGACATAGGTCGTAAGAACAAATAGATCCCAAACATGAAGAAAAAATTGTGCGTCCTGCGCATAGGTGGAAGGGCCGATTGCCTTTCAAGAAGCGCTTTGTATTAATGTTTACATGCATAATGTATGGAAGGTGGGTAGGAGGAGGAGGAGAGGATATGGATTGCTCCAGCGTGTTCTGTGCTAGACAGTAATTCTGTTGTTTTGTACATAGATAAATAGTGAAGGGGGCATGAGAAAGCTCGGGATAATATACAATGAATTGAACAAGGATGAAATAGCATGAAGGTTTGGTATATGAGTATGGATGCAAGAATGGTGAATGTATAGAGTTGATCAGCATAGGACGCGATTACTGGAGCCAACAATGAAAGAGGAAGTCCCATTTCGCTGTTCTGCTGCACAAGAGTTGTTTTCGGAGACATCTTGATCTTCGAGAGCTGGGAAGGAAACATACATTTCCATGAAAAGGCTGTCATTGTGATTTGAATCCTTTTTACATTCGTCAGGCATGTCTTGTTGAATACTGCTTGTAGAAGATGTCTCGTCGTCATGGTTGCCAGATGGCGACACAAACAGCAACAAGGTGCGAACAAACGATGAAAAGGAATTGCGACGAGGATGTTGGTCACGCGAATGCGATTGTTGGTGATGATGTTGTTGCTGTTGTTGGTTATCGAGCATCATTGATGACATGACAAGCATTGTATAGTTGAAAACGGATGTAGAAAAGAAGGGGAGGAAGAATGGTAAAATGATTGAACGAGCTTTTATATACATTTTTCGAACATGTGCAATATTACAAAAAGACTTTTTGGGGGGAGTGGTTGAAAGCGAGGGGGGACCCGATCCACCAACAGAAAGGGGAAACCAAAAATGGAAAGCAAGGGAGCAGGAGAGCCTAGAACATGAACACTGGTGACACATACAAGAGTGTGCCTTCCACCCACCCACCCTGGGACCATGATCGGACTTGCCCACATGGTGGTTGTTGCTCTGTCTCTTTCACCAAATACACCCATCCGAACCGCCCGGGTCAATAAACGTTCTCTTTTTTGCTCCAGCACAATCACACATACATTAGCCTATTCAAGCAACATGCCATCGATGAGTGATACTACTACTCCTACTTATGTCATTTGTACGTAAACTTGAAAGGAAAAGCATGGTCACCGCGTGGAAACGACATTGCTATCAGTCGAAAATGCATACAAAATGAGCTATAATGCCTCATCCTATTGCATAATGGTTGAATCACATCATATGGTTCATAAAAGATGATCATCATGGTAGCACATCACCTTTGTTATCCACCATACAAAATGCAAGGATGTGTGTGTATGTGTGTATTTGTATACTTGAACAATGAGCAATACTGAAACATTGCATGCATCTCAATAACATGAGCGGATTTAAGCAAGAGAGGATCTGCAGTTGAATCACATCCCAATTCTAAGCTAAACAACCTGCACAAAGGGGTAGCTGCTGCCTTGCAAGAAGAAGGTAGTGGATGAGCAGGAGTGATCGAAGCACAAAAAAGAGCCCTTGTCATTGGCTCATGCTTTTGCCGATGTTGGCTCCCGAGATCATGATGAGCATAAGGGCAACAATAAAACCTGAAAATGGCATAGATGACATGATATGGTTCACACCATATGATGGCCGATCCCCTTCACTCCTCCCCAGCAGTATTGTTGTTTGTTTTTTTGCGGCGTGTGTGTATGGTGTATGTGAAAGCCCGCTCCTTTCCTTGTTTAAAATACATGATGTTTATACTTGTGGCTCGAGCGGGAGATCATCAGATGGTGAGTATTTCGCAGCCATTGCTTTGTGTGTGTGTGTGTGTGTGTGAATAAGAAGCAATTCGAACGCGTTGAGTGGTGGACATTTCGGCATAGTGATACGTTTCCGTGTTACTAAATGTCGATAGGTATAATCCTGTTACAGTGATAGGTCAACCAGAGCGTGAGTAAAATCAAAAATTGTGCGTCTTCCTAGCCGTCGGCAATGGCTCCCATATGAAAAACCATGGCCCGTTCGGCGCTATGACCATCGTGTGATATTCAGTATAAGTAGCCTAAGCAAAAGTACCATCGTGACCTGCCTTGGTTCCCGGTACAAAAGAGAGATAATGCATCTACATTGAATGCCGATTGCTCTCCGCTTGCCAAATATCCGTAACAACAACAATGAATTTGTCGGGTGCGGTGGAGTTGATTTTGTGTGGCTAGTATTACATGATGTTTATGGAGAGTTTATCCTCATCAGCAAAGATCTCTCGCTTCTCGTTTTCAATTTTCATATAGCGCATTTGCTTATTCACCGTTGCACACCGATAGGTGCACGCTTTGTCTCTCGCTCTCTCCTTTGGAAAATACGTCATGGACCGCGGGTTTTCTTTTTGAGATCCCCCACTCTTCATCTTTATTATGCTTTTTCATAAGAACATGCTCACCAATGGCGTTTGAGCAACATTTGCTAAGCTATTAATCGCGACGACTGCTCTAATTCATAATCAACCAATTGGCCCATGGCCTAAAAATATAAAGTAATCTGGGTCCCTCAGCCTACAATGGAAAGAGCATTACGCGGAATAAACGGCACGAGCCGATTACAACAACAGGAACGGGCGACTTGGGGGAATACATTACATTGGTACAAGACACCAATGAGATGCCTGTTGAAAATCACATACACTGGCAAGCACGTGTAGATTTGTATTTGTTGTCTGTGTCTGCCATCAAATTCTTTCTGAAATCTTCTATGACTGTAAAAGCATTCAACGCGTAGCTTTCTATTTGAGGAAACAACGATGAGGCGCGGGAAATGGCGTTAGGCAGTGCAACTGATCGAATCTTTGGGATGTCTTGAAAAGGCTATTATCCACATATCTTTCTTGGCAACGAATGCCGAGCAGCTCAAAACGTTTATCCGTACAATTGCTATGCCAACAACAACAACAATGCAGCTTAGTTATCGGTAATTCCCACATACATACTTATACTACCCAAAGAGAAGTCTAACCAACCTATTCAAACACGAGCAAAGCAGCTACAAAGTAAATTAACTTTCCATCTTTTTATTGTGAGAGAGATGAAGGGGGAAAATGACCATCGCTATCAATTTACTCCTGGGAGCGGAGACGAGCACCAGCGTTGATGACCTTGACGTTGAGTTGAGCAGCACGTTCAATGATTTCAACACGCTTCTTGGCGCAAACGTTGTGGGCGATCTCAGCAGCGTAGGAACGGTTGTGCATCAACAAAAGATCGAGTTGCTTAACGTTGCTAACGGTGAACTTGCGGAAACCGTTGGGCAACATGTGGCGGGTCTTCTTGGCAGAGCCGTAACCAATCTTGGGCATAGCAGCTTGACCCTTGAAGCGACGACGCATAGCATTGTCGATACCCTTGGGCTTTCTCCACGATTCCTATAATATTCCCCCAAATCATTTAGCAACCTTGTCTCGTATCTATAGATACACATCATGTGATATCCTTTTCTCCTCTCAACTTACACCAACACGAGCGAAACGGTCGGATTGATGGCGCTTGAAGGGAGCAGTGCGCTTCTTGATGATCTTGTGCTTCACCACAGGAGTAACCATTTTCTTTTAACTACGATGGAAAAGAGGACGTTTTTAGAGTTGGCGGTTGGTGTTCATTTGTGAATGGAGGGGTGGAATCGACCATGGAGTTGCGATGTAACGCTCGATCGGTGTCTTTTTTTACGTGAACGAGACAATGGCTGGATCGATGCACATGCTGATAGTCGTATTGTTGATGGATGATGGATGGATGCCTTACCCCACTGATGGATGGATGAGAGGGAGATCCTTCATGTGCACAGGGATTCGCTTCACTTGACACTGGGGCTCTGCCCAACCATACTCCGCCACCACCTTCCCTTTTACTACCCACACAGTGTAAATCACCCACACGACCAGATCCCCGATTTATGCATACACAACACCTGTCATTCCATAATAAAAGTATACATGATGCATGATAGAGATCTAGTGCCTTGATCATATTTTTTGGGGGGGTTGGTATGATAAACAAAAAGATAGCATGTTTTGATGATGATGATGGTGGCAGTAGATCATGATTTATTGTGACAGATCCATCAAGCTTTCTATCATCATCATTGCATTGTTTGGATACCTACATATGCATACGGATCATTTCCGACTGATAAACTCAATCACGAGTCGACATCTCGACGTCATGGTTACATCAATGAATGATTTTGGCACACGCACAGTCCACCACCACCCACGAAGACATCACATGCTGATGCCTTTACACTTGTCTTGTTCACCAGGTTGTCATCCATCCTATCATTGCCGCCAACTGACACTTTACCCACACATCAAACTATTTACCTCTGTAAGCTATGCCAAGATTATCCTAATCACCCGCACTAGCAACCAATGCACGTTAATCACATTTGTAGTAGCTTAACTTTTTGGGAGTTGGTATGCTGGCTACAAAAACCACTCATATTACGTGCGTCGTGCTTCCAATTGCAATGATGTAACCTCCTTATTGCAGACGGCGATCGATAATGTTGTTGTGGTTATTCAAAGAATGATCGTCAAGCACCTCTACCCTACACGTGATCGTTTCTGGTACCGAGCAATGACTCATAATACAAAATGACAGTTGCAAGGAGCTAGTAATTGCCAAAAACCAATAACATTTGCTTCCTTCAATCATTTATCATGCTCTCCTTGTTGATGATCGAAATGTACAATACACCATCACTTGATTAATCATCCCGGTAATGGAATCTCATCATACGAGAAATTGGTATACGTGCTTTTCCGTTCCACGTTTATTTGTCCTTTTGTTATCCAGCAATTGAACCCATTTGTACTAGTAGCAGATGTGGTGATGGTATGGCATTGGGATCACTGGCTAGTGTGAGTGTTTTTTATCCTGAAGAAAAATATGGAACTCAAATTGGATAGAGGCCTCACGATGATTCTATTGATTTGGAAGATAGCGGCGCGGGATGATGCTTGACTCGCTATGGGTATTCTCTTGACCAATCCATCTCTTCCTTCAGGTTACAAAATGGCTCGCTCCTTTCACACAGCTGGTACTACCTTGAACATCAATGTCAAGCATGAAAATGGCCATATAAATCCTTTATTGCTATATGATTTGGAAGAGGTGTTCCTGTACTTTGAATGCTGTTGAAGAACGTGGTAGGATCATGAAAATGGATGGCCAAGTAGGAAAACAATGAAGCTCTCTATGAATAAACACAAGGATCAGCTCTAATCTCCAGGTTCAATATCCACAATGATACTCGCCCGAAAATGGATAAGGGCATAATGGGTGTTGGCATGGCAACAAAATCGGCAGAGTGCCTGGGCTTCAATTCAGTTGCCGATGACTCGAAATCGTGTACCACCTTTTAAGCAAACGACTCTTCCTTTATGCTTCGATGGATATCAGACAACGCATTATAGCCGTTCCTCGGCGACTTCTCTTCGATCGCGACTACTTTTGGTATCTTGCTTCCCTGTTACTCATTGGCGAGCTTGTATTCAATGGGCTGATCATCAACAAGGTCGCGTGTAAGTGGATCATCTTTTACCAACGACACACACACGCCATGTCTCTCTCATATGTGTATTGACATTGCAGACACTGAAATTGATTGGGTGGCCTATATGCAAGAGGTGAAAGGGTTCTTGGATGGTGAGCGAGACTACATGCAGTTGCGAGGAGATACTGGACCTCTCGTGTAAGTGCAACTCGTTTTGGACGCATGGTAGTAGCGTGATACTTATGGACTCCCCCCTTTTGTAAAGGTATCCAGCAGGATTCGTCTATGTGTATTCAGCACTCTATCATCTTACGGATCTCGGCAACAACATTCGACTTGCTCAATACGTATTTGCAGGCATTTACGTTGCAACACAGGCCGTTGTTTTTGCCATCTACCATCAATCCAAAAAGATCCCGCCTTATACGCTTATTCTTCTTTGTATCTCCAAACGTCTCCACTCCATCTACGTCCTTCGATGCTTCAATGATCCCGTTGCCATGCTTTTCATGTATTGTTGTATATTAGCAATGATTCATAGACGTTGGCTTGCATCCTGCATATTGTACAGGTAAGATAGGAATGATCATCCCCCATCATGTCAATCATGTGACTCAATGTTCATGCGTGTGTAGTGCAGCTTTATCCATCAAGATGAATGTGCTTTTGTTCTTTCCAGCATTTGGTGTGTTATTATGGCAATCGCTTGGTGCATGGTCAACCCTTTTCTATCTTTGTGTGATTGCTGGTATCCAGGTGAGAGAGAGAGATAGCTTGTCATCGATGTGGAAGAAGATTTGCTTACAACCGAAATAGGTGGGATTGGCATACCCATTTTTGACAACATACCCCGGATCCTACATGGCTCGTGCATTTGAGTTTAGCCGTGTATTCGATTATCGATGGACTGTGAATTGGCGCATGGTGGATGAAAAGGTGTTTGTATCCAGAGAATTTGCCAATGCATTGCTACTCGGTCATCTCATGGTTCTGTTCCTGTTTGTGGCATTCGTATGGTGCAAAGGGTGAGTGGTGTGACGTAGTTGGTCATCCATGACAGCATGTTTCTCACTCCAAATGTAGACATCTTATTAGGGTGTTTATTGATGGATTTCAGAACAAACGGAGGATTATCTCGGTTGACGGTAAGTAACTAGGAGGATCCCCTTTCATTGTCTCATGTGTTCTATATTTAATAGAAATCATTATCACCATGTTTACATCCAATTTCATTGGCATTGTCTTTGCAAGATCGTTACATTATCAATTTTATTCATGGTACTTTCATTGTCTTCCCTATCTTTTGACAAGGAGTGTACCTGGCAAATCCTTATCCAAGGCAGTAATAAGGTAGGAAGGGGATATGATGAGAAGAGTTGGATGTTTTGTTAATGATTTACAATAGGACGATCGTGTTGATAATCATTGAGTTTTGTTGGTTGACGTTTCCATCCACTGAGGCATCCTCCTGGTCGTTAGTAACAGCACACGCTTTAATTCTGGTCGGGCTTTTTGTGGGTACAAACGAATAAAGAAAGAGAGAGAGACTGCAAAGACCTTTGAGAACATACACGCCCGATCCCAATAATCCTATATTATCCTCTTCTACCAACCTCTCCCTTTCCCCCACTTTTACTTGTGTCTTTCTTTTACATACATATCACTTTTTATCCATGTCACAACCTGCGCTCAAGATCAAATTACGGCTCAATGGTCCGTCACCAGCCAAATCAGACAAGGGAACCTCATCGCCATCGTCGTCCAACAGTGCTTCCACCAGCTCATCGCCAGCACCCACAAAACAGCCATTAGAAGACGACACTGGATCACCCAGCAAGAAGCCCAAAGTGAGCCGAGGTGGACGACGATCAGCGCTAGCAACAAAACCCAAAGAGACGTGAGTAGTATAGAGTGTATCTTGCATGGATGGCATCTTTTAACATGGATTGTTTTTCTTATATAGTACAGACGACGATGGTACAGGCGTAGATGATAGTCAACCAGCAACACCAGCTCGAGGACCCTCTTCACGTGTCCATCATACATCGAGCAAGGCAAGAAAAGATATCCTGAAATACAAAGATGTCAAGGCACGTCGGTGGAAACATACGCCATTGACATTTTACACATTGGATGGAGGAGAAATCCAGTTGTCTAGCTGGCGATCAGGTATTGTAGATATAGTTCCTATCTTTTTATTATGGATCATCATCACTCACTCACTTTTTCTAATAGATGAATCAATGGCACTAAACAAACGCAAGACTGAACCGGTGACAGTAGCCGAGATTGATCAACTATTCTCTGCAGCGAGTGGCGAACGTGATTTTCGACCCTTCTTGTGCACACACCATGGCTGTTCAAAATCTTTTACGTCCTATGATCAACTTCAGACCCACGAAACCAATATGCATGGTGCCAAGAAACTCGTTTGTGGCATCGATGGTTGTCACAAAAGCTTTGTCACTCCTGGTCAGCTCACAAAACATCGCAAAATGGTTCATTTTCGAGCAGCTCGTAAGGCTAAATTGCAAGCGGCGGCGGCAGCAGCGGCGGCGGCTGAAGAAGCGAGTACACCAGCAACACCAACAGGAACTAATAATGCGCCCACACCTACCAATGACGAAGATGCTAACGTGGATATCTCTGAAGATTAACCTGGCAACCATCATAACAACCTTCCATCAACCCCCTTATTCTTCATTATGTTCCAACACGCATTCATTGTAATAGTTCCCAACAAAGAATAATCCTTTTCCTCCCCCCCAACCATTCGTCTAGCAAATATGCCAGAGAACAATGTCCCAATATAATCATTCTTTTCTTTATATGGCTCTTGTGTTGCAAATGGTGTCATGGTGTGCGATAAGTAAAAGTATAATACAGCGAAGGATACATAGGGATGGATGGATGGATGAATGAAATGGAGGAAAGGGAAAGAAGAACCCTATGATGTAAATAGGACGTGCGTGTCGTGTGGATAACAAGGGAAAAAACAGAGGTCTTGTAACTATGCTCTCGCTCTCCATTCTACATACTCATCAAGCAGGACCGGCCCTGTACAACAATAAAGACATTAAATAATTAGCATACATCATCTTGCATAAGACTTACATGAGGAAGTACTATCATAATTGTTAAGATCTTCAGGTACCGAGCGGCAGAAATCCAATAAGCTGTTCCATTGATCCTTGTTGATCACCTTGACCGGCTTTTCTTCCTATTGTGAATGAATCAATCGATCAGAAACCCTATCTTCATGACATACAATGAATGAAAATTTACCTGCAAGAACCTGATGAAGGATTGGATATGTGGATAAGAAAGCGGTTCAAGTAGCAATTGCCACAATGCGATAGCCACCTAGTATATAAAAGATAATCAGCAACATGATCATGGGGTGAAGGGCGTTATATAAAACTTACATCGACTTCCATGCTTTTCTGGCCTGTTGTTTTTGCAAATCCAAAGGTGAAAAGATAGAGCTTTTTAAATAAGTTGGGATCCTTTATCGCTGTTTCCAATTGGGGTAACAAAGCCTTGAGCATCTCTGGAGAGTTCACTCTATATAGAATAAGCATGGGGATCACCGACAATAGCACCTTTTTTTTACTTACTTTAAGCTGGTCATTCCTTGCATCCATTCTTGTCTAGTAAAGTAACCTAATGATACCATCAGCAAGTGTTATGATCTATTAGGATGATTGATTGACCTACCCATTCTACTGGCATTGAGCTTCCAGCCGATGATGATAGGATGGATCTGAGAGAATTGACAACCCCAAAAAAGTTAGATCTTGGAAATTGATCTCCATAGACAAAGCATAATTACACTTTCAAGCGATACACCAAGATCATTGAAAAAAGCTTGACATCCTTCAGGGGATATTATATCTTCATCCTCGTCCTTGTACTTGTTGAACCATCCTTCGCATGCCTTTGCAAACATCACTTGGCCATCCTGCTATTTTGAATCGAATCCCATCCATATAAGAATTCATATCATATACAATAAAACATTCTTTACCTGTGCTCTGGAACCAATGGGCAATCGCAGTGCATGTAAAAAAGACGATCCGATTAGCGATCATAGCTGGGTGAATGCGTTGACAGCCCTACTTTGCTTTAACGTTGGTCTTTTTTGCTGCTGGTTTTTGGCGTTTTGCCTGGCTGGTAGTGCTTGTAGTCTTCCGTTTGGGTGGCATAACTCGTGTGTGTCGCAATGAGAGAGGGGAGGAGATAGAGAGAGAAAGGAAAGAAAGAGAGAGGCTGTGAACACAAAGAGTCAAGTACAAGCGTTTAAGGAAGCGCGACCGAGGACGCACTCCGCGCTTGTGCGTCTTCCTCTTTTGTGTGTCCACTTTTCACAATGAGCTCCAAAGCACAACAAGAATACCGATCAGCCTTCATTACACTCATCTCTCAGCTTTCAACGATCGAACAAAAGGGACAAGAGTTCTTTGACAAGATGTTTGTAGTCTATCAACTATAGAGCGAGACACCCCCGTATATTGATATCAATTTTCTAGTGAAAAAGCAGCGTGGACACCTTATGAACCTAATGCAGCACAAGGTATAGATATGAAGAATCATGTATAAAAGGGAAACAACTCATTGGATGTGTGATGATCTTCTTTTACAAGCTGATTTGGAGCAATTGATGTCAGCTATGCATACGCTGGAAACACATGTCAAGACTTGTGGACTACTCAGCATCACGGGAACATCTTCCGAGGATACGGATACATCACAACAAGGTCGCAATCTCGCCACACGGACCGCTGAAACCGTTCAATCACTCGATACTTACTTTCAAGAAAAGAGCAGGCTCGTCACTAACATTCGTGCAGCTGCCAGCACAGCTCATCGTCCCATCTAAAAACAATACAACAATCACTTGCAGTAGTCGATCGACATCATCACATCACGCACCATTTGCAATACCCATACAGCTTTCCACACGCACACACATCGCTCAACCAACAACATCATCCATATTGCTAAGACATAGTACTCGAAGAAGGCTATATTTTACAACATGTAGTCGGTAAAAGTTATTGATAATAATAAACGACGAGGCCGAATCATTACATGAATGTGACACATAAGGAAGGCTACCATCAAAATGGATTTAATGGCTTCTTGGTAACGATGTTAGTTCCCATGACTACAAGAGATCTTTGTTACACACCACGTGTCTATGGAAACGACATAGTAGATCAACAGCTTCTCCCTGCAAGATACTCAGAGTTACATGTATGGCATCATATACGCCTTCGAATCAAATGTACGTAAAGTAGGGATCCTACTGAGCTAATGAGAGATATACATATTGATACATGAAATGATCATGAGCTTTTGAAAGCAAGCGTCCTTGTCGCTTGTATACAGATGTTTATTGTCGCACATCATTACTATGGAAATGAAAGCTAGCAACGTCGTTGAACATAGCATCCTAAATCTCAAGCTTGGAATGATGTCGTAGCGATACGTAAATAAAAGACACGCTCTTCAAGAAGACGATGATGATGATGATCTCGTTGCATAAATGTTACACACGTGATGGTGCCTGGATCAACCGGCTTGAATGATAAATGAGTTCTTTGATTTTCCCAACAAGGATCATCGTGGATTGTGATGATTGTAATGCATTCATTGGCCTCGACGATTTTTGGATGGTCGCACGGATATTCCTGCATCACAAACTAAGAGACCAATGGCAGCTCGACAGCTGTCAGTGTACCAGCAATTTCCAAATGGTATATAAACGGAGTCTGATCGTGGGCTTTGGCCATTTTCTTTGTGATTCCATTTCTCTCATTCCACGTCTCCATGAAAGCATCTGGTTTCCGGCTGTCGCTAGCCGTGCTGCTGGTAGTCTTTTTGGGTCTATTCGCAGTAACGGGCGTCCATGGCGACACACAACAACAACAAATTGTCCTTGAATCTGAACATGGTGTTCCTCCCAGTGCTGGTTTGACAGCCGAGCAAGTTGAACAACTCCAAGATACTGAAAAGTACACGTTCCAGGCAAGTAATAGGGGTGTTTATTAAGACGTATATAGTTATATATGCTAACATGGGATCCTTATCATAGACCGAGATTTCACGACTCATGTCATTGATCATCAATTCACTCTACAAGACGCGTGAGATCTTTTTGCGTGAACTCATTTCCAATGCATCAGACGCCCTTGACAAGATCAGATTCTTATCATTGACGGATTCATCGGCATTGTCATCAGAGGATAAGCTCGAGATCAAGATTGCTGCCAATCCAGAAACCAAGACGCTCGTCATTACCGATACAGGTGTGGGTATGACACGTGATCAGCTTAAGCAAAATCTCGGCACCATTGCAAAGTCCGGCACTTCAGAGTTTCTTGCCAAGCTTGAAGAGAACAAGGATGACGTGAGCCAAATTGGTCAATTTGGTGTTGGCTTTTATTCAGTCTTTTTGGTCGCTGATAAGGTGACCGTTGCCAGCAAGTCGAATGATGACGATACACAATACGTTTGGTCGAGTCAAGCTGTGGATGATTTTGTCATTGCTAAGGATCCTCGCGGCAACACCCTTGGACGTGGTACAGAGATCACCTTACATTTGAAGGAGGATGCATTGCAGTTCTTGAATGAAAAGACTTTACGTGATCTTGTATCCAAGTATTCCGAATTCATCAACTTCCCAATCTATATCTGGTCCACTCATGAAGAAAAGGTGCCCAAGGAAAAGGAGCAAGATGAGGATGAGGATGATATTCAAGAGGAATCTTTGGACGAGGACAAGGAAGAAGAGGAAGAGGAAGATACACGCATTGTGCAAGAATGGGAACGTATCAACACCCAAAAGCCTATTTGGATGCGCAACAGCAAGGAGGTGACGGATGAGGAATACACAGAGTTTTATCGTGCCATTGCCAAGGATCCTTCAGGTACTCCATTGACTTGGACACATACCAAGGGCGAGGGCGACGTCGAATTCCGATCCATTTTGTATCTTCCACCCAAAGTCGATGCCAACTTTTTCCAGAACCTTGCTGAAAAGGCACACAACGTACGTCTCTTTGTGAAGCGTGTCTTTATCACCGACGAGTTTGATTTGTTCCCCAAATGGCTTTCATTCCTCAAGGGTGTGGTGGATGCCGATGATTTACCATTGAACGTGTCACGTGAAACTCTGCAAAAGCACCGTGCATTGCGTACCATCAGCAAACATCTTGTCAAAAAGGCACTTGACATGTTTTCACAACTCGCCAAGAACGATGAGGAGAAATATGGTGAATTCTTTAAGGAATACGGCAGCGCACTCAAGTACGGTGCCATTGAAGACAGCAAGCATCGCAAAAAGCTCGCCACCTTGCTTCGTTTCCCATCCTCCTACGATCCTAGTGCACCCAGTGTCAGCCTTGATGGATACATTGAACGCATGAAGAGCAACCAAAAGAACATTTACTATTTGGCTGGCATGTCAGTTACCGAGATTGAGCAATCCCCCTTTTTGGAACGCTTGCTTGCACGTGGTTACGAAGTCTTGTTCTTGGTCGATCCCATTGATGAAATGCTTGTTCAACACATGCCTGGTTACAATGGAAAAACGTTCCTTAACGTTGCGAAGGGTGATCTTAAATTGGATGACGAAGAAGAAGAGGTCGATACTGAAGAGGAAAAGAGCAAGTTTGCCCCCTTGTCAGCATGGCTCACAACGACACTTACCGATGAGATTGACAAGGTTGTATTGTCGAAGCGTCTCACTACATCACCTATGGCTATTGTTGCTGCCGATTTCGGTTTGACGGGTCACATGGAACGTCTCATGGCTGCTCAAGGTCAAAACAACAAGGATCACAACATGATGCTGGAGTTTATGAAGTCTCAGAAAAAGACGCTTGAAATCAACCCCAATCATCCCATTATCAAGACACTCTTGGAGCGTGCTGATGGTGACGGACTTGATGATGATGCTGATACCACCGAGCTGGTCAAGGTGTTGTATGAGACTACAGCCATTCGCAGCGGATACCCACTCAAGGATCTCAATGGCTTTACCAAGCGTGTGGAAACTATTATCCGCAAAGGTGTAGGCGCCTCGCTGGACGAGCAGGTCAAGGTGGATGTCAAGGCTGCACCTGAAAAGACTGATGAGGAAAAGAAAGCGGATGAGGAGTTTATAAAGAAGGCTCAAGAGATGGAGGATGACCTTGAAGAGGAAGAGGAAGAGTTTTATCATGATGAGTTGTAGATAGCTCGTTCTTTATCTCCCCACCATACATATATCAATAAACTAGCTATATTGCAAGGTATAAATCACTGTGTTATGGCGTATCTAAACACAAAGAAAGGAGGGGATGTAAAATTATACTATCGAATGCAGCCTTGAAGACATAATGAATCAATCACTTCCCTTCCCTTCCTCTCCCTTTCATATATCACATCATGGACAAGTGGATATACTTTTACAATCCTGTATGTGCCATACCATATACCTTCATATTATACAATGCATCAAGTGCTCATACACACAACGAGGTCCAAAGCAGGAAGAAAGAAGGCCTCTTACACGATCAATCTTGGAAATGATTATCAAACGCAAACTCGTATCCGGTAAAAGTAACCCTTTAATCCAACATCATTCACAGGAAATAGATTGAGAGGTACAACGAATTGGATCAATTGGGGGGAGATACATAGGTATGAGATGTTTCTATCACCTGGGACGTGCACTTTGTAAAGGTGGATGGATAAACGCAAGGTGGAACTTGATGCATGACGCGTCGAAACACGTAGATGATGATGATGATGGTTGTACATGGTTGACAGGTTGCACACAGGATGATGATCATAGCTGCCTGGGGTAACGTGTAAAGTACGGCAATTGGAAGCAAATCGTGCAGGATGATAGCACCAAGACCATGTTGACAATGGGCCCCCTCCTTTTCCACGCGTTATATATACCCAATTCCTTCCACCTCATGTACCAAACCAATATCCATATCCATATCCATAAGAAGGTGTATGTATCGAAGCAAGTTGATATGCGTAAATAAAGCTGCTTCTATATGACGACTATCTGCTGTTCACGTAGCAAAGGCTGCAAGACAAGTTGCTGCAAGTAAATCGAGACAATGGAGTAAAGACATTGCTAATTGCAACTGCTGGAATGAATGCTGTAACCATTGGTCGTGGTAGAGAAGCGTGCAAGAGAAAGTGTAGTGTCAAGAAACGCGTGCGTTGTAGTGGGGCGTACACGCCATGAACTTGCCATTCGGTCAACGACAATCGGATCAAGACAATCGTAGTAATGACATGATGGGTTGAAACAGCACAATCGTTCGCAGGTGGTAGTTGTATACTTGAATGCACCAACAGTGGAGAATGGGAGGAAGAGAGAAGAAGCTTGGAGTGGAAGAAGTGGGAAATCAAAATGGGTTGAGTTGATGTAGAATGATAATTCTTTGTATGAGCGTTGTTCAATCCCCTCGAATCAAGGAAGTTGAAGGATGAACATGCTGGGCTGGAGCAGAACAATCATTCACATGCATTGGATTGGGCAATAAAAGTGATTGGGAGGAATGGGCTATCAAGTGGCAGTTTACAAATAACTTACCAGATAATTTTTTCTGATATTGGATGATACTTTTGTGTTTGAGCGTTGTTCAGTCAAATCCCCTCGGATCAAAGAAGTTGAACGATGGACGTGCTACGCTGGAGCAGGAGAATCGTTCACATGCATTAGATTAGACAACAAAGGTGATTGGGAGGAATGGGCTATCAAGTGGCAGTTTACAAATAACTTACCAATTTGATTCTTCTGATATTGGATGACGTTTCTGTGTTTGAGCGTTTTTCAATCAAATCTCATCGGATCAAGAAAGTTGAAGGATGGGAATGATGGGCTGGAGCATGACAATCGTTCGTATGCATTGGATTGGGCAACAATGGAGAACGGGAGGACTAGGTTATTAGCTGGCATTTTGAACTATTCCTAAATAGTGTACAAGAATCATGCATCGCCTGTGCTGAATGACTCAAGTTACACACACACGTCCTCTGCACCTTTTGCTCTATTATAGTCATACTACTTTACATTAAACAAAGACCACTTCTCATATAGCATCACGCTTGCAAACATAAAGGTGCCTGTATCTCCAAACTTTACAATGAAACGTGGGGTTATTATTAGAGCAATGTGCTCGGCTTGGCCAACTGCACCTTGGGTGCCAGTTTCACGATCAAGCTTGCCAATCCCAGATTTCGCAATGTCGCCACCAGCCAAACTGGATCTGGGGGTCGACCTCTTCGACGACGACGACCCAAAAACTATTTTTTGGGCTAGTTGCGACATTGAACGTGAAACTTTTACACAAGGTGCTGTTGGCCAAGCCGAGCACATTGCTCTATTCAAAACCCCACGTTTGATTGTAAAGTTTGGAGATACAGGCACCTTTATGTTTGTAAGCGTGATGCTATATGAGAAGTGGTCTTTGTTCATTGCGGAGTAGCTAGACCCTGACAGAGCAAAAGATGCAGAGGTTCGTGTTGTGTAACACAGCTACGTTTGCATGAATGAAGGGTCGATGTATAATTACTTTATGGATCATCTAGGAACAGGCATGTATTGCTAGCTAACGGTCACTTTTATCCAATCATCATTGTTGCGAGATCCACTGCATGGGAACGATGCCCCTGCTCCAGACATTCATTTCCATGATTAAAGTAGGTTGATCCGAGCTGATTTGACTGAGCTGCGGTCAAAGAGAGATTACACCACTCTGGACATAGAGCACGCTCGATGTAGCTCAACCGATGCAATCTTGTGTGAGCGTAACTCAACCAAATCAGCTCGGATCAACCTACTTTAATTATGGAAATGAATGTCTAGAGCAGGAGCATCGTCCACCTACAATAGAATGCACAAAAGTTGGGAATGCACAAAAGTGGCTATTAGCTGCCAATGTATGACATAAAAGTGAGAGTTGCGTACCTTTCATGCATTGTCCCTGAAGTCCTGACTTTTTATCTGAGTTACCCAAAGAGGTCCTTCTGCATCTTTGGCTCTGCCAGGGTCCACCTAGTTGACAATGAACAAAGACCACTTCTCATATAGCATCACGCTTACAAACATAAAGGTTCTTGTATCTCCAAACTTTACAATGAAACGTGGGGTTTTTATTAGAGCAATGTGCTCGACTTGGCCAACTGCACCTTGTGTGCAAGTTTCACAATCAAGCTTGCCAATCCCAGATTTCGCAATGTCGCTACCAGCCAAACTGGATCTGGGGGTCGACCTCTTCGACGACGACCAAAAAATATTTTTTGGGCTGTTTGCGACATTGAACGCGAAACTTTCACACAAGGTGCTGTTGGCCAAGCCGAGTCCATTGCTCTATTCAAAACCCCACGTTTGATTGTAAAGTTTGGAGATGCAGGCACCTTTATGTTTGTAAGCGTGATGCTATATGAAGAGTGGTCTTTGTTCATTGTCAATCGGCTCACTTATATCAGAGCTAAAGATGCAGAAAGGACTTTTTTGTGCAATTAAGCCGAGAGAGCGGGACTTGGGAAGGTCAATCTTATTGGTGGAGAGTGCATAACGGTTCCTGTCCCTATAAGTAAGACCCGCCTTTGATAGCCCGTATGGAAACATGGTATGGTTAACACGCCAAAAATAATCAGTGCATCTGAGAGTATTTTGTGTGAAGGGATGAGAGGGGTAATGACATCGTTTGTCTCCAGGGCTGGTACTCATATAAGGTTATACATTCAAGATACGAAAGTTGCCGTAAGTATGCATGTGCATGCACTCGTGTCACATTATATCAGAGCCCACTCTTCTTTAAGCATAATGACAAGCTTTCATGTATGTAACAAGCACTGTTTTGGATACATTACTATGGGTTTATTATCTTTGAAAATACACGCGTCGTCTATTTAAACCTGTGTACAATCCTGAGAATGGCCACTCCCTATCGTCTATCAGCATGTGAACAAGGAAGCCTAAAGAATGTGATGTGATGAAAGCAACAAAGGTGTCTCGATGCAATGGCGTAGGTGATCCAATCTCACTTTCCAACCTTCAAATTTGTATCCTCCCTTTCATTCCGGAAACCAATCAAGTGGACGACATAGAATCAGTGGGTGTCATTGTGTCATTGTATCCTTGGTGCTGCAGCCATAAACATCCTCATCCATTATTGCAAACTAGTTGCTGTGCGTGCCTTCCTCCAATATCCAATAACATCCATGATGACAAACCTCCTTTCGTCAAAGATGTAAGCCCTCACATCCATGCCACGCAATCCATCATCATCCTCAGCCGCATCCACGTAACATGATCCATCCTTCCTGCTGGTGACATTGCCAAGTAACCAAAACAGCATTTCAAGATCACCTATCACTGTGCTTGACTGAATCCATCCATCCATCATCCATAGCCAATGCAACCCCAACATGTTAATACAAAGAACTCTTGTGGTCGCTTGCTGACACACTTCCTTTCCATCCGGCTGTTGGTCAATCACTTGCTCGGTATTTTCTATCGCATCTCAACCAGATGAAGAGCACTTGTATTGACAGTAGTAGGTGATGGTTGATATGGCATCATCCGTAAGGAGCCGTTTGTATTGAAGCAAGTTGATACGCGTACATAAAGCTGCTTCTATACAATGGCTATCTGCTGTTCATATAAAAAAAGGCTGCAAGGTATGCTGCTGCAAGTGAATCGAGCCACTGGAGCATGGAATAAAGATATTGCTAATGGCAACTGCTGTACGATTGGTTGTGGCAGAGGAGTATGCAAGAGCGTGTATTGTGTCAAGAGACTCGTGTGTTGTAGAAGAGTGACAAGAAGGCGGCGTAAAGCGTCATGGACTTGCCATTCAGTCAAAGACAATCGGATCAAGGCAATCGTAGTAATGACATGATGGCTTGAAGCAGGACAATCGTTCGCAGGTGGTAGCTGTACTTGAATGGGGCAACAGTCGAGAATGCGAGAAAGAGACAAGGAGCTGGGAGTAGGAGAGTTGGAAATTTAAGTAGGTTGACCTGTCAGACACTGCCCTACAAATCCAATGCACACTAAAACTAATCTATGTTATGACAGATTTCTCATTTCGAACTTGAAACTTTCATGCAAGATGCTCTTAGACATGCTGATCAGCTTTGTATTATATACTTCATTATAAAAATTTGAATGGGAGGGTGTAAGTGTTGAGCCATTCAACGAGAAATCAAAAGTTTACGATCGGAGCGGGCCGTCTCATTCAAACACCAGTGCATGATGTAAAACGTCTGATAGATATATAGAGTATATTACAAGGAGAATGTAAAAATGTATGAGGATGAATATTAAGAATGATGTCAAACCATTCGAAGCAGGCTTTTCTATGCGACAATTGATGGAAGGCTCAAAGTGTGTGAGAGGGGAAGGATGCGAGGATAGGATTGTATATAAATGTGGTAATGGGAATGATTAAACGTTTTCTTCGGCCTTGTCAACGGTAGTGTTCTTTTTACCGGTGAGGTCACGGTTGTCGAGTTTGTTTTGCTTGTCGTCAAGGGTAATGTCGTCAACGAAGAAGAAAGCAACAATAGGTGGGAAGATAGCAACAATGGTGGCACCAAGGACGAGATGGAACATGACTTGGTCATAAGCAGCAATAGCGCCTTGACGAATTGGGTCATCGGAAGGATAGCTTTGGATGACAGTGATGGAAGAATACAACTCGTTGAGCAAAGTCTGGTTATCGGTAGGAACGTGTGCGGCAAGCTCATTAGGCATTTGGCTGGTCCAAACAGCAGTGGCAATAGCCGATCCAACCGAATTGCCGATTTCAGTGATGAGAAGCACCAATGCAGTGACAATAGCAACGTCTGTGTGTGCCACAAGAGCTTGAGCGACAAGCTGCATGATGACAGCTGCAAAACCACCACCAATGCCTTGCAAGATTTGACACCATACCAATTCGGCATCAGTGCCATTGGCGCCACGTGAGTGAATCATCAAGCCAACACCAAGCAAACGGATGAGCAAACCACTGAACAACAACCATTTGGGACGTCTCCACCAAATAAGGATGATACCAGCAGCCATACCGAACACCGTCAATGCCACTGTTTGTGTCGAGCTAAAGTAAGACAAGTCGCGTAGCGACCAATCGGCCTTGACGACGGCGACAAATGAATACTGGTACGTGTACTGCAAGTAAAATGATACGAAATCGAAAAAGCCGATAAAGCATGCGGCTGAAATGTTGTAGTTCTTGAAGAAGCGCATGGGTGCAATAGGCTGGAAACCCCAACGTTCGGCAAACACCACTTCCCAAACAGCCCATACGGGCAATAGGACACAACCGATCACAATCATAACAATCATGGATGGTGTGTTCCATCCTTGGCTTGCACTTGGTGCAAGCGTTAATGGAAGAAGAATCAATGCAAGTGCAGCGCCAACCAAGATAAGGCCTGGGATCTATATACATGTAACGTGTCAACCAAATGCATAAATAATAGATGCGAGTTGACTTACGTCCATATCACGGAAAGCAACCTTGGATGCACGAATGGGATGCTTGAAAAAGTTCTTATCGGGGTTGTACTTTTCTTGTAACAAGTTCAACTTGCGTGCTTTCCATTGACCCCATAGCAACGAACCAATGACCGGTGCTAGGCAAGCAGGTACCATGATGGCGAACATACCATAGCCCCAACGCCATCCACCACCCGATAGCACGCCATTAGTGATTTCACCAGCGATCCATGTATTAATGACAAAAGGCATAGTCATAACACCAATCCAGAATGCACGATATCTCAATGTTGTGACATCAGCAAGCACCACCTGGGTCAGCATTTGAAGACCAGTGTAGCCGAAAGAATAGATGATTTGAGCACCGGCAAATTGGTCAATGTGTTGAGCGGATGCATAAAGGATGTATCCAACGCAATACAAGACAACGACAACAATGCTGTGAGATAAAAACAACAAAGGTCAGATGATGATTGTTCTTTAGATTTACCGCTTTTGGATCTTTTTCCCACTTACTAGGTTTCGCCACGACCAATGTAATCAGCAAGCTTGGCCATGAAAGGCTTGCCGACAGCAATAATGATAGCACCAGCTGTGCTAACAGTACCGGACATGGAATGTTCGCTCAATGCCGATGTGGCTGTGGCCAAATATTGGTAGGTGGTAACACCGTCAAGCGAATAGATATACGAAGCCAAAAAGAGACCACAGAGCAAGAAAATGTAACCACGCTTGCCCCATACTTTTTGAGCAGCCTAAAAATGAAAATTATCAGTAAGCAACAATCAACCACATACACAAAGAAACTTTTTAATTACCTCGACTCGAGCAACACCATCTGATAATTCCTTGTCATGAATGTCGGCAGATGATTGGTCATCGGCAGCAGCAGCAGCATCCTCCTGCTTATTGTATTCTTGTGTGCCGGTTTCAGTGACAGTGGTATAATAACGCAATTCCTCTTCATGTTTGCTCTCTGTATCGGCATGGACCCTTTCAGGGACCTCGTGCTCTTGAGAATGTGACATCTGTTGTTGCATTGATAAGTGATCTGGATAGTCTCAAAGATGGATTTATTTGCCTACCTTGCTAATGACAGCACAAGGCAAGTGTTTTAAAGGAAAGCGAGGATGCACGCAAAGGGAAAAAAGGCGAGGGAAAACCAAGGTTACAATGAACAATGACCAGTTTTTATGTTTTTATCTGATCTAACTCCGTTGCAAAATCGCGGATATCTCCAATCTGATAATACACCCTTCCACGCTATGGTGACACAAAGGAGGCTTCCTGCTGGGAAGCACATTGACGCGATCATTAACTTATTCCCCCATTAGCTGAACGATGTGTGGATCTTTTTCTCTCTCATGATAATGCACCACTATATACCTTTTCATATTGGCAAATGCGAAGGTGCTCTTTTTTGCCGATCCTGATGCCATTCGTTATACTTGCCGCCATCCCACAAGTAAACAACCCGCGGCATCCTTCTTTGGTGGCTGATGTGATCGAGATCTGCTGCTGTACTACCATCGTCGTGTAATTCTTTACTTTAGACTAGCATAGCACACGTATACTGTGAGATGTGAAGAAAAAAGTGACAAGACATGTTCTATAACTCTAGCTATTGATGATATTCTTGATGGCCTAGGCGAAGTTTTCCGGCCATTCGGTAGCTATGACTAAGCCGGATAAGGAAAACAATAGGTGCCTTGTCCGCAAACACGATATATCCACCGCCAAAGAAAAATACAACAAATGCGCTGATTTTGTCATTGTTTTTCATTGGGAACACAAAATCGGCCTTTGTTAAAGCGCACGCCCCTTGCAACTAGCCTTAGGGTCCGCTGAATATCCTTTCACCATAGCATCCCGTTTTACTGTATACACCATAAAGCAACACAGATGAATAAAATTTTGCCATACAAAGGATTGGTTGGGATGATCTTAACGTATAGCATTCTTGTGTAGCGATACACAATCACGCTTGTCTCTGTTTTCTATCATCATGATGCTCCCAGGTAATGGCCATCCCATCACCAAGTATCCTCCTTTCCAATGCTCTATATGATTGGAACATTCCAGGCTCATACATGGATGTGGAGGCGGCGACAATCTGATTGACCCTTATCTCAACGACGGACGTTGTAAAAAACAGGCACATGGATTCTATAGAAACACTGACACCTTTCGATTCTTGCAACAAATCAACGCCCACGACTCAAACTCCGTAATGTACACAAAAAGACGTGCCTTTCGATGGTTTCATTAACCCTATCACAATGCATTTGTTCGATTAACTATCATTTGTTTTAAAAAAGAAGCACAAATCATCGCTTTTGTTGTCCATATTATATGGTTTATGTTTGCTCAACGTCAATGAAAACTCTTTCACCAATGATATCAAACCTCACCTTGTGGTAAACTACTGGTATCATTTGCAGACCATATTATCATGTGTCCTCGTTTTACATGAGAATTTCACTTGAGGAAAAGCGAAAGCGGACTTACGACATGAGGGATGGTGCTGGTGAAACGGCAAACGTGGCTGATGCTGCACTATACAGATCGCTGGTACTTGTATACTACCAAGCATGATCTGATGTCGTTTTAGTCCTGTGTATCGATCCAGTACCAAGATATGGATCCGGGCTAGCTACCAGAATGTGAGCTTGTAATACGGTATGTGGTTTCGAGGGGTGATCAACAAGCGTTTTATGCATCTCAGCAAGTATCAACGAACAACCCCACTCGATCATCTAAAGTATATCATGCATGATGGTTGTATAACACCCACGCAGCTTCTCATTGCAAGAATATTCAACTTGGCTATTTTATTTCGATCACTTGTTATTCCTTAGATCTGTACATGAGCAATCAATCACAAATGGTCATTGCAATTCAACACGTGTAGACGGTAAACATTGATGATCGTTCGTTTGACATCGTCTTCAAGAGAATCAACATTGTAATCCGGTGGTAGGACTAGTTGCAGTAATAAAATACGAGGGCGTAGCCCAACTATCTAACCCAATCAAAGCCCACGTCCCATACTTTGTCTCCACTCCATTCCAGCAGTTGAACCCAATCGAGTAACAAAAGGGCTATTTATGTACACGATAACAATGACAAAATCCTATTCTACCTTAACGCCTTACCTCTGTAACATCTCTCTTGAAACATACTCATCTTCAATCCAAACCAGCTATGAACCCTGTTGTGCGTTCGCTGTGATGATGGGAATATCAGATACATGCGATTGAATCACGCTGATGATGTTGAGAACATGTACGTTGGCGCTTGTTGCTGGTATGATCCATCCATAAGAAGCATGCGTTTCAAAGTGCCAATCAAAGGAATTGCTGATAACGAGAACCACCAAATGAAGGGATAACGCGTGCTGACACTAAAGGTAGACATTGTTCCTAGTGCTGATATGACCCATCCATAAGAAGAAAACCACGTTGGCAGATGTTTTTTAAAGGGATTGCCGATCACAAAACGCATCAGACGATTGAATAAATGTTGATGGCACCAGCGGTGTGACGTTGTTGCTTTTGCTGATATGATATACTCATAAGCGACGTGCGTTGGATGGTGTGTATTAAAGAGGTGTGCGTTGTTAGGTGGCCATAAAAGGAAATGACTGACGCTTGGTAACGCGGACAACCAAGTAGTAACGATGGGATAAAATTGGATGGCACCGAAAGACATAGACGTTGTTGCTGGATGCTGCTGTATGATCCATCAATAAAATATGCACCGTAAACAATCTTCCAACCCTGTAAAGCAAAACTTACTAAATGATAGCTGCAACCCTGAAGGCCTTCAATGCAATATGATGACGATTCATCTAGAAAGGACGCATGTCGGCAAGCATTCTCTCATGTCAGCAGAATGTTTCGAAAGGCATTGGAATGATACGTACTTACTAGGAACCAAATAGCCCATCAGGGTGCAACACCAAAGTATCCATTTGTCATGATCCCTTCACCCGTCGACTTTGACGCCACATTGAGCCGTGGATCCCATGTTGCAACAGTGACCAGAGGATGCGTATTATTGATCTTGCCATAGCACCATGATGAGCACATGATTTCGCAAGAGGTGGTAGGGCAACATGGTCTCCCCAAGACAATACACAGCAGTACAATAAAATCCTTGACGTGCCAATTGATATAGCCGAGGAAAAAGCCTTCTTGATCCTGCCACTACACATCTTCCATCATAAATGTACTTGCATGTGACACATCCCAGAATGAGCACTCTTACCTTGTGGTACTACTCAATAATGATGACGTCCAGTGACAGTTGCATCCATAAAAATCCCAATGCACCAGAAGACATGCAGCAAGCTGAATAGCCCGTATACTATAGTAAAAGAGGAAGATGGTTGGCAGGCGTTGAAGAAGAGAACGGATCATCATTTACCAATGATAGCCATACGCACGAAAACATGTTGACATTCAATGATAGCTTCATCCATGAAAACCCAAAGAACCAGAAGACAAGTAGCTTGCTGAATAGCCCATATGCTAAGATAAAAGCGGAGGTTGGTTAGGATTGGAACTAAAGAACGGATCATCCCATATTTACCAATGATAGCCATACGCACGAAAACAGGTTGACATCAATGACAGCTGCATCCGTGAAAACCCCAAATGACCACGAGACAAGTAGCTTGCTGAATAGTCCGCACACTATAGTAAAAGAGGATGTTGGTAGGCATTGTAGAAAAGAACGGATCATCATTTACCAATGATAGTCATATGCACGCAATCCTGATGATATCCAAATCCAGCCGGTTCTTTGCAATCGTCCGCTTGTTGATAAGGCCCGCTACGGTGGTACTCGGCTTGAAAGCCATGGAACGATACTTTATGGGCATATGCAGTGAGAAGGTTGAGTAATATTGATACCACCAAAGATAGCATACTTACATGATGCCGAAGAGCCCTTACAAAGAGAGACAACGAGACAATCCTTGCTGCCCAAGACCACATGCAAATCGAGAAAGCATTGTGCATCGAAAAGCCCAAACCAGATCCTAGCTGCGGAGTGACGTACATATGGCTAAAGAGCGATGTGAATGGCAATCGTTTTTCATTGGAAATCGAATGCAGCTTGACGATGAATGCCTTGAGGAGATGCATGAATGACCTTGGCAACACCAAAGATGTCAACGCGGGTTCTCATTGCTTGTTGATGACATGATCCATCCATAAGACGTATAATTGTAGAGATCCATCAAAGAACTGCCAATAACCAGAACCACCAAGAGATAGAAAGGTTGCTGATATCAAAGATATACAAGTTGTTCCTGCTGCTGACATGATGATCGATCGATAAGAGACCTTTGTTTCTGGAGGTTCACCAAATTGCAGATAATGGGAAGCACCAGATAATGGGATGAGGGTTGATATAGCACCAAAGATATGCATGCTGTTGTTTGTTGCTGATACAACCCACTCACAAGAGACTTGCATTGGCTGACATTCTCCAGAGAACGCCCGTTGCTTGGTAACGAACCACCCGAGGCGCAATAAAGGTTGACACCACCAAAAGACATAAATGCTTCCCCATGAATGACATGATTCACCTATAAAAGATGCACCATAAACAATTGTCCAAACTCATCCAACAATACTTAGCAATCATAGCTGTGATCTTGTAAACCTAAAGCACGCCAAAAGACAAGTAGCTCTCTGCACGGTCCCTCTAAATAATAATGGTAGGCGTTTCAGCAAAGGTCCCCAAAAGCATGAGAGTCATACATACCTGAGCCATGGTTATCACAAGGAATTGCAACCAAATACACCATCCGAAGGCAATACAATAATCAACCTGCAGCGCCAAGGTATGCCACCATATGTACCATACTCTCATTGGATCCTGAAATTGGCATCATAAGAGATATCCACCTTCTCTCTGTAGGCAAGGAAATCAATAGCCGTACTTGGATGGAGGCCGTGTGCACAGCGGATGCCTTTTCAAATTAGCCTTGCCATCGCATCTTGAGTCACACTGTTTCCGGGCCAAAATTCCCCAGGAGAGCACAGTACTATACAATGACATTCCTTGACGTGCTGATTGATCAAAATAATCGCCCAACCAGAGCCTGACCTAATATTTCTTTCGTAAGCACACTTGAAGGGACAAATTCCATAATGGACACTTTACCTTGTGGCATTCCTCAATAGCATCATTGCCTCAAATAAAACCGTATCTCCATGTCATCCATATTGTCTTGCTGCTGTTTCACTGTACGTCTCGTCAATTAACATGTTTCGCGTTGTAGATCCAATACCACGCATACCATTGAGCCAACCATACAGCATTCTTGCTTTGAGATCCATATCCCGTTGCTGCCAGAGGTACCATCATCCAACATGTTCAACCTACCATAAACGTAATGTGAGATAACAAGTAAAACCAACCCACACGCTTTTGTTGTCAGCATACTCAAAAGAGGCAATGTAAAGACGTCTTGAGAACCCTCATTGTGGACAACTCTGGAAGGAATGCACGCGACGCCTCATTGGACCTTGTACAAACGAGAGAACACCAACCTACACGCGAACTTTAGTACCACAATGTTCGACTTGAACAATAAAAGGAATTGCAGCGATTGAACTTACATGTTGTATTGGGATGGAAGCTTGAGCCATGGGCAGATCGCGCACGTGCTTCTTGTAACTGAATGTGTCGCCATTGACCACCTGTACACCCATTGGCGTTGTGCATTGAAGGCAATGACATCAGTTAGTGTTGTGGAGAGTGTAAATGGAGTTGGTCTTACCTTGCAATGTGAAACGGAAAAGGTGAAGATGGGTGCTTGTTTTTAGGCCCGTGCGATTGGTTTATGCAGCCAGATTTATTTGTACAACCCCCCACCCCAAAGAACGCTTGCATTTGTGTTCGAGTTCCTTGTCAAGCTTTGTAACGGTGAGAAACCAGTTCCCACAAGGTGCTTTCCTCATGTTGTATTGCAGCATGCTGGCGATAGTATACAGCTTTATCTACTACAGAACAAGAACCATACCATGCATTGGCTATCATCATCTATCCATGCACCAGTTACACTCACCCAATATCACGCATGCTTCAAGTTTTCTATTATGATCCACACAGCATGACAAGGAAAGCAGAGGAAGAATGGATCTACTGGAAAAGAGATGGTAACCAGCAATATGGATCATTGTTTAGCACACTACTCCACTTTCGCTTCTGCCTCCTTCCCATCCAACCCAACCTTTACAACCTTTCACTTGCTACACGATGTAAAAGATGCATACATATGTTTATTATTGTTATTAAAGTCAAGCATTATATGCAAGTTCGAAGCAAGCATGACTAGCTTCTGTAGAAGCGTGGTATAATCAATGTCATCGTTTTCCTCTGGTGGTCCTTAGCATTCTTCATTTTGATCGTTGGATGTTTCCTTTCCGGCAGTTGAATAATGCTAGTGTTTCGTTGTCGTATACGAGTTGATATCGATTCAAGGTCTTGATTCTATGCGAGAATGGCAAGAGATCAACGACGACCTTTGGGATACTGGGGTGGTTGCTATTAAAGCTGGTATCAACATTTTAGCATTGCATATTTTTGGCTGTGTACATACATGATGAATTGTTCAATGTCGCTTATCCTTGTGCTAAGAGCGGAAAAACGAATCATGATGAGACAAATTTTCTTTGTGTTGGCGATGAATGAGATCATATCTTGCATGTTGCCAAATACATTGCTGAGTCGAGCCAAGTCGAATGTCACATCACAATCACGTTCGCTGAAGCTTTCTTTGGAGGAAGAACAAGGCGATATAGGAAGCCGTTAAATAACCGCCCATGAAGTTGGAGGTGATTCCCTTCTGCCGCCGTTGGAAACTGAAAAAAGGTGGGTTCCTGCCAACCTGTATAGCCTGCATTTTTGGACTTTGCTCTTTGCACCATGTCAATTTCAGCAACCCACGTAGGCCATGGTACCGAAACCAACATTTGTAGATGCCTTCACGAAGAGATAGTTATATCGAAAGTACCAAGGTGGCGTGTATGAGTAGTGACCCATCAAGCAGTATGATCAGGCTTTACCGTTTTATAAGAATACAATATCACAATGAGGACGACAACATACATTGAAATGTGTGTTTAATGCACGCGTGGCGAAGTAAGTGTAACCAACGACAACGTATAGTGTTGCACAAACGAGCACACGCGGCGCTCGATTGCGGCGCCCATCAGCAATGCGGATTGGCTTGGATCTATTGGATGATGGCTTTGGCTGCTGGTGCACGGCCATGGGACCCTTTCCTTGCTTTCTTTTTTGTGTGTGCGTTCTTTTGAATCGATCGCGTGGTAATTTCTGTTTGTCTTTTATTACAGCATTGTTCTTTCTTCTCAACTTTTTTTTCTTTTTGCATGCTTAAAAGGGTACATGTATTTGTGTGTGAGTGTGAGCATGTGTGTGTGTGTGTGAGTGTGGAGTAGAAAAATAGAGATGTGCCAAGGAAGCGGCGCGGAATCATCGCCAAAACGGGTCACCTCGACCAAGCATAACGTTATGTTTACAGGATGAAGCGTATGATAGATATCCAAAGACCACAAGACAACCTGTGACAACACATCAAGACCCTGAAACTATACCAATCTCTTGTTAGCTCCCTCTTTCCTCTTCTCTATTTACTCAATGCATCCGTCACGTAGGAAGTGCCACCCACTATAAACAAAAGTTGATACTTATACCATGTGGATATGTTGTTGTTGGGGTTTGCTATCAGATGGGGGGCGTTGTTGTGCATGATGATGATGAAGGTGGTGGGCGTTGCAACAACGTTGGCATAATTGCCTTAATTCCTTAACACCTCGGCAAACAAAAGAGGCTCATTTACAAGATGGCTTATAAATACCGAACCATTGTGTTGGATCAGCATATGGGCTGACGTGGGACAGCGGTGTTGCTTGTAAAAAGTTGTCCCTGATATCCAAGATGTATAAGCAAACATGTCGTTCCTCCAAGCCATGTCGACTCTTCTCACACACACATGCTCAAAAGAGCGATAGATTTCCATCTTTATCGTATATCCACACATGCTTGCCTTCCTCATTTCCACTATCAACCGCGGTTCCTGCGCCGCATCCAAATGACAGGGTGGGTAGATTTGTATGGGTACACATGGCCATGTGTACCCTGAAGCGAAATGGGAGAGATGGAGTATATAGGTTGCAAAATAAAGAAAAAAGAGATGGCCACCCGCCCGATTGGTTATTTCGTGGAACATCGCTGCGGCGTCATGTGGCGCGGCGGCAACCTCCTACACAGTAACTTTCTTTATAGAGCTCAGCCTGTCCTTCATCCTAAATTTATATACTAATTGTGTATTGTGCAACTGATGCTTGGTGCCGCTTTCTCTTCCTCTTTTGAAAGAGATCCATTACATGGACGAGGTACATTGAAACAACCCACACACACACATACGCACATACACTCCAATGCAATGAAAGAAAAACAAGTACAAGGCTTGCAATAATAGCAACAAAGCTATCATGGATGCTTGCATTTTCTTTTGTATGTTGTTTTCTCTCTCATGCAAAAGGTGTCAATAGATTTTGCTGCGTCGTATCATTTTTTCACTGATATATAAAAACTGTGTAGAGCTTGTCTTTGTGTTTCTTTTTCTCTTTTAAAGCCGCCGCCTCAACATGATGTCGTATCATCAAGAGCACCATGACCATCATCATCAATACAGCAACAATGATCCTTCTCTTTTGGGGGCATCACGGCATTTGCTACCACCACCACCACCACCACCACCTACGATTACCAACCCTAATGATCCCCAGCTTTATCGATACAGCCCTGCCATGACGACACCTTCACCTACCGCTTCATCTTTTTCCCCTATGCGTACCAACATGTTGCCAACCATCAAAAGCGCTTTCACTGATGAACCCACCACCCCATTGTATGGCACGTCACCTCTAAAAGCAGAGAGTGGCGATGAGTTGAAGATGATGATGCCACATCATCATTTAATAGCACGAAGCAGTATCAGCAGCAGTAGTGGATGCAGTGTGGCATCTTCATCACCCACGACGACGACGACGACGACATCATCAATATTGACAACATCAAGGAGTAGCAGCAGTAGTGATAACAGCCATGAAAAATTGATCACACTTGCCAAAAGGAGAGCAAGGGAATACGACATTCACCAACAAGAACAATCACGCATGCGTATATGGATTCAACGTGATAATGATCATCCTACTACTTCTACTGCATTACCACCACCACCGATACCACCACCTTCTTCCCATTCGATGAAACATCATGATAAAAGTCTTGCGTTGAATGATTGTGGGACATTGATGACGACGACGACGAGTACAACCTCTGGTACTGGTACTGGTAATACTGGAAACGCCAGCCACCCATGTCCTCAATGCACACATCGATTTAGACGGCGACGCGATTTGATGCGACATTTGCATTCGGTGCATTCACGACGTAAGCAATACAATTGTCCTCTTTGTTGCAGCACTTTTACTAGACGTGATTCATTGAAAAGACATGCTCGGCTTGCATGTCGTGCTACGCTTGCTCCTTCTTCTTCTTCTTCGCGTCCACAATCACCCGCATCACAACCCTCATCTCTCCCTTCACCACCATCTACTTCACCTATCCTTGATAATAATACCGATCATCCTCATCATCATCATCATCCACTGTCATCCTCCTCGTCCTCCTCTTCTACTTTCCCAGCAGCTCATGGTAGCATCTTTTAATAATCCTATGATGTAGATAATGTTGAAAAAAGACTTTTTTCTCTCTTGCCATTTTTTCTTTCCCTTTTCATTGTACTTGTATGCCATCTCAAAAACCCATTCCCATCATCATCTCTTTGTATGTATGCCCCGCTTTTTCCATATAAAAGAAAACCATGACTCTTTTTTTCAATGTAAGCAATGGCAGTGCGGTGTCTACATATATGTCTGCTTGAAAGCATCCACGTGCGTGTTGTGTGATTAGTCGTTGTTGTCTCTCTCTCTTCCTTTTTTACCCTCCTCCTCCATACATGCACATATAAACCATGGTCCTGCCATCGCTTTCAGATCTGCTCATTGGTGGTGTTGCCGTGACGCTCAACTATGCAGCAACATTCTATCTTCCATCGACGCGACTTTTACGGGATCCTTTAGAGACACTAAGCGTTGCCATTCCTGTGCTACTGGTGGGACATGTAGTCATCATGATGGCCACATTGCTATATGTAAAGCAGTGCACGTTACGAGCTACTATGGTAACTATCATGTATACGACGTTCTCGATGGATTGGGGATAGCTTAGTAAATATGACTAGACTTCGGTTGGATATGCACTGGTTGTCACAGCCATTGGTACAGGTGTCTTGCACGGATTGATTGTTTTATTCGGTGCCTCTCTTATCGAGTAAGTAAGCTTTGGGAGAGCGTGTGTGGTATCCAAAGTGATAAAAGAGAGACTGACGAAGGATTATAGGAAGTTCAATCATACACTTGCATTTGCTACGTATTTGGCTATCATTGCTTTCATCCCAAGTTTTACTGCATTGGCACCTTCTGATACGAGTATCTGGATCAAGACATTTGTACAACACAGGTAAAGTTTTCTTTCTCTATCAGGTGAATAAATGAAAGCATCTCATCTAACTTTATCCTTGTAGTCCAAGCACATGTGCCGAGATTTTTGCTTATTCACAAACCATTTGTACATTGTCGGGTGCATGGATTGGTGCCATCGTATTACCATTGGATTGGGAAAGGGATTGGCAGGTACGGAAAGAACTTGAAAGAACAATGGGGTTGGTTGGTTGCATCACGAGATAACACGTGTGATTTTTAGGCATGGCCGATTTCATGCGTCATTTCGACGTATCTTGGACATGCGGTGGGCGTCGTTGCAGCATTTGGATGGGCTTCTTTCAAATATGTATTTAGCAAGAAGAAAAGTGAATAAACTCTCTTTCTCTTTGTGTCCATGGAGAATAGTCGGGACCAAAATTCGAGTGATGATTTGCATTAGAGAAGGTTACTCAAGATGATTTGAACAAGGGGGACTTCTTGAAGACAAGATGTAATGCCAAGATTCAAGTGATACGAAGATGTTGTGTTATGCTGCTGCTGTAAAGCGATCCCCGGGGCTAGTAGTGAAATCCCAGACACAGATGTGCAGATACGCTTTTTTTATCCTTTTCCTTTTTCTCTCGCTCTCTCTCTCTCCCTCATATCCTTTCTCTCTCTTTCCTTCTTCTTGAAACGACTCTTTATACGCACAATGAGGAGACGGCAAACGACCGCTGCACCTGAACAATCGCATGGACAAGAAGAGACAGCCAAGTTAACGACGGCTCATGAGTTGCACAATGGTGATCGCAGCACGTCTGATTCAGCTCTTCAAGATCTCCGTCAACAACAAGGGGACAAAGTGTTGCGACGACATGAGAGCAGCAGCGAGTTACCCGAAGATATCTTGGCGGATAGTCAGTTATACAAGATGGATACACGACCTTTTTGGAAGCGTAAACGGTTTCACTTTATTGTTGGTGTCTCTGTGGGTGCGTTGGCCATGTTAGGCGCCGCTTCCACGACCCCGACCGCTCAGACTCACTTTAACGAATTACAAACGTATCTCGCTTTGCAATTGGCTGATCTCGATCTGGGAGGTGCAACGGATATTGTGGATGAACTCTTTGGCAATGTGACAACGTACCTGAAACCATCTCCTACAAGCGATATTCCATTCATGCCCGCTCTATCACTCAAGTACGTATTATTATTCCTCCTCCTATCATCATCATTCAAGAATACACAAAACGAGACTCATGCATGGATATCATAGAGAGGAGATGCAACTTGAACCCCATTTCCCAGTCGTCCTAATCCCAGGCATCATCTCATCGGGTCTTGAAAGCTGGGGCACATCCGAAAAGAGTCAAAAATACTTTCGAAAACGCATGTGGGGCACAACCAGTAAAGTATAATTCATGTTGTTGGATGGTATTTGTTGTTGTATTAAACCTTGTGTACTACAGCCATGTTTCGATCGGTGCTACTGGATAAGGAAAGTTGGACACAGCATGTCAAATTGGATCCTGTAACCGGATTGGATCCACCCGGTGTCAAGATCAGAGCAGCTCAAGGTAGGGATGGCAAAGGACATGATGAATAGCATTACTTAATCCCTCTTTTCTTGATATGATCAGGTCTCGATGCAGCTGATTACTTTGTCACAGGGTAAGTGAAAGTGAAAAATGCATACACAAAGAAACTTATATGGGAAACATGCAGCTATTGGGTATGGGCAAGGATCATTGAAAACTTGGCTGCTATCGGATACGACACCAACAACATGCACCTTGCAAGCTATGATTGGAGACTCTCATTTTCGAATCTGGAGGTCCGGGACAAGTACTTTACCAAGCTCAAGGCTACCATTGAGACCTCCAAATTGACACATGGGCGCAAAACAGTGATCATTTCACATTCAATGGGTAAGTTGGATGGATCATCAAAAGAATGGGGGGTCATTGATATGGTTTTATTACTACAGGCTCGGTTCTGTTTCCCTATTTCTTAAAGTGGGTTGAAAGTCCATTGGGTGCCAATGCAGGAAGTGCGTGGACTGAAGAGCACATTGAATCCTTTGTGAATATCGCTGGACCCATGATGGGTGTACCAAAGGCCATCACGGCCATGTTATCAGGCAAGTGGATTGGAACGAGAGAGAGGGAAAAAAAGCGATGAAGGCTGATTGTTGGATTGCATCATCATTCAGGTGAAACACGTGACACAATGGCTCTTGGTAGTTTTGGTGCCTATCTTTTGGAAAAGTTCTTTTCTCGACGTGAACGATCGTCGCTTATGCGATCATGGGCTGGTGGTGCATCCATGTTACCCAAAGGAGGTGATTTAATTTGGGGTACAGCCGAATCTTCCCCTGATGATCCCATTCATGGTCTCCAAGGTCGTCCCTCTTATGGAAGTTTGTTGACATTTGCTGGTACCGACAATGCCAATGAGAGCAATGAAATCAACCGTGAAAAGTTTTCAGCAGCTTCATCCATCGACTTGCTACATGAAAACACGCCCGAGGAATTCCATACCATGTTACGCACCAATTATTCATATGGCATCACCACATCCAAGGCACAATTGAAACGCAATGATCATGATCCAACAAAGTGGAGCAATTCCATTGAGTCAAAGCTTCCCAATGGTAAGTACCAATCTAAGGAAATGGGAGGATTTCATTGTTGTTGACATATGTACATATAGCACCCAGCATGAAAATCTATTGCATGTACGGCGTTGGCCTTCCGACCGAAAGAAGCTACTATTATGCCAGATCATCTCAAGAACAGGGCGCTGTATGCGAGGAAAATGATACCTCTTGTCATGAAGTAGGCGATGATGCCTATGATAAGGCACGTGACCTGGCAGAATCGTTATCAAGCACAGCTATGGACATCTTACAACCACCCGAATTGGTAATGTCTTTTGAGAGAAAGAAAAGTGTAAAGGGATTGAGACTTATGCATCATTATAGTACATTGATCCTACAGCACATGATCCAGACAATGGGGTTGAGACCGGCGTACGATTTTCTGATGGGTAAGAGGACAATGGTATATATATGGTGGTAGTAGTATAGCTCACAAGGGTTCTCCAAAGTGATGGCACGGTGCCTATCCTTTCATTAGGTTATATGTGTGCACCTTCCGGTGGTTGGAGAAAACATGCCGACTTGTATAATCCTGGACACAGCCCTGTTGTTTTAAGAGAGTACATGAATGAAGAAAGCGAAAGTCGCCTCGACGTACGTGGTGGAAGGAAAGCTGGTGATCACGTGGATATTCTAGGCAATTGGGATCTCATGGTAAGATCATCATCAACCCCTTGAGAACGATGTAACTAAAGAGGGTGGTTCATTTTCTTTGTAGACCGATATACTACAAATTGTGTCTAACAAAGGCAACAATGTCACCGAGCGTATCTTATCTGACATTGAACGATATGCTTCAAACATCCCACTCTCCCCATCATCTTAATCCTGCCCTTTACGTATATACCTCCATAATTGCTTTGTATAAAATTTACTATGTACGAATGAGATGATAATGTTATAAAGTTCATTGGCATTATGCTGTTGTGAAAACGTATGTAATTATCCGCAAGGAGGAGGAAAAAAAGGAACTAGCAAGCAACACTATTTTACATGAAGAAGGATTTCAAATATCCAAAAAATGAACGTGCAGTTGGGGGTTCTGGATCATTGTCTTGTTGAGTTGCAGTGGAGGAGGAGGATGTGGCTGTTGGAGATTCATGTCGTCGTCGTTTTGGTTCTGGTTGCGAGGATTCAATCGATAATTGTTGCACTGTGAAATCCTTATTGTTGTTGTCCTCATCCCTTGTGCGCTTCATAGGTTGATTCGTGGTGATGGTATTAGTGTTGTTGCGCTTCACAGTGAGTGTGTTGATGGGTGGATCAGTGGTGGTGATTTTATCCTTTCGCTTCACAGTGAGTGTGTTGATAGGTTGATCCTTGGTGGTTGAAGTATCCTTTCGCTTCACAGTGAGTGTGTTGATAGGTTGTTGACTAGTTGTAGGGGTGGTGGTATTATCTTTTCGTTTAACAGTGAGCGTGTTGATTGGTGTTGCAGAAGAGGTGCTGCGTTTGATCATGTTTGAAGACAACGTGTTCACATGTGGTGCTGTTGTTGTTGTTGACGATGTTGCCTGAATGGCAGGTCCAGTTGTTGTGATTGTGATCGGCTTAGGGAGGCCAAGACTTTTCCATTTGTCGCATAACATGGATGTACCTTTTATAACGGCTTGACTGTGCTTGAAGGAGGTCTTCATCAAATGGTTCCAAAACACCGTGAAGATATCAGGATCATGATATAACTCAGAGGAGGAGGAGGAGGATCCAGAGTCATCGTTGCCGTTGACATCACCAAAAGCAGGTAGATGGATACCAAGGAGACCAGCAAAATGATTCCCTCCGCATTCTTCAGTGAATTCGAGCAATTGTGTAAGAGCAGCCACGGTCATTTCACCGTTGTCGTCATGATCTTTGAGAACGCGTGCCTTCACATCATCCGAGAAACGAGGAATTACATCGACTGCACGTGCATTGGGATCGAAAGGAAAGCCGTATATCCAATTTGGATCAGGAGAACAATTGACTTGCCGTTCCAACATGCTCACATTGTCAACACCAGGTACATGCCACCATGCAATGCCATTCTTGTTATCGTGATTGGATGATTGTGCATTCTATGATAAATTAGTATGATCCCATCACTACTACTCTTTCATCATCTCTCTCTCTTACCTGTAGACATTTTGTTAATACACCTCGCCACCATCGAATCAAGCCACGATCATCCAATACGCGTTTATCTTGATTGTTGGCTGATAGATGAAACAAATATTGTGGTTGTGATCGAGCAAAGACGTAAACCGAACATGGTGCAACCGATGCAAGATATGCTTCCAGTAAACGACGTGTCACGTTGCCTCGTTGCTTTGAAAATGCACCCGTTGTATCCACTTTGGCGATATACACCACACGTTCCTTCGTCTCCTTGTCTTCCAGCGTATATTCATCCACTTCCAATCCACATACAAATGCATCCAATCTCTCGTCCTCGAGTCTCACAAGTATGAGTCGTTGAACGTGTGTCGCTGGTTCACGGTTGACATAAAGTTGGTGCTTGCTTGGTTGACATGCAACTTGGTGAACGTGAACTTTGAAACCACCAGGCAATGCCTCAAGTGAATCTTGCAATCGTTGCTCAAAAGTCATGGGCTGTCAAAAACAATGGCAAGGAGAGTTGAGCGATGCGGGAAGTGACGGGAACGAAAAAAAGAGAGGTGCAACAAAGAAGTGTATGTGTGAGTGATTGTGTGTTCCGACCCAGTAGCTTTTTTATCTTTCCTCCTCCACCTCCTCCACTCACATACACAATGTCACCAGTAACTCGACGACAAAAACGGCACAATCGCGTCAATTATGCAGAGAGTGAAAGCGATCACAGCGATTCAGAGTTCGATAGTACTAGTAGTGGCAGCGACATGTCAGAGGACGAAGCAGTTACAAAAAGGACACCTACACGATCGAATCAATGGGCAGAACTACAACGAGCTCGAGCACAACAACGAAGAAGCCAATGGAAGGCCGCAGTGAATAAAAGGAAAAAGCCAACGATAGCACCACGTAGTATCAAACGGTAAGAGTAGAATGGGTGTATCTAATAGCAAAAGAAGCTTATCTTTGACATAGGCTTAATACAACAGCCATTACACCTTTACAACGACGAACACAAGATCGATCAGCAGCATCCACTCCATATGAGATTGCACGTGAACGATTACATGTATCAGCAGTACCAGATTCACTTCCATGTCGCGAAGACGAGTTTGCCGATATTATGGGATTCGTGGAAGGGGCTGTTGAATCAGGCACAGGCACATGTATTTGTATGTTTTATATACACACACTTGGTGGGATGCAACGCTCAAGGTGTTTTTATAGATGTCGCCGGCGTACCTGGTACTGGTAAAACCGCCACTGTGCATGAAGTCATTCGACATTTACAATACAGAGTTGAACAAAAGGTAGGGTTGTCTATAGATTCATCCATGCATGTAGCAACTCATCTCCATAATAGGAATTGCCAGCATTCAACTTTGTGGAAATCAACGGCATGAAGGTGACAGATCCGAATCAGGCATACAGCATCTTGTGGCAATCTCTCAACAAAGCTGACAACAATCGTCGTGTCACATCCCATCACGCACTCGATTTACTGGAAGCCAAATTCAGCACCGATAAACCAGATGATATGACAACGTAAGTCAAATCAACAATGAGCGTATTTATACTTTGCTGATTATAGCTGATGCTAGTGTGGTGTTGATGGATGAATTGGATCTATTGGTGACCAAAAAGCAGACCGTCATGTACAACTTTTTCGAATGGCCGAATCGACCCAATTCCAAGCTTGTGGTGGTAGCCATCGCCAATACCATGGATTTACCGGAGCGCATATTGACCAATAAGGTATCAAGTCGATTAGGTAAGAAACAAAGAGGAAAACCATCGTTCTAGTGGAGGCGACTTATAGAGATTCTTTCTATACCAGGTTTGACGCGTATCAACTTTGAACCCTACACACATCGGCAACTCTATCAAATTGTGGATTCACGGTTGGAAGGTGTTGATGCATTCGAAACGGAGGCTGTTGAATTTGCTGCACGCAAAGTGAGTGCTGTCAGTGGTGATGCAAGACGTGCACTGGATATTTGTCGACGCGCTGTGGAAATTGTTGAAGCACGACACAATGCAACCACAAAACCATCAACAACAACATCTACTACCAGCAATCAAGTTGCACGGGTTACTATCCCAACGATCAACCAAGCTATCAAAGAAATGCTTCAATCCCCCTTTGTGGCATCTGTACAATCATACGCTCTTCATCAAAAGTTATTCTTGGTGTCCGTCATGCATAGTATACGGCATTCGGGTCTTGGTGAAGTGAGATTTAGCGATGTGGCCATGTATCATATTCGAGCTTGCACGTGGAGCAATATTGAACCACCCACCATGAGTGATTTGATGCAAGTATGCCAATCGCTGGGTCAAGCACGTGCATTGGTGATCGAGGATGGGAGGACCGATTTGATGATGCGCATTTCTCTCAACATTGCTACCGAAGATATCAAAATGGGATGCAAGGATGATAGACTTATCACGAGGCTATTAGTGAATGCATGATAATAAAACACAAGGCGATTTAAAACAATATTGCAAGGCAATCAGTTTGCTAAAACATTTTATTATTTACAGCAGTAAATGTTCCCTTTTAGGGGGAGTTTGCTCAAAAACAAGAAAACGAGAGGTTCGTCCTTGGATAATGCAATTGATGCATGTTGGGAAAGTCGAGTTTGGTGTTTAAACTTGGGGGCAGTCGCGGGACTAAAAAGCGAGCATCTATAAGAGCCATGTTTCTTTGTCTTCAATGAATGAATGATACACTTACAATGTGACCAGGTTGTTGGCAGTTGTAGCAAAGCTTCTCCTGTTGGGGTTGGTCGCACTCACGAGAGATATGGCCAAAGCTCTATTATACAACATGAATAAACCACATCCATGTAAAAATCCTTAATCCAACCCAATACTTACACCGCAGTTGTAGCACTTTTGACCAGATTGACCAGAGGGGCACCTATGAAATGGAACACATATGCGTGAGATAACTTGAAATGCAAGTGCTGCATTTTGTTTATATCGATTCTTACTCGCGGCTAATGTGGCCCGAGCCACCGCAGTTGTAGCAAGTCTTGCCACCAAAGGAGCGACCACCACCGAAACCACCGTTACCACCTTCGGGGCAGTTGCGAGAAATGTGACCACTCTTGCCACACTAAAACATGTGTTAGAAAAACTTCATCCTTATAGCCAATGTAAAAATGCTTACGCTGTAGCAGGCAGGACCACTGGCATTGTCATCACCAGCTTCGGGGCAATCACGGGACTATGATAATTCTATATCAGAAAAACATGCCACATGGGATACACGAAAAGACGCGTATGACGCTTACCAAATGGCCAGGTTGGTTGCACTTGTAGCAAAGTCTCTCAGCACGGGGCTCAGTGCTTCAAATAAAAAGATAGATGTGTTCATACTTCCATCCTCTAGAACGATATCATTGATTGATGGCTTACCAGTCCTTGCTCATGTGGCCTTCTTGGTTGCAGTTGTAGCTGAAAGAAAGAGTAGCAATTTAGTATACATTACACAATCCCTGGTATCGCAACACCCCCTCTCCCACAGCAACGATGCTAAGCTTGATTCGTTTCTTCCCCCTTGCTCCTGTTTTCTTTGTCTCACTGCTTACCAAACGGATTGAGCCTTGGGGCAGTCCTTAGCCTGATGACCAACTGTAACATACAAAAGAAACAACACAATCAAAAATAAGATGACATGATTCATTTTGATGACTCCAAAAAACAAACACGCCTCATCATCAGTTTATTGGTTTCTTGTTTTCACATTGCGTATGCAAAAGAACCATGCTCAAGTTAAGCATCAGAAACGCCACATCATCATCATCATCCATCTCAACTCTCTCTCTTTCTTTCCTAATGGCATAGCTAGAGAAGACGACACTGGAACAAGTCGCAGCAACCGGCAAGAGTGGATATAAAATAATGTGTGTAGAGTTTCCTTGGCATCCTAACGAGCGCACAATCCTGTATATATACACACGCACGGTGACGAGCATCTCCTCACTCACACACTCTCACGCACACGCACACTCCACAAATAAAGAAATAAACTACTTGCATTCACCGCACTTGTAGCAGCCACGACCGGGACGGAAAGACATGTTTTTTGTGTAAAGAAAAGAAAAAGGGAGGGAAAGATCAAAACCAAAGCAAATGGGAGGCTTTTGTCTCAAATGAGAGAGAAAAAATTTGACCAGCAGGGACCAATCAAAAACGCGCGCATTGGCCACAAGGTGCCCGTTTCCCTGCTGCACGACCGTCATTGACCGTCTCCCATTCCGTGTAAACGCTTATCCTAATTCATGCAGCAAAAACCCCACTCAATCACAGAAAAAAAAAGAGAAACCATATATTTTGAAAGAGCAATGAATACAAATAGTTCTATATATCATTACAAGTGGTATGTAGGAGGCAACAAGAAGCCCTAAAGCAAGGATACGATAGAATATTAAGGCGTAAAAGTATAAAGATAAAAAGTGTTGTTGTGGTGATGATGTTGATTATCGGGTTACAACGAGACGTTCCACAGGATACTTTTTGGCGAACCAATCGTGGACAGGACCAAGAATAATCAAGCGTTCGTACACTAAAGCCGATACGACATAGCCCATAGCCAATCCCCAGAGTTTCCAGCGGAATTCCCAAGGGAAGACGTTGTGTCCAAGAGGGGTGTTGTATTGCTCAATGTAAGTGGGAGGTGGTTGATAACCAATTTTCTCAAGCACGGCCGGCGTACCACAATTGAAACGGAACAAGCAACCAAATCGGTTGGGATCAGCGAGCAAAAAGTATGAAGCCATGATCATATACACGGTCCACAAAAAGATCAAGGCATAGTTGCGGTAGATGGGGCGTCTGAACTTGTAGCCAAAGCTGAACACGGCGGCATTGTTGATAAACATGAAAAGAGCCATGATCGTCAATAATTCAGGTTCATAGCCATCAGCAAGCAACCACCATTTCGACAAGTCAACGGCATTGCTGTCAAATTCATTGCAACGGAACCAGTCTATCCATGTAAACTATTAGCATCCATGCACATCTATATAGATATCATCCATCATCCATTACATACCCTGCTGGTAAAGGAATTTGAAGGCGCAGCACAAGAACAACCAGTTAAGACCAACCAAGCCAAGCGTAGATGCCATGGTTTGACCACCAAGTAAACGAGCAGTGGGACGTTGGGGAGCAAGTCGATCAGCAGCCTTGGATTGTGAAACAGCCCAAGTCAAGAGCACCGTGATGAACACGTCAATACCAATCCAAATGTATTGCGACATACTGATGGAAAAGTAAAAGTTGAGCAGCTTGATCATCATCATTTGTTGGCCATACACTATAAAGAATGCATAAGTCATTTGCCTCTAAACAACGCATTGTTGCCATACTTACAAATCAAGTATTTGTAACCAGTGAGCGAAGTAGTAAGAGCAGCACGGCCTTGCTTGAGCAACTCAACACATGACTTGACGCTACGAATGCTAGTGCTGAAAGGCGACACAATAGAGGCTTCGGCATCGGACATGGCAATACCAACATGGGCAGCACGCAAAGCACCACAATCGTTACCGCCATCACCCGTCATAGCAGTGATACCACGTTCCATATGAAGTTGCACACATTGAACTTTGCCGGCAGGAGTCATACGAGCGAATACACGAATATCCAAAAGGTACTTGCGGATCAAATCATTGTCAACGAGCCATTGGAAAGCCTTGCCAGTAACAGCCAATTCAATAGGGGTGTGCTCCTTATTCATCAAGTACTTGTCGGGATCCTCATCAGGGAAGGTTTCAGGCTCATCCACATCGGTCCATACAATACGGTTGTTCTTCTTATCAAGATCACCAAGCAAAATACGAGAGTTGGGAAGTGCCATGCCGCATTGACGAGCAATAAAGACACCAGTCAATGCCGTGTCACCAGTAATCATAATCGTGCGGGTATCACCAGCCTTGAGTTCAGCAATGTTTTCAGTCGTATCCTCCTTGAGTTGATTCTTGAAGATGATAAGACCTGCAAAGCGGATTTGCTCCTCCATTTGATCACGAGTCCAGTTGCGGAAAGCACTCATACCACCAATTTCCTCCAAGTCAATTTCACGATGAGCAAGAGACAATACCTATACAACAACACAATGAGCATCCCTATATTACCACTACCATCACCATGGATACTTACATAACAACCTTGACGAGCCAAGTTGGCAGTTGTCAAATCATAATCAGCAGGGATGGATTCAGGTTGACACAAGTCCTTGATCTTTTCATAAGCACCCTTCACGAAGATATGGACCTTGTTGGTGAGGGGATCGAGGATAGCAACGGACATGGACATGCGAGCGTGAACAAATTCAAAGCGCTTGAGCACGTGAATGGGCTCCTTGATATCAGCAGTGGAGGGTGGCGTCAAGGTATCAACGGCATCTGCAATGCCCTTCTTGTCCTCAAGAGTCCAACCAGAAGAACGGAACATCTCAATGTCGACAGGGTTGCCAATGAATTGGCCATTCAAGGTGGTGACAGCATGGCAAGTAGCAAGGCCAATTTGCATCAAGCGAGGAACATCGGCGACCTTGTCATATTGCTGGCCAAATGAAGGAGTAGCACTCTTGGTCTTGTCGCCAGCAGTAGAGTCTTGGAAATCGGCAATGGGTTGAGCACCAAAGAATTCCAAGCCTTCCTTGGTCAATGTACCGGTCTTGTCAAAGCAAAAGAGTTGTACTGGAATTGAAATAGGGGAAGTGAGCATGAATTTGTTTGTACACGTGACACGAGCTTACATACCTTTGCCAGCCATCAAGATACGAGGAAGATCCACACAGTAAATCTTTCTATCACGAAGACGTCCTGAAGCAACCGATTGACCCACAACAAGAGCTGCTGGGAGCAAAGGAGAGAGCAATTGACAAATACAAAACATGGCATACAACCAAGCACCTATCAAACAATGCATGCATGTAAGTGATGCCATTCAAACTTAAAAGATTCGATTCCCTTATACTTACTTGTGCCTGAAGCATAAAAGTAGATAGCAAAAGCCAAGCAAATAGCACCACAAATGAGCAAGATGAGAATAGTGATTCTGAGTTGTTGATTGAAAATAAAGGAGACTGGAGCAGGGAAAAGAATCTTCTTGACAAGTTGACCCTTATCAGTGGCGGTACCAGTTTCAGTGGCAAGAGCAGTAACACGTTCACCTTCTTGTGTGGGTTGTGCTTGAGACATGGTGGTACCACAAAAGAGGGTGGAGATCTTTCCAGAGCCAAGGCGATTGTATACAGAGTTATCATCCGTACGCAGGGGGAACTTACGAATGGGCAAAGGCTCACCCGTTAAGGAACTTTCATCGGCCACGATATTACCAGTGAGGATAACAGCATCACAAGGGGCAACTTGACCTTCAGCTACTTCAAATACATCGCCAGGCACAAGGTCAGCTGTGGACATCTCCTTCCATTGGCCATCACGCAAGATATTGACATTATCGGTATACTCTGCCATCTTTTTGATACGACGTTCAGATCGGAGACGAATAAAAACATTGACCATGGCAGAGAGTAAAATGACACCCGTATCGGAAATACCCACTTGCCCTATAGATAGAGTGTGAGTGGATCCATTATTGGTAGCCATGGCAACGATGATGATGATACTTACAATAAGCAAAGTAATAAAACAACCAGAGCATGGTGAATTGATAAATGTAGAAAAAGTTGGAGAATTCACGCATAAAGGCCATAAAGACGTTGGGTACGTAAACACTGATAAAGTTGGGACCAATCATTTCTTCACGACGGCCGGCTTCTTCAGTCGTAAGACCACCATTCAAGCGAGCAAGCTCACCACTCGTTTCACCAAGATCAAAAGAGTGGGGCTTGAATGTTTCAGTCTCAGGCTCATAGAGATAGCGAGTGCATTGATAAACAAAGTAGCGTGCACCCGTGTTAGCGGTGGCCATCTTGGAGGTTGAAACGACAACATCCAAACCAAGCAACTTGCAGCCAATGTCTTGCATTTGATTGACAATATCAGTCAACCTGTCAGTTTGGTCTTGAAGGAAAATGGTGGCTGATGCAAAAAGAATCATTAGTATTGGACATCCCTTGTGTATATGTGTGTGAATACTTACGTGCTTGGTATCTTTCAATTTGCACATAGTCGGCAGCGGCATACGAGCAACGAATACGGAAAAAGTTCATGAGACGATGCTTAAAGATAGCAATCGAAGCAAACCAAAAGAAAAGGATGTACCACATGGCAATGAAGACCGAGCTTTGAACAAGCTGGCTGCCACGGAACATGAGATACTCATCATAGTAATCCTTGGTCATCATGGTCTCATAGGCAATCATGCCAATGGTTTGTACAATGAAAAGGCCAAAGCAGAAAAAGCCAACAGGGTCTGTTTTGTAACCTTTGATCACCATGCGGTCTTCTTCATCGCTGGATGCATCCGATACGCTGTCCTTATCATTACCCTGTTTGGGTGGGTGTGGTTAGCATTTTCATTATCCAATCATCTTTTTACTTACCGAGCTCCCAGCTTGGTTAGCCTTTTTCTCATTGGTGCCGGAATGGATGGACTCCTTTTCAATGGAAGAGGGTACTTTTTCATTCATTGCAGCATGACGTTCAGCCGCTTTGGATAAGGCCACCATGTTGATCTAAGTGGGGTCCATTGTCAATATACATCATCATGTATGTGTGGGGGCGGCCAGTGCGCTTTCAAACTACTATCTCCGCAAAAATTCCGCTTTCCTTACCTTTTCGCGAATACGCTTATACAACACCCAAAAGATAAGCATAGCAGCACAAGAGCCATAGAAAGCATACAAGGCAATGAAGACGGGTTCATGGAAATTCAACTCGCCATAATCAGGTGTGGGGCATTCACCCCACATGACATCTGCAGGGTTGGCCCCATCCCATGCAGGAGTTGAGGTCGACACACCGAGATCAATGGCACAGGCTTCAGCACTTTGTTCAGACTTGTTGGTAGCAACAAAGTTTGGGATATCAACACGTTGCCCCTTCAAACAAGCGTACACGGGAACTTGAATTTCAGGAGCACCAGGGCAAGCACAAGCTGATGTCAAACCAGCAGGACATGAAGCACGACATTCACCATCCACACAATACGTTTGGCCTTCAGGGCAACTAGGACGCACCGATTCAGGGCAATTGGCAATATCACGTACACAAAGTGGCGAACAAGGATAAGCATTATAGGTTGGCAAGGAGCATTGGGTGCCGTTGACATGGACACCATTCACTTTTTCATCAATGTCAATAAGGAGCACACAAAAGTCGTCAAGGTGTAATACGCTTCTTATTACCTGTATGCCATTGGGGTGTGGCCAGCACAGAGACTGGTAATGATATACAAAGGGCCAAGACCCAAACAAGTTTTGAAAATGGCGGTTTGTTACCTGCCATCTTGTCAAGATAGATAGAAAAAGAGAAAGGAGTAAAAAAAGACAATCAAAAAATCGCAGGAGGCCTTTGATTTGCTTTTAAGTATGGGGAAGCTTCATGTTACACAGAGCTCGGATCGCTAAGAGAGAGCCTGAGTTTTATTTTTTTGATCGTTGCCTTTACTTGGCGCACCCGCCGCTCACTTTTTGCAAATAACCTTTGCACACCAAAAAAAAATTAAAGTGCACGCTATGTTACAGTGCATGGTGTGCCCCATATGGAGTGTGTGTATCGGAAAAGCTGGCAGTGAAAGCCGACATGATCATGTCAATGAGGATCATTTTGCATTTGAAAATAGGCTTATCGACATTTCCCATTACGTATGTCGAATCAATAACTTCTCTTGCTTTCCTTTTTCTTTTTGTCAGGTACATCAGGTGGGAACTTCTTTACTTTACAGAATCAAATCAAATCCAGCAGCCTATGACGCAGTGGCCAAGACATACATGGAAAGTAGGTTTCACAACGTACCACTTGGAATCCGTTTTTCTACCATTCTCTAATGGAGCTGGTAAACTAGCTGTAACGATGTACAAAAAAAAGAGATGTAATGACCGCATATGTAAAGTGAGCCTATACCATCAACCCAAACACCTGGGTCGTCTTTTAGACGTCTTTGATCAAATGCTTCTTATCCATACAATTCACGTTATTCTTGGTGTCACAAGTTTGCGGCATTGTCAAAAGTGAAATCGCGATTTGAAGGATGTCTGTGTGTGTGGCGTATATGTGTATGCATTATCAAATGCTGCTTACTTTACATGTACCATGGTCGTGATGATGGTTGCAAAACCTCCTTCCCCCCATCCCCGAAAATATCGGACATCGCCGTGGTAATGGACAAACGCATGTTGTTTTCCATGCATGATGCATGGATGTGATGTTGTCTCATTTATCAACCCGTTGTCATCATGAGCCACGAGATGATAGCCATGTCTTTGTTTGACCCTGAAGCCTGGTTGTCCTTATATATCAGGGCCAAAGCACGTTTACAACAGCTGTTACGTAAAAATCCAAACCCAAATGTTCATCCTCGTCAGGATATCTTTTCTTACAACGTTTTTATTGGCTAAACCCAGATGAGGACGTATGACCAGCACTTCTTTTGAAGAACAAGCTATGTGGGCCGTATACTAATGGAGAAATAACGTTTAATGGTACATTCGAATCCCGAGTATGATCGATACTGCCATGCAAGTTTCTCACACGCCGCCTGATCATGATACTATTCTTTCAGGTTTCATGTTTGGCACCAATCAGAAAGATCACGTGAGAACGTTCTTGACATTTTACTATATGCTTTGATAGTGGAGGGATCATGGATTCATCGACTACATGTATAGAAAATGTCATCATGAAGTCCGGCCAAGTATTCATTCTCCCCTTCAACGCAAAAGAAAACTTCTTTGAAATGAGGAATCAGTATTGAAAGACAGCTATGTTGAAGCAAACTGCGCCGGGTACTTCATATCTCTTGTTCCATGTAGTAGCTGCAAGCGGTTGGTGGTAGTGGTGGTGGTGATAGCGAAATCCCGATCTTAGCCGTATCGGTGATTGTCCCCGCTTGGTTGAAAGCTGCTCACACGACCTTTTCAAAGATGGATCATTCCCCATTTTGTACAATCATCATCATTCTTCTTGTTGTTCCAGAACGCTTTATATGCATAAACAAACATTTTGAATAGAGATAAAGCATGATCATCCTATATAGCCACTATCATAGAATACAACATTATGCTTATATGCCAACAACGATGATACCAATAATGATCACCTTTCAAGTCAACCATGGTCTCAGGTGATGATGGTGTCATTGCTTTGGCGGAGTATTCATTTTGGGCTGGGGGCCAGCCGCACAGGCCGTATATGGTTGGTATGATGCAATATGTCGCTAATTCGTTGATAGGCAACAAATAGAGCGCGGTCATGTAATCTTTTGCTATCGTGTGTACGTTGATTGCTTTTGCTAATCCTTTTTGGTTATATCATTGTCCCCATGGCAACCAGTGAGATTGAATTCAACCGCACATCCCATGAGATGAGCATCTTCCGATCCGTATTTTGTGTGGATACAGTAGTAGTAAAATGGGATTCGGGTGCTTCAACCATATTGGGATCCTTAATGCCAAGCATTTTCATCATCAGAAATCTTGGATACCATGAAGCTTTTGGATCTCCGTGGCCATGGAAACGATCAGCATTGTTGCTTAATGTTTCTTTGGATCTACCATATAGAGATCACCTTAGTAGTCTTTGGGCTTTTTAGTTATATCAAAATGCTGTTTAATGAACAAATGAAGTATGCCACGAACAAGTAGTAGTACATGTGTGTTATTAAAGGACAAAGGATGATATCGCATCCGCCATTACCAGATGACGACGTTTGCAGAATGTTGGAAAAGGTAAAAGTATAAGGGAGGCAATAAGAATACAATAATAAATATATATTCGTCTTGTAAGAGTAATTTGAAGGGAAGATAACCAATCAAAGATCAATTATCGAGTGACCACCAAACGTTTGACAGGGAACTTGTTGGCCAAGTAAGTGTGTACAGGTCCCAAGACAACGAAACGTTCGTAGATCAAGGTCGTTGCCATGTTACCAACACAAAGACCCCACAAGCGCCAACGGAAGTCCCAAGGCATGATGTTGTGGCCGAGAGGTGAGTTGTATTGTTCAATGTAGGTTGGTGGAACAGGGTATCCAAGGTCTTCAAGGACTTGAGGAGTACCACAGTTGATACGGAACAAGCAGCCAAAGCGGTTGGGATCGGCAAGGGTCCAATACGAAACAATGGCGATGTACAAGGCCCACAAGAAAAGCATAGGGTAGTTGCGGTAGATAGCACGTCTGAATTTGTAACCGAAACTGAATACGGCGGCATTGTTGATGAACATGAACATGCCCACAATGGTCAAGAGTTCGGCCTCGTAATTGTCAGCCAACAACCACCACTTTGAAAGATCAGAGGCATTGCTGTCAAATTCATTGCAACGGAACCAATCTACAATTACAATGTCAGCAACCTAATCATTCATACGCGATATGTCTCAAATAACTTACCTTCTTGGTACAACATGTAGAATGCACAGCACAAGTAGATCCAATTGATACCAACCAAGCCAAGAGTGGATGCCATGGTTTGAGGACCAAGCAAACGAGCGGTTGGACGTTGAGGTTCAAGCTTGTCGGCAGCTCTGGATTGTGATACAGCCCATGTCAAGAACACGGTGATGAAGACATCGATAGCAATCCACACGTATTGAGGCATAGTGACCGAGAAATAGAAAGTATAAATCTTGAGCATGACCATGACTTGACCATACACTATAAAACGATAAATCAATCATCTTGCGCTACATCTACGATATAACAAGAATACTTACTGATGAGGTATTTGTAACCGGTGAGCGAGGTAGCAAGAGCAGCACGACCTTCCTTGAGCAATTCAACACATGACTTGACGCTACGAATGCTAGTGCTGAAAGGCGACACGATAGAGGCTTCGGCATCGGACATGGCAATACCAACATGAGCAGCACGCAAAGCACCACAATCATTACCACCATCACCCGTCATAGCAGTGATACCACGTTCCATATGAAGTTGCACACATTGAACTTTGCCGGTAGGAGTCATACGAGCGAATACACGAATATCCAAAAGGTACTTGCGGATCATGTCATTGTCAACAAGCCATTGGAAAGCCTTGCCAGTAACAGCCAATTCAATAGGGGTGTGTTCCTTGTTCATCAAATACTTGTCGGGATCCTCATCAGGGAAGGTTTCAGGCTCATCCACATCGGTCCATACAATACGGTTGCTCTTCTTATCAAGATCACCAAGCAAAATACGTGAGTTGGGAAGTGCCATACCACATTGACGAGCAATGAAGACACCAGTCAATGCCGTGTCACCGGTAATCATAATAGTGCGTGTATCACCACCCTTAAGGGCAGCAATGTTTTCAGTAGTATCCTCCTTGAGTTGATTCTTGAAGATGATAAGACCAGCGAAGCGGATTTGTTCTTCCATTTGATCACGAGACCAGTTGCGGAAAGCATTGATACCACCAATTTGCTCGAGATCGATTTCACGATGGGCAAGAGAAAGCACATAACAACCTTGACGAGCCAAGTTGGAAGTTGTCAAGTCATAGTCAGCAGGAACAGATTCAGGCTCACACAAGTCCTTGATCTTTTCATAAGCACCCTTGACAAAGATGTGGACCTTGTTGGTGTACGTATCGAGAATGGCAACAGACATGGACATGCGAGCGTGAACGAATTCGAAGCGCTTGAGCACGTGAATGGGCTCCTTGATTTCAGCAGTGGATGGCGGGGTCAAAGTATCAACAGCATCTTCCATGCCCTTCTTATCTTCAAGAGTCCAACCAGAAGAACGGAACATTTCAATATCAACAGGGTTACCAATGAATTGGCCATTCAAGGTGGTGACAGCGTGGCAAGTAGCAAGGCCAATTTGCATCAAACGAGGAACGTCAGCAACCTTAGCAGCATGTTCGCCAAATGTAGGAACCGATTCGGTGCCCTTTTCACTGGCAGAGAGGCTGCTCATATCAGCAATGGGTTGAGCACCAAAGAATTCCAAGCCTTCCTTAGTCAAGGTACCAGTCTTGTCAAAGCAGAATAATTGTACTAAATAAACAATATCATTGTGAGCATTTACTTTTGTACACGTGATGGAGATGATGTTTTTTACGTACCTTTGCCAGCCATCAAGATACGAGGAAGATCCACACAGTAGATCTTCTTATCACGAAGACGACCTGAAGCAACCGATTGACCGACGACAAGAGCAGCAGGGAGCAAAGGAGAAAGAAGCTGACCAATGGCAAACATGGCGTACAACCAAGCACTGGTGCCAGTGGCATACAACCAAATAGCAAGACCAAGACAAATAAGACCAAAGCAAAGAAGGATGAGAATAGTGATCTTGATTTGCTCATTGAAAATAAAGGACACAGGTGCAGGGAAAAGAATCTTCTTGACGAGCAAGCCCTTATCGGTAGCAGTACCAGTGTGAGTAGCAAGAGCAGTAACCTTCTCGCCTTCCTTTGTGGGTTGTGCTTGAGAAATGGTAGTGCCACAGAAGATGGTATGGATCTTGCCAGAGCCAACACGGCTATAGAACGAATCATCATCGCTTCGAAGAGGGAACTTGCGAATAGGCAAAGGCTCACCCGTCAAGGAGCTTTCATCAACGACAATGTTGCCAGTGAGGATGACGGCATCACAAGGGGTAGTCTTCTTTTCAGCGACTTCAAATACATCACCAGGGACCAAATCAGCAGTGGACATTTCCTTCCATTGGCCATCACGCAAGATATTGACATTGTCAGTGAACTCGGCCATCTTTTTGATACGGCGTTCAGATCGAAGACGAACAAACACCTTGACAAAAGCGGAAAGCAGAATGACAGCTGTGTCTGCAATACCAACTTGCCCTGTAAACAAATAGCAAATGCGAATGTGAGTATGATATCAATGCTATGCTTCGACGTGTGGATCCACTTACAGTATGCAAAGTAATAAAAGAGCCAAAGAATGGAGAATTGGTAAATGTAGAAAAAGACCGAGAATTCACGCAAGATAGCCATTGCCACGTTAGGGACATAGACATCAATAAAGTTGCGGCCAATGAGTTCTTCACGACGAGCAGCTTCTTCGGACCATAAACCACTGCCCAAGCGAGTAAAGCTGGCATTGGTGTCACCCAATTCGAAAGAGTGAGGCTTGAAGGTTTCGGTCTCGTTGTCATAGACGTAGCGAGTGCATTGATAGACAAAGTAGCGTGCACCCGAGTTGGTGGATTTCATTTGAGAAGTGGTGACAACGACATCCATGCCCATCAACTTGCGGCCAAGGTTTTCCATATAGCGAACGATATCAGTGAGCTTGTCGGATTGATCCTGCAAGAAGATGAGAGCTATAAAATGTTTTGCCGGTGTCAATGGATGAAAATGAAAAAGATAGGCCAATAGAATCACACTCACGTGGCTGGTGCTTTTCGACTTGGACATAATCAGCTTCATGATAAGAGCAGCGGATGCGGAAAAAGTTCATCAAACGAGGCTTGAAGATAGCAAGGCAAGAGAACCAGATAAAGAAAATGTACCACATGCCAATGAAGGTGGAGCTTTGAACAATCTGAGAGCCACGGAAAAGGAGGTATTCAAGATAGTAGTCCTTGACCATCATAATCATGTATGCGACCATGCCAATGGTTTGGATAATGTAGAGTGCAAAGCAAAACACGCCAATGAAATCACGCTTGTAGGCCTTGATAAGCATGTCATCATCGCCTTCAGTGGATTGATCGGAAACGCTATCATTGTCGTTACCCTATCAACGTATGATTGTTATTGTTAGCCACATGAAGAAGATTTTTTTTCTGTCTTTGGGGGGGGGTGGGTATACTCACCGAATTGCCGGGTGCTTTCTTTTCATCCGAAGTATGAGAGGAGCTCTTATCGTCATTGGAAGCCCGTTTTTTCTCATCCAATCCACCGTTGTCCCTGGCTCTCTTTGAAAGGGCGACCATGTTGATCTGGGCGTCAAAAGAGAAAAATGAGACATTTGCTCATGTGACACACAATAGAAAAAAGAGAGTTTGAACGAACCTTTTCACGCATGCGTTTGTACAAGGTCCAGAGGATAAGCATAGCAGCACAAGAGCCGTAAAAGACGTATAAGGCAATGAAAGCGGGTTCATGAAAGTTCAATTCGCCATAGTCAGGTGTAGGGCATTCACCCCACATCATATCAGGTGGGTTGGCACCATCCCAAGGAGCGATCGAAGGTGATAGACCCATCTCCAAAGCACAGGCTTCAGCACTTTGAGCCGTCTTGTTGGTGGCAACAAAGTTGGGGATATCGGCACGAACTTCTTTACAAGCATAGACGGGAACAGTAATCGAGGGAGCACCAGGGCAAGCACATGCTGATTGTAAATCGGAGGGACACGAATCACGGCACTCGCCATCGACACAGTAGGTTTGACCAGGTGGACATGTGGGGCGTACAGATTCAGGACAAGTGGCAATGTCACGCACACAAAGAGGTGAACAAGCATAAGCGTGGTATGTTGGAAGAGGACATTCGGTGCCGTTAGGGAATTGACCGTTGACTGCAAGTTAAATAAAAATGAAATGTGGATGAGAAAGAGTCATAAAGAGAAATTTCATTGTTGGGGATGTACAAAGGGCCCATGGCAGAAAATAAGCTCATGACAAAATGTGGCCACTGTACAATGACGATATACGTACCTGTATTCCAGGCAGGTGAAGCATACACAGTGTAGGGTAATGACACAGCAACAACAGCCAATAGGCCGAGCAATCGATTAAGAGTTAAACCACCTGATCCACCCATCATGCCAGATGAAGAGCGAAGTAGGAGGAGGAGGAGGAGGAGGAAGGGGAAAAAGGTGAAAAAGAGTAAAGAAATCGAAAGACAAGGAACAAACGCAGGTTTTTGGGCGATCTGGCTTTAAGTATGGGGAAATGATCATGTTACATCAGGCTCGAGTGGCCATCCGTAGCCTGGGTTTCTCATCGCCTTGTTTTTCCATCGTTTGCCTTTCGATCAAACCACTGTGCTCTGTGCGTTTAGCTAAGATGCATGAATAACACAAGTGGATTTGTAGATTCGTCTGCATATAGACACACACTTTAACTCTATTCAAATCATAAATTCGCTCGTCACACCCTTAATCGATCTCATCAACTTTTTCTTTGCCCTGACTTCTTTTACTGGCTTTCGGTTCATCATCGGTAAGGCGGTAAATGAGGATCCGTTAACAGAAAAATCAATCCCAGCAATGTATGACGGCATGCTAAACACACATTTGGAAGGTGTATGTTGCATCTGTACGACGTTGCCTATTTCTCGTTTTCTGTGCTGAGACATCGTGTGCCATCCCCGCTCAGAAAAAACTGCGACCCAAAAAAAAAAACGTGCATCCTCTCACCTTGGGAAATGACCCTCAAAAGCATAGCCACATGTACATGGGAAATCCCCTTTACTACACCCTGCGAACATGAATGTTATCACAATGAGCTTGATTGTACAATGTATCATCATGCTAGACTATCAAAGGATCCATTTTTGAGGCGCAGCCATTTTACGAGTTTTGGGTAATAAAACCTTGCAATCAAAGGGAAAATGGCGCATGACCATAACCCCACATAGAACTGCATAAGAGTGCATTTGTTTTGTGGCAATGATGCATAAGAAGGAAAGATCATCTGGCTAGTGTTGCCAACAGTTCAACAAGTCCTCGGCGTACAATATATAAACGCTACTTTTTATTCTAAAAGGGAAAACTTATGTAACATGATACTTTTGGAAAGACAAAATGATATAGCCGATTCAGCGTTTGTACAGTCGTTCTATCCAGATAGAAGACGCCCATGCATAAAATCGAAAAATGTGGGGTGTTGTAGTGTGGGGGTGGTGAAGAGAGGAATGGGGAAAAAAAAGCGTCTCGTTCTTGTTGCGAGTGTGTGTGTATGTGTGATGCGATGTATGTAATGTTGGTAGTAGTGGAATGTTGTGGCTGAGAGAAGAACGAGAAAGAACAAGATATCGAATAGGCGTAATTATCGCGTGATCTGGAGACGAGCAAGTGGGAACCTCTTTGCAAGGTAAGTGTGTACAGGGCCCAAAACGATGATACGCTCGTATAGCAACGCTGTTGCCATGTTACCAACACAAAGACCCCACAAGCGCCAACGGAAGTCCCAAGGCATGATATTGTGACCCAATGGCAGGTTGTAATCCTCGATATAGGTGGGCGGTACTGGGTATCCAAGTTCTTGAAGGACTTGTGGTGTACCACAGTTGAGACGGAACAAACATCCAAATCGATTAGGATCAGCGAGCGTCCAGTACGACACGATGGCGATATACAAGGCCCACAAGAAAATCAATGGGTAGTTGCGATAAATCGGACGTCTGAACTTGTAGCCAAAGCTGAATACAGCGGCGTTGTTGATAAACATGAACATGCCCACCACCGTCAACACCTCGGCTTCATAGTTGTCGGCAAGCAACCACCACTTTGAAATGTCCACGGCATTACTGTCAAACTCATTGCATCGGAACCATTCTAGAAGCCAAAATATTTAGTATACAAAAAAGTTTCATGTTTCACTGACACACAATCTTACCTTGCTTGTACAGCATGTAGAATGCACAACTCATATAGATCCAGTTGATCGAAACCAAACCGAGACAAGACGCCAAAGTTTGAGGTCCGAGTAATCGAGCTGTAGGACGACAAGGTTCCAGCCGGTCGGCGGCCTTAGATTGCGAAACAGCCCAACTCAAGAATACAGTGATGAAGACATCAATAGCAATCCAAACATATTGAGACATGGTAATCGAAAAGTAAAAAGTAATAATCTTCATCATCACCATGACTTGACCATACACTATACAATAAACAACAGCCTATTAGCTTTCTGTTCCTCTTGTTTTTCCGATCCCACAGCACATTTTCCGACAACTTACAAATGAGATACTTGTAACCAGTGAGCGAAGTAGTAAGAGCAGCACGACCTTGTCGAATCAATTCAACGCAAGACTTGACGCTACGAATGCTGGTGCTGAAGGGCGATACAATAGAGGCTTCGGCATCGGACATGGCAATACCAACATGGGCTGTACGCAAAGCACCACAATCATTACCACCATCACCCGTCATAGCAGTGATACCACGTTCCATATGAAGCTGAACACAAAGCACCTTGCCGGTAGGGGTCATACGAGCGAATACACGAATATCCAAAAGGTACTTGCGGATCAAATCATTGTCAACGAGCCATTGGAACGCCTTGCCAGTGACAGCTAATTCGACAGGGGTATGTTCCTTGTTGTGCAAATACTCATCGGGGTTGACATCGGGGAATGTCTCCGGTTCATCCACATCGGTCCAAACGACACGGTTCGTCTTTTTGTCAAGATCACCAAGCAAAATACGCGAGTTGGGAAGAGCCATGCCACATTGACGAGCAATAAAGACACCAGTCAATGCCGTGTCACCAGTAATCATAATCGTACGTGTATCACCAGACTTGAGTTCAGCAATGTTTTCAGTCGTATCCTCCTTGAGTTGATTCTTGAAGATGATGAGACCTGCAAAGCGGATTTGCTCCTCCATTTGATCACGAGTCCAGTTGCGGAAAGCCTTCATGCCACCAATTTCTTCCAAATCGATTTCACGATGAGCAAGGGACAATACCTATACAACACAATGAGCATCCCTATATTACCACTACCATCACCATGGATACTTACATAACAACCTTGACGAGCCAAGTTGGAAGTCATCGAATCATAATCAGCAGGGATGGAATCAGGCTCACACAAATCCTTGATCTTTTCATAAGCACCCTTCACGAAGATATGGACCTTGTTGGTGAGAGTATCAAGAATGGCAACGGACATGGACATGCGGGCGTGAACGAACTCGAAACGCTTGAGCACATGAATGGGTTCCTTGATATTGGATGTGGATGGTGGCGTCAAGGTATCAACGGCATCTTCGATACCCTTCTTGTCCTCAAGAGTCCAACCAGAAGAACGGAACATTTCAATGTCGACAGGGTTACCAATGAATTGGCCATTCAAGGTGGTGACAGCATGGCAAGTAGCAAGACCGATTTGCAGCAAGCGAGGCACATCGGCAACGTTGTCCAACTTTTCACCGAATTGCGGCTTCTCAGGCTTCTTGTCAAAGTCGTTGATGGGTTGAGCACCAAAGAATTCCAAGCCTTCCTTGGTCAATGTACCGGTCTTGTCGAAGCAAAAGAGTTGTACTGTTATTGAAATGCAGCCGTGGTGGTGAGCATGAATGTGGGTGGGTGCACGTGACAAGAAGAAGAAAGAGAAAAGAGCGACACGAGCTTACATACCTTTGCCAGCCATCAAGATACGAGGGAGATCCACACAGTAAATCTTCTTATCACGAAGACGACCTGAAGCAACCGATTGACCCACAACAAGAGCTGCTGGGAGCAAAGGAGAGAGCAATTGAGCAATGGCAAGCATACTATACATCCATGCACCTATATGATTCGTATCCAAGGTCAGTTGCTGGGTTACTTTACAACATGAACATTGCATAGCAACAATACTTACTGGTGCCGGTAGCATACAACCAAATGGCAAGACCAAGAGCAATAAGACCATAGCAGAGCAAGATGATGATAGTGATCTTGATTTGTTCATTGAAAATAAAGGACACAGGTGCAGGGAAAAGAATCTTCTTGACCAATTGACCCTTGTCGGTACCAGTGCCAGTGTTGGTAGCAAGAGCAGTAACCTTTTCACCATCGAAAGTGGGTTGTGCTTGAGAAATGGTAGTACCACAAAAGATAGTATGGATCTTGCCAGAGCCAACACGGCTATAGAACGAATCATCATCGCTTCGAATAGGGAACTTGCGAATAGGTAAAGGCTCACCCGTCAAGGAGCTTTCATCAACGACAATGTTGCCACTGAGGATGACGGCATCGCAAGGAGTGGTCTTGTTTTCAGCAACTTCGAATACGTCACCAGGAACCAAATCAGCAGTGGACATTTCCTTCCATTGGCCATCACGCAAGATATTGACATTGTCAGTGAACTCGGCCATCTTTTTGATACGGCGTTCAGATCTCAGCTTGACGAACACATTGATGACGGCGGAAAGCAAAATAACGGCGGTATCGGAAACACCGACGGTCCCTAATGGAGTTGTAGAAGATGATGAATGATCCTATTCCAAGAAGCGATGTATATAGCATGCATAATGATGTCAACTTACAGAAAGCAAAGTAATAAAAGATCCAAAGCACCGAGAATTGGTAAATGTAAAAGAAGGCAGAGAATTCTCTCAATACGGCCATAGGAATGTTGGGAACGTAAACATTGATAAAGTTGAGACCAATGAGTTCTTCACGACGAGAGGCTTCTTCTGTAGAGAGGCCACCATTCAATGCTGCCAAGCTTGCATTGGTGTCACCCAAGTCAAAATCATGGGGATTGAATGTTTCGGAATGGGGATCATAAACATAGCGGGTGCATTGGTACACAAAGTAGCGTACCCCAGTGTTGGTCGATTTCATCTGGGAAGTGGTTACCACAACATCCAGGCCAATAGCATGCGAGATAAGATTCTCGGCCCATCGCACCGTATCCATAAGCCTATCAGATTGATCTTGCGAAAAGATAATGGCTAATGAAATGAAACAAACATTAAGTCACGGGGCCATCCCATTCAAGCAAAATTCTACTTACGATCTTGATGCTTTTCGATCTGAACGTAATCGGCTTCGGTGTAGGAGCATCGGATTCTGAAAAAATTCATCAACCTGTTCTTGAAGATGGCAAGGCAGGCAAACCAGAAAAAGAAAATGTACCACATGCCAATGAAGGTGGAGCTTTGGACCACTTGGAAGCCACGGAAGAGGATATAGTCGTCATAGTAATCATTCACAATCATGATCATGTAAGCAACCATGCCCAAGGTTTGCAAAATGTAAAGCACGAAGCAAAACATGCCAATGTAGTCACGCTTGTAAGCCTTGATGACCATGCCATCGTTATGTTCACCCGAGGTATCAGAGGCAGTGTCTTTGTTTTTCTATAATCAAAGTCTTAAATGAGTATCATTTTCCATAAACGAACTAGTAGCACTCACCACGCCATCCGATTTTTTGTTTGCAACCACCGAGCTGTCGGAATCTTTGTCATCGATTTTCTCATTCAAGCCATCATTTCTCCTAGCTTTCTTTGAAAGTGCAACCATGTTGACCTATGCCAGTCAAAACGTTAAAATCAGGGCACTTTTTGTGTGACACAAGAATAGCCTATAAGGAAGTACCTTTTCACGAAGACGCTTATACAACGTCCAAAGAATAAACATGGCAACACAAGAACCGTAAAAGACGTATAAGGCAATGAAGGCAGGTTCGTGAAAGTTCAATGGACCATAGTCAGGGGTAGGGCATTCACCCCACATCATATCAGGAGGATTGGCACCATCCCATGCACTAACAGAAGTGGGTACACCAATCTCAATGGCACATGCCTCAGCACGTTGAGCACTCTTGTTGCTTGCAACAAAGTTATGGATATCAGCACGAGAGCCTTCTTCACAAGCATAAATGGGAACAGTGATTACAGGTGCACCAGGGCAAGAACATTTGGATTGCAAATCTGAGGGACAAGAGGATCGGCAAGAGCCATCCACACAATAGGTTTGACCTTCAGGGCAGGTGGGACGAATGGATTCAGGGCAGCTAGCGATGTCTCGGACACAAAGAGGTGCGCAAGTGTACGCGTGATAGGTTGGGAGTGGGCAGCTGGTTCCATTAGGATAAACGCCATTGACTGTGAGGTGACACGATTAGCGATTCTCTCTTCTGTATATATCCAAGAAGTAGCATATAGGGATAAGGTTTTAATGAGCGACCCATTACCTGTATTCCAAGCAGGTGTCGCCAATACACCTAATGGTAATGATATACCAATGGCGAGAAAGCAGAGATATCTAGCAAGCCTTGAACCACTAGATCCTGCCATCATTGGGAATGAAGAGTGAGGAGGAGAAAAAACAAGAAAAAAAGGAACCGGGTTTGCTTTTTTGTAATGACTGCACATCCAAAAAAAAAATCCAGAATGTGAAGCATGTCACGCCCGAAAGCCGATATACAAAATGAATCCCGAGTCTGGCATACTAATCTTGATGCGTCGTCGTGGTGTGTTTCGCTTTACCGAATACTAGGATGTTGTTGTTCTTTCAACTTGCCCATTTCCATCCCCCTTTCTTAAAATTTCTCTTTAACCATCATCCCCCATCCATAACATTGATTGCTCTTTGAACGCAATGCAAGGGATGGCTTTGGGCAATTCGTAAAGTAAGCTTGTCGTCGGCTTGCATATGACGCTAATGGCATTTACGTGCAAGTCAAATCTGAAAGGCGGGGAACAAGATCTCGTTTGTGCCACTGAGTTTTCTGCTCTTTTGTTAAACCAGATTGTAACCTAACACAAAGAGCAGCAGAGAATACAATAAGAATTTGGCCCCTATGTCTGGTCTATAATATTACAGAAGGAGCATGTTTGTGGTACCATAATGCATAATGGCATTCCATGTATCAGTGTTGGCTATCATACACCTTTTAACATTGTATGCTTTTGAATGGACGTGTAGAGGAGAATACACCCTCGGAGAAGGGGATTGAGCTGAGTTGGGGTGCAAGGTATAATAACTTTTCTATCTTTTTCTTGATTGCTGTTTCTGAGTTGTGACTTATCGGCATGTACAACACACGGCATTTGACATCCTTTGCATCGAGAGGGCGCCGAGTCATGGAACTGGGAACACATTGCTGCACGTTACAGAAATAGTGCATTGGGCACCTACCTATTGCCCCCACCACCCTATCCATAGGATCACCCTTTGACATGGCTGCTTGAACAAAGCGAGCGGCCATTTTTCATTCATCGGCGGGCATTCCGAAAGGGTCTCTATACAATGGCCAATCGAGATGGAGATATTCGAGACGATTCCTTGAAACATGGAAATAAGAAATTCGGCCAAGCATATGCACACACACACAAAATCTCAGTAGCACTACCTCTCTCGGAGAGAAAAAAAAATGGCCCAGCCCGCTAACTTTACTGCTACCACCCAAAGCACGACACTCACTCCACTCCAACCATGAAACGAATTGGAGTCAGACCACTCACATACATCTTTAACCTATTTGGTACGCTTGCAACCAATCATCACGTCATGCATGATGCATGTAAAGCACAAAGTCAAAAGGAAAAAAGCAATTGGAACTCCCAAGATTGACGTATGTATACGAAGCTAAAGTGCGATACCGGATGTTGCCAGATTTTGGTTGCACCAATACGATTGGCTCATATGGAAAATTTTGACCAAAAGTCTCACGGGAAACAACATACATCTTTAAGGTTCAAGAAGATACCTGTGCGCAACCCCCTTTAACGTTTAAGCTCCACCGCTAACGATGTGTCATTTTTTCGCTTGATCCCACTTAAGGAAGTCCAATCCTTAACTTTTTGACAGCTCTGTCAAATAGACATATATAGGGTTATCTTGATTCATGCATCCAAATAGCCGGAGAGGTAAATCATGTGGTCTTCTTGCATTCCTTGATCTTGCGTTCCTTATGCAATTCGCATGCCGTCATAAACGTCATACTTAGCCCCCCCTTCCAACATGTTACACTTGCCGTTGTAATTCTATGATTCGTCGAAAAAAAATGGGCCGTGGAGCACCTTGCGATGTCGGGCGCGAGAGAGAAAACAGGATCGGAGACATCGTCGTAAGTAGTACTATACCAAGAATTCACCAATGGCTATCTTGTTTGGCAGTACAGCTTAGTCATCTGCCACAAAAAGTCGCCAGCAGGTTGGGAATTGGATATCTATTGATCTTTTCCTCAAATGGCATTCTCGTTAAGCATTTGAACCAAAGCCTTTCATCATCACCGTAGTAGCACAATACATATACACAAGCACTTCTTTGATAGGATCCAACTTAAATAAACAGCATAGCAACGTAGTTTTTGTAACCAGGAAACCATCCTGATAGTGCCAGTGATCATAAATGGAGGGTAGTGCAAAGCGAAAAAAGACCTTTTCTACGTTGCAGTTTCACTGAAAGCGAACGTTAGCAATATGATACCGGGCAAATGTTGCATCGCGTTAATGACATCAGATGTAAGGTGGTCAACAATGATTTTGATGGTCGTTGCCGAAAGTGCAATTGCATGGTCAGGTGTTGGAGCATGTCACGTGCTCATCTTCTTGGATCCATTAATTGGTGGATGCTGACGAGTCGAAAACAGTTGAGGAGTAAATGGAGCAGCTACATGAATCAAATAATCCTCTTCCAAGAGAACAATCAAAATCGATAAAAAAAGGGGGTGGAAGCTTCTTTGTTATCTCGCTTATCAATGAATCTGGAAAGGACAATGCGCTTTTGTTTATTCTAATGTTACGTTTATAATTAGTGCAAGCTACAATACCGCTATATAACGGCTCCACACTTTTGGATATAAGGAGATGATGCTGTTCGTTGTTGTTGATAATGACAATGTGCGATCCATCACTGCTGTTTTCGAAATAATCAATCAACCCCCTTATTCTTGAATCTTGCTCCAGTGCAGTCATTGGTAAATCCAGAACGATCAATGCTGTGTATGAAAGTAATGGGTCATTTGGACTTGAGACACCTCCAAGCCGCATCGTTCATAAAATGACACGTTGTGTTGTAAGCAATCAAGGATAATCTTGTAGCAGCCAACAGCTTGCGCCATGTGTTTGAGTTGATCGATAAGCCTATATATGCATATACATACACACGTGGTGATGGTGAATTAATACCAAACGAAGGATGCATGTTGCTGCAAGAAACATCCCCCCCTTGATGGATATTGAAATATCGCACACACATGCACCACCCCAAATCTTACCGTATTCCTAATCGCTTCCCTCTTTGTGTGCCATCGACAACAACGTCCTCAATATGCCCTGACTAACAGCATCATATTAGTAGTCATGGCAACATCCGTGTGTGCGAGTATCCATACCTGGCCGCATTCATGGAGAAATTTATGCTCAACGATCAATGTAGCGCATGCAACGATGATACCTTCGGCTTCAATACAGACAATGTAATACGTCCCAGCACGTTTCATGAGATCAAATCGCGCTATATAAAAGCAAACATAGATAAGATGTTTGTATCAATCCCAACCATGTCATTGATTACCTTGAAACGCTTCATTAGAGATCTCGCCTGTAGTCGATAGTTGTGCAAGCACCTTGACGAAACCTAATGGATGGATGTATATAGTATCCATGATCAATGTCCATGACTACTTGGATGGGTCGTTTGGATAATTACCTTTGTCGTAATCATCTCGTTGAAGAGGTCGAATGATATAACCATCAGGAAGTGCATCTTGGACATCGGATGATATGAGCTTGTATGAAAAGAGCTGGTGCTGATGATGATGGTCTTCTTCTTCTTTGGCGGTCAGCAGTGGTGAATTGGTCATGATGTATGCAAAGAAAAGGAAAAAAAGTGTAAAAGAGAAACGAGCCGCATTGCTAGGAAGCAAATCAGGAAAGATAAACGCCCACTGCTTTGTTTGATGCCTGTCAGCCTATAATGCAATATGAGCATGGTCATGTTACACATAACTCCCCAATGGATCTCCAACAGCCTTATCTTCTCGTCGCCTTGTTACTCTTTCCCACGTTCCCCAATGCTTCGAGCAATCACCCAGCAACGACGTACCTTATTCTCTTCCTCTCGTGGTATGTGTGGGTGGGTGGGTGTGTAATCAACGCGAGGGTGTGCTAATGTTGATTGTCGTCTCTCTAGTCTCCAAGCAGTTTGTTGTCATTGCTCGTGATTTTGACGATGCGAATGCGCTTGAGCGACGACTTGCTGTGCGTGAGAAACATTTGAACCGGATCAAGCCCAAGGTGGATGAAGGTCGCGTTCTTTGTGGTGGCGGTATCTTGGATTCGCATGAGGTAGGATGATGCATAGGCAATTGAAACAGGAGGTGGGGGGGGGAAGTTGCCTCATCTCAATTAACATCATCTATGTATGTAAACAACAGAGCGGCAAGATGGTTGGCAGCTGCTTGATCATTGAAGCTGATTCAAAGGAGCAAGTGCAACACCTTCTAGAAAATGACCCCTATGTCGAAGGAAAGGTGTGGAAGGATTGGGATATTTATCCTTTCAAATGGTAAGCATTCTTCACAAAGATGGTGGATGGGGCAATGTATTCATCGATTATTACATTTTAGTGGTGTTGGCAAGGTGGGCAAGTAATTTGACAAGTAACAAACATACACGTTCACGTGCTCTCGTCGGTGGATTTTCTTGAGAGAGAGAGAGAGATGTGGTTTATGGAGAATTGAATTAGGCTTCAACCCGACATTGTGTATTCCCCTCTCCCCTTCCCTTCGATCTCACACGCAGCAGCACACATGCCTCTCCTTAATTTGACTTGCCTTGTTCCCAATCCTTACAATGAAGACATAAAGATGGCATTTCTCTCATCACTTATCAACCTCGTGCATACTTCAATTCGAGCAGAGGATGATGATCCATCGGCTTGCGCTGATCGATTTGAAGGAGTGAAGAACCTATGATCCCCAACATTACGAATGGTAATTCGAGCACCCTGGGGGTCCCTTGTTAGTAGACTACAAATGTATTCCGATCAAATGCTTCTCCTGATATACAACATTCATCCATCAGATAAGAGGATTGACCTACGAGTTATAAGATCATCCATCCATGGAGATGATGTTGCTTTTAAGACATTTCTTGTATAGCTTGCGGGATCACGTGGGTAGCAAACAACCAAGAAGCTTTTCCTGGGTTCAAAAACGATGCTTTTTAAGGAAGGTGGAGCGTCTGGTGCGACACATGCAGTAACCTATTCTAAAATGTGGATGTTGTACCGAGTGTGATGCGTGTCCTGATTTATACAATCATCATGTTGATAAACAAAGTGTATATCCTGTCAAAAGAGTAATAAAAGTCATCGAGGAATCTTTAAGAGAACGGCTATATAACATCATCCCATGATGCAAGAACATCATCATGTATATGCATTTATATGAATACCTGGGAATGAAACAAAGTTGCTGATCTTTGCGCTCCACACGTCAGCAGCTCCGTCACCAAATTAAAACACCATTTGTCCCACACTCAAATGTCTCTGGATCAATGTCTCCGTGTGATGTTGCTTTTTCGTCTGTGTAGGATGCGTTATTGAACGGGTGGTCGTTGTGAGTGATACTTGGAATAAGGATGTGCCGTAACGAATGTTCGGTAAGTAAAATCTCACTCCCTCGTGTCCCTGATGATCATCCCAAAAAAGGAGGACAAGAATTATTATGCAGGAAAACAGGCAATGCCGATAATATCAGATAGACACAGCAGCAGCTTCCTCCCATCCATTGATCATTAGAGTCAAAGTATGAAACAGTATTAGTTTATGACATGTCTTTCGGTGGGTGATGTGTTCTACGTAGAAAAAAGTGTATTACAGTTGATGGTAAATGAAAGAGCAAGCGGGATAATACATCCAATCAGAGTCAAAATGATATCACGATAGGGTCGCACATATGCAATAGTAGATCTGTGGGATACATTGCCGTTTATTCTGATATATAAACCATGCACGCGCCGCTCTGACACCTGTGTTAGGTGTACACTTTCTTTCCTGCCCACAAATAGAAAAAGCCTTTTGGTAATCGTGCATCTTCCTCCTCTCCTTTTATTCTTTTCCACACTTTTCCACACACACAAACACACGCACACCATCACCACATCCATCACGTATTTACCCTGCAGCAACTTACTCCTCTTTCTCTCTCTCTCTCTCTCTTTGCTTTCCTTTACGTCTCTTGAGTATTGCTTGATCTCACTCCGCCGCCATGTCCTCTGTTGGATCAGCCAGCTCCAAAGCAGAATCCACCACTGCAATGCCTCCCATTGTCAATGGCGCGCTCACCATTAACGGCTATCGCTTCAAATCAGCAACTCTTTCCAACCTAGGGCACGCTGGCACTGTCGACTACTTCTATGGCTACAAGTAAGCTCCCATCATCACCCGTATATGCAAAAGTAAGCTAATCACATGCATAATGTCCGCCAGATTGTCCAACAAATCACCTGTGGTTGCCAAAGTTTCCACCAATGCGTTTCAATTGGAACGTGAATTCTATGTCATCAAGAAATTGTATCAAAAGGATGAAGCACCTTTATATCTAGGTACGAATTACGACGCATCACCTGTCATCATGATGCTGGTGGATCATTAAATGTCACATCTTCTTAGTACGCCCGATTCAATTTGTCAGTTTACCAAGTGGGCTTAGAGTAGCCATCTATGCAAACGAAGGTGATGCATTAGGTCAACATCTTGTTTCTGAAAATGACACGTGTACAACAACAACAACGACGACAACAACAACGACATCTCACCATGACGACAACAAACAACCATGTCCTTTTGCATCCTATATTGATGACATTGGAGAATTTCTTCGACTTGCTATCCAATGCACCGATTGCCTTGAATTCATCCATCGTCATGGTGTTATTCATGGTGAAATACGACCCACCGCTTTTCAATGGGTGGATGATGGCAACAACAAAACACGGTTGAAATTATGGAATTTTGGTTCAGCCTCGAAACCACTCGACACGTATTTGACAATGGAAGGATGGCGTAGGGCGGCCACCAGCAAGGAGACGATGAAGATTCTACAAGATTTACTTGTATGCATCAGCCCCGAGCAAACAGGACGCACCACGTATTCCGCCAGCCATCGCTCCGATATTTATTCCCTTGGCATCTTGTTCTATGTCCTGCTCACAGGTCGTAATCCTTTCGATGGCGGGCCCATCGAAATCATCAACAGCATTGTCAGCCGCAAGATCACTCTGATACACGATTTACGACCCGATGTTCCCGAAGTGCTCTCAAGAATCATTGAAAAGATGACAAACAAGGCAAATAATGCACACATCCCCCCCACATTCATCACGTATTCTCACACATGTATATGCACACATACACACACTCTCTCTCTTTTGGGTGATCTTTTTTGTATCCATTGACGATATATAGGCACCTGATGATCGTTACGTCAGTGCACATGGTGTCCGAGCCGACCTTGCAGAATGCCTCAAACGTCTTAGCACAACAGCATCTTCATCATCCGATCAAGCAAGTTTCATTTACCATCATCATTGTTATGCCTATCACTCATACTATGTGTTCATGTAGCTTATACCCTCTTTTCCTTTGGGACAACGCGACATTGCATCTGTTTTCACGCTGCCAAAATCCATCTACGGGCGACAAAAAGTGCTATCCCAAATGACTTACTTTGTACAACGTTTCATGGGAACCCACAAATCGGTTCAAGCTATGCTGGCCCCTGCATCCAATTCCACTCCGACAACGACAGGTGGCACCACCACAGATTCCATGAGTGATTTTTCTGGAGGAGGACATGATGGCAATAATAACGTTGCAACAACAACAGCAGCAGCAGCTAAATCGACAACATGGCAAACAACAGCTGAAATGAAAGAAAAGGCTTTTGGTACTGGCAATGTAAGGCAAGCAACAACCATTGTTGGTATCTATGGCCCTGGTGGTATAGGTAAGAAGAAGAAGATTCATTGTTTTTCCTCATCTCATTGTTCTCTCCTGGTTTTCATGTTACACATGGCGTTTCTCATATCTTGATTTCATCTCTCCTAGGCAAATCCACGGTCTTTTTATCGGTTCAGGCTACTGCAAGGCAATATGGGTAATGTCATTATTGTTATCATCGGCGTTTGGTGACGACACTTTTATGTAACCTCCTCCTCTCTTTTCTTTTGTGAACAAAAGCTATGTGTCATCGATCAAGTTTGACTCCAGGACAAATACACCTTATGGGGGGTTCATTCGCTCCGTGTCACAGATCCTTCAGCAGATATTGTCTGAACCTGAGGAAGAGACCAAGCTGTTCTCAGAATATTTCATATCATCCCTTGGTGCCCAATCTTGCAACATTCACCTTTTGATCAACCTTATACCTGAGCTTCGATCCTTGTTGTATCCCGACGACGTCAAGAAATCCAATGTTAAAGAAGGTGTTGATGATGATGGACAAGCGGATAGCGTTGAAACACGAGTACGGTTCCAAAACTTGTTTGTGGAGGTCATTCGTTCCATTAGCAATTGGCACCTCCTGACACTGGTAAGTTTTCTTTTGTGCGATTATCAATGTCAAGTAATGTACATCATCCATCTGACGCGGCTGTATGATCGATTCGATACGTATAGTTTTTCGATGACTTGCATCTTGCAGGTAAATTTGTGTGGGCGGCGCCTCATCAGCTGGATAGTATAACTAATAACTCACTTTTGTATATAGATATTTCGTCTATTGAATTGATTCAATCATTGGTTGCTGCACGCGTGCCATTACTTTTGTGTGTCTCCTATCGTGACAAGGAGGTAACACAACCACTCGCCGAGCTCCTTGCCAATGACGCAGCTGACACGCACCTGATCCAAGTGGATGCACTCGATATGGACTCGGTGATCGATTTCCTGTGTGACACTTTACATCGACCACGTGATGTGAATCGACAAGCGATCGAGCCACTTGCAGAGATCGTGTATAAGAGGACCATGGGCAATGCTTTTTACGCAGCACAATTGATACGCGCATTGGAACGAAAAAAGTTGATTTACTTTGATCATGACAAGAACGAGTGGGATTTTCAACTTGAAGAAATTCAAAAAGGCACTGGATTGCAGGGTGGTATGATGGAACCAGATTCGCTCTTGGATGTTTCATTTTTGGTGGCACGATTGAAAGAGCTACCACGTAATGGGCAACAGCTGCTAAAGTATGCATCCTTTGTTGGTGACACCTTCTCATGGAGTACGGTGCGAGATCTCATGTTGGGCAGTGATGTGGAAGATGATACTGGAAGCAGTGAAGGATCGTTGAGCATTATTTCAGAAGAATCGGATACATCATCACGACAAGAAGGCATTACGGTGACTTATCAACCCGCTGAACAACCAACAACAACGGCAACAACAACGGCAACTAAAAGTGGTGGCATGCGATCGGATACCAGTAGTACATTGCCTTCGCTCACTGATAATGACGAAAGTGGTACAATGACCTACTACAGCAGCAGCAGCAGCGCCACTGGTAGCAAGCAAAAATTACGTGCCTTGACAGGCGAATATCCTTCCTCCAGCTCTTCTCGTTCATCATCATCAAAAGACCCTCTCAATGGTTTACATGCTGTTCTTCAAGAAGGTTACATCATTCCTATTCAAAGCGATGAGTTCAAGTGGTGCCATGATCGATTATCACAAGCTGCCATGGAACTTGCTGATCCTGCCACACGTAGTAAAATTCATTTTCGAGTGGCTCAACGATTGATGAAAGGTATGCGGTATATATCATAAACAACAATAGTAACATCTAATCTTCTTCTTTTTATGCAGAGTCGACACCCAATCCATTCCTTATCGCTGACCATTTATTGAAATGCATGGACATTCTCAAAACAATGGACGACAACGAGCGCTATAAGAGTATCTTGGTGACGGCAGGCAACAGAGGTCGTGCTTCGGGAGCACATACCATGTCCTTCAGCTACTTTATGGGAGCCATTCGACTAAGCAAACCACAAATCGATTGGGATGATGAGCATTATACGGCAACATTGAACCTTTACACCAATGCGGTCTCGCTCAGTTGGGTGGTTGGAGAATATGACAAGACCGAGGAATTATTACATGAGATCTTTTTAAAGGCTCGCCATCCTTTGGATCGTATGACAGGCTATCGGATCAAGTCCAAGTATCTCTTCAGCATACAGCAATTCGACAAGGGCCTGGATGCATTGATAAGATGTTTGTACGATCTTACTGGCAAAGAGGTTCAGTTTAAAGCGTCCCGGGAAGAGGTGGATGAAGCCTATGATCAAGTGGACGCCCTTGTCAAAAAGATTGGCATCGACAATATATCGAATGTGGGAGCATGTGAGGATCCACTTGTAAGAGGTATCATGTGGATATTAGAGGAAGTGTAAGTAGAATGGAATCTTTGAGGGGCATTTTTATTTTCTCACACGAATACATAGATGTACCGTGGCTTATTGGATTGGGGACAAGATTACAATGTATTATTGGGCGTGTCAACTCCTCAAATTATCCATGGAGCATGGAATGTCCAATGTATCGGGTGCCGCATTCACATTTATTGGTCTCGGATACGTGGAAGTGTATCGTCGGCATAGCTATGCAGAGGTAATGATGACAAGCGATTGGGATGGTTCATGATGATGATGATGATGATCATTGACAACATTTAATGTGTGTAGAGGATAGGCTATGTGGGCATTGAAGTTGCGGATAAATACAGCACTATTTACGAGAAGGGGCGGATCTACTTTTTATATACGCTATTTCTTCTTCAATGGAAGACGCATTGCCGTGAACAGCTTGACTGGTACAACAAATCCTATCCGACATGCGTATCAGCCGGTGATCGCATTTATGCAGCTTACAGTCAGCTCCATATCGCCGTTACAAAATTCTTGTGCGGATACAACGCCGACGAGGTTGCTCCTGTTGCCGACGAATGTTACAATGAAGCACGCAGCTGGTCATCGGCATCCAACACCAATCTTATGGCATCGGGTATGGTACGCGTGGTGAAGGCATTGCAAGGACGCACCTATACCGATACCCCTCATGTCTTTGATGGCGACGATGGATTCAACGATGAGCATTTTGTCGGCGAGTGCTACAAAGAGAGTACCCATCCAAAGGTGCCCCACAGTTGGTACGCATCGTTCAAGCTCATTGCGCTAGTATTGTACGGCCATATCGATGCAGCTATTGAAACCGGCTACTTTTGCTTTGAGAATATCGACTCGCATCCTTGTCACAAGCATCTACGCGTCATGCTCTGCTATTTCTCGTTGGCCTTGGTTGCAAAGTTACGTGACGATCCTGATGATTTATCGCCCGAGCAGCGTGCAACATACCGAAAGCAGATCGAGATCAACCAACAACTCATTGATGACTGGGCGATTCATAGTCATATCAACTACCGAATGTATTGGACATTTGTGGAAGCAGAGCTTGCTGCTATGGATGATAAGAACGACCTCACTCGCACCATCGAATTATACGAAGAAGCATTGGAACAGGCACGTGAAGGCGATTGGCTTCTGGAGATCACCGTCATCAATGAATTTGCTGGTGCGGCGTATGAGCGGAAAGGCCTTCGCAATATGGCTTTTGGTTTTATCAATAAGGTAAAAAAGAGGCACTTTTGCTCTATTGTTGACATTGTCTCATACCCATCTTTGATTTAGGCTGTTGATTTGTATCAAGAACGAGGATACCATGGCAAGGTTAAGCACCTCAAAGCGAAGCATCGCAAATTGTTGGGTCGTTATGGAGACAAGCGGGACACCAGTCATGAAGCCGGCGTTCAAACAGATGCAATCCCATTTATCGGTGAACAAGCGTGGAGCACTTCATCGCATGATACACCCAATGTTGCCAACCAACCTTATACCGGGACAACCATTCCACCTGTCATGTCGGATCAAACGTTGATGACATTGGATATCGTATGTATTACATGAAGTATTTGGGACAAAAAACACTCATAATTGTGGATTAGATTGATATGACTTCCATCCTCAAGAGCTCCCATGTCATGTCCTCTGAAGTCAAGTTTGAAGGATTGTTGACATCCATGATGAACATTCTCCTTGACAGCACGGGTGCCGAATGCTGTGCCGTCATTACTGAAGCCGACAAGGAATTTGGCGTCAGCGCTTATGCCTCACAAGAAAAGGGAACGAGTACCTATGAATCGCCACGACCTATTATGGAAGAGGATGACCAGATCTCGGCACGTGTGATCCATCACACTCGGCATACCAAAGGAAGCATCTTTATCTATGATGTGGCCCAAGATCCACGTTTTGCTATTGGTCCTTGGTTTGATCGTGTTGGCCCTTGCTCCATTATTTGTATGCCCATTGTTCATAAGGGGGATCTTATGGGCTGTTTGTTCATGGAAGGTCCCGTGGGTATTTTCACTCAACGCCATATCTCCGTTCTTGCCCTCCTGTGTCAACAAATGGGTATCTCGATTGCCAATGCAAATCTCTTCAAATCATTACAAAGGTTTTCCACGGCAAATGCAAAGTACGTATGATGTATACATATGTCTTGCATAAATGTAACACAAAAAGCTGACTTTGTTGTTGCTTAGGATGGTTGAAATGCAAAAGCAGTCAATGAAGGAAATCATTCGTAGCAAGGAAGCAGCTGACAAGGCAACTCGTCTCCGTGAAATGTTTTTGGCAAACATGAGCCATGAAATACGAACACCATTTGCCAGTTTTTATGGCATGATTACATTGCTTTCAGAGACAAGGTAAGGGTTGTTGCTTCAGACAGAGAAGGCCATCAGCTCATAGCTTATTTTATAATTTCAGACTGGATGAACAGCAATACGACATGGTGATGGTGGCAAAGGAATCATGTGAAACATTGCTACGTTTGATCGATGATCTCCTCAACTTTTCCAAGCTACAAGCAGGCAAAGTGACCTTGGAACTTGCTCCTATGGTGGTGGAAGACGTTATTGCTGATGTGATTGAAATGCTTACCGGCATGGCTATGCAAAAGAGGTTGAACTTGACCCATATTATCGCCCATGACGTCCCATCAGTGATTATCTCAGATTCTAATCGACTACGACAGTGAGTTTGGTATCATTAATATGTGCATTTTACTTTTTGCTAACGAGCACTTTATTCTTGTGACTTGAAGGATCCTTATCAACCTCCTTGGCAATGCAATCAAAGTAAGTTCATAGTAGTAGCTGATACTTTAGCACAATGAAATAACCATGAGCTTCCCCATGTAGTTTACGCACGAGGGTGAAGTCGTGATCCGATGCTCGGTGGAGAACGCTAACAGCAACAGCAATGATGGCAAGCTACTATTGCGTTTCGAAGTCATTGACACGGGTATCGGCATCACCAACGAACAACAAAAAGCGTTATTTGTGCCATTCTCACAAGTGGATGGAAGTACAACGTGAGTACAATTGTGATAGATAAAGAGGCAATCACTGACAATCAGCCTCATCTGCAATAGGCGAAAATACGGTGGCACTGGATTAGGATTATCGATTTGTCTTCAGCTTGTTGATTTGATGTCTGGAAAGATTGAGCTGGACAGTGTGCCTGATCAAGGATCCAATTTTCATTTTACGATCCCCACGTCGACGAGCCCTGAAACATCAAGAATGCACGATGCAACGCTTTCCAATCTTACAAAAGAGCTGAGGAACAAACGAGTGCTAGTGACGAGTAGGCACAAATCTACGAGCGATATGATTCGGGCTATGCTTCGTGATGTCAATGTCGATTGCGTCAACAATTTGGAGGAGTTGCGAGCTCTTGATCCAACCTACTATTCGATCATCATTGTTGGCGTATTCTTTGTACAAGTGCCTGACTTTGAATTATGGATGAATATGCATGATGAATTCTTCAAGCATGTTGAATGCGTGATGGTGGTACACTATCCAAGCGGAATTTGGACCCGATTAGGAAGCAACACGACATTTGATCGATCCACTATGCTGGTGCCTTCTATGGCATCCACTTTTGCTACCGATAATCCCAGGCAACTACAACAATCACTCGACAAGGATAAAGAACTTATGGAAGCAACAGCAACTACATCAACCATTGTCACCAATCACCTCAATCAACCAGAGCTACAATGTCGTAACACAGTGTCACGCATCTCCTTACCATTCCGTCGACAACGGCTATTACAGAACCTTGTTGACACTCTACAGCAGTGCGGCAATAGAGAGGCGGCTTCACTTGCAACCTATGAAGAAACCCCATCAGCACATGCATCATCATCATCATCATCTTTTCCAGTGAAACAACCTAACAAACCTCACAGCACTCGTCCAGCTCTCCCCCTTCGAAAAACAACATCAGGCAACCTTCCAACAATATCTGAGGAGCAACGTGAGATCTTTAGCACCAAGCATATCCTTATAGCAGAAGGTACTATGTCGATGGTTTATGTTGCATGAATGATGAGAGCTGACATGATCATCATTTTCTTTATTAGATAACGCCGTAGCTCAAAAGCTATTATACAAGCAGCTGACGCGACTCTCTCTCAATGTGGAGTGTGCCAATAATGGTATGGAAGCCATTGAGACATGGAAACAGCACCCACCGGCTTATTTCACATTGGCGTTCTTTGATCATCACATGCCCAAGGTAAGAAGAACATGATACTTATTATACAATGATGGCCCCCCCACTTATTAATCACTGCTTATAGTGTGATGGTGTGCAAGCGACCAAAATTATACGAGATATGGAATCCACAGCAGACCCTCCTATTCCACGTCTTCCAATTATTGCAGTAACGGCTGATATCCAAGATTCCGCACGTCAAACATGTATGAAAGCCGGCATGGATGCGTATATGACCAAGCCTGTGAATCAGCAGAAGCTCCTAGACACACTTTTGTATTACTGTAAAAACGCACCACGGTAGAAGAAGAAAGCTTGGATCTATATTATACATCCCTCTCCTATACCATAATGTTCACCACGCTTAGACTGTAAAACAAGTTGATCAATAAAAGCTAATACAACAACATCATCCGCTGGCATTTTTATTAGCAATGACGACCGATGAGTATATGATTGAAGTTAATGAAGCAACCAACGCCATGACAAGGCAAGCGTTACCCCAAAAGGCCTCATACCGGTGTTGACTACCGATACAGCAACATGCACCCACAATCCACAAAGGTGGACAGAGCCTAACAGAGTGATCATTGTTTAGTAGCAGCTGACAATTGTTTGTGTGGATGATGAACAAGAAGGCTATTCACATACCAGCCAAAAATGAAAAACAAGGCAGCAACAGGGAATTGACGTTCAATGTCCATGGATGATAATAAGGGTGCCACTTCCTCTTGTTCAATCACAATCGTACGATAATGCGAATGCGGCGTTGATGATCGATTATCACCTCCTCCTCCTCCTCCTCCTCCTATCGGTCTACCTCTTGATGATGCTGCTGCCGCTATGCGTGTATGTAACCAAGGTAAGCTAAAGTTTGCATGTATATGGAAACGGGGTTTTCATACCAGCAACTTCAGCATAGGATGGTGGAGGATGATCATTGTCGTCATTGCTATTGTGAGAGTGTTGCTGCTTCTTTGGTGGAGGCTGTTGTTGTTGAGCTGGGCTATTTTCCATGTGCGTGAGGAAAGAGAAAAAGAATCGGGGTAGCGTGGTTGTGTTGATCCCACCACCACATTGCATAAGCCAGCAGTCGTCATTGAGTGAAACAGTAAACAAAGACAAAAAGGGCGATCCAAAAAAGCATCTTTATAAAATTATGTTTGTGATAAAATGAGGCAATATGGGATGTGATCAGACAAACAAGAATACAGCATTAAGAACAAATATAGGAGGTTATCATCTAGTGTTGTTGTCACTACTTTATAAGAGACCTCCCTCTCGCAAGTTGTTTTGGATAATGATATCGTTGACAGCAGCCATGACAAAACGTATTTGCTGTGTATCCGTGGCACATGTAAAATGAGTATAGATTTGCTTGGAATCCGATTGATTGAGCGACACGAAGCGGTTGAGAATGTAATCGCCTGCTGCTTCATAGGTCTCGGGACCATTAAAGTCGGGGAATGTCTCGGAGAGTGCTCGCTTTGGTAACTTTTCCTTGAAGATATCAATCTTATTCAAGAACAAAATGATGGATGTCTTGACAAACCAGCGTGAATTACAAATCGAATCAAACAACGTCAATGCTTCTTGCATACGATTCTACAACATAGGTGGGAGGGAGCACGTGAGACATCGGCTCATTGCATCATGATCATGATCATCATCATCAACTTACCACCGTCTCATCCTCAATAAGAACTTGATCGTATTCAGAAATAGCAACGAGAAAAATAATAGCCGTAACATTTTCAAAGCAATGGATCCATTTCTTTCGTTCGGATCGTTGTCCTCCCACGTCAAACATGCGATACGTCAAATCACCAATGTTAAATGTGGTTTCTGTAATACCGGTCGTTTTGACACGTGAGCGTAGCACATCTTGGTCGGTGGGGACATAGTTGACATCACCAATGCGATCAATCGAATCAAAATAGCTGCAACCAAACGTTAGCGTATGGCACGTTGAGTAGGGTGGATGTTGGGATATACTTGCTATTTGGCAGAATCATTGAGCTGGTATTCACGGCTTCTCTCGTACGTGCTTTGTACATTGGGATCTTTCCACAATGTCTTTACAGCTTGGGTCACCTCCATGGGGAGCGAATCACGCTCGATTTGAGAGGGTAGATCCATAACAATAGTGGCATGATGACGATTCGATGATTGAGCAAGGGCCAAGCCCATGTTGTCCATGGCATCCAGGATCACTCTCATTGATTGCACGGTGTTGGAAAAGATGATTTCCTTGAACGCCTCCCGCTCATCGTGAGAGTATCCACCATCATGGATCAATTTCATTTGTTTGAGAATGGTGGATTTGCCAGATTCACCAGCACCTGCATTTTTGAATGATGAGCCCATTGTACCATCATTTTCAAAATAAATGTATTACCCAGCAGGAGCAACTTGACTTCGTTTTGCATGGTAAGCTTATCTCGTTTGAGCTGGTTCTCGATTTCTTCGTTACGTGCCTTGCCATCGGACACCTCGTTGGATTGACAGCAGCCCATGTTGTTGGTGGTGATAATGTGTGATTTGCTTTACTGTATGGGTAGAAAGAAAAGGGAAAAGAAGATTGGTTAATATGGGATGTGCGTTCTCATAGCTTGGCTTTCTCGATTATCCTCGCTCGCCAACCTAATCACCACCTCCTCCTCCTACACGCCATCAACATATATACAACACCCCTATGTTCTTTTACCCCTGTTCTTCTCGTTCTCACTCTCTTGTCACGCAAAGCATAAAACACACACACACGCATACACACGCACACGCACACACGTAGATGCCCTATCGATGATTCTCCTTTTTTTCTTCTATAAATCAACTCCCCGTATATGAACGCCAAAGCATACATGCCAGGAACACTAATGTGGCCCATAGACTTGGTTCCGAAAATGAATGGTTTGCTTACATACAAGGAATGGATAGTATATGATCTTGCCGAACCACAAGTATGGATGATGCTGATACCGACTACGATAGACGAAAAGAAAGAAAAAAAAGCAACACGATAAAAGGATCGACAACAAGAAAGAAAAGGAATGGGTATTAGTGTTACATACGTTACATAGTCCAGGTTACCAAAAAAGCAGTGACATGTAAAGTGGAAAGAGCAAAAGAGGGGCTAAGCATAGAAAAGGGGCTGAAAAAACGGCACAAGGAGACCGGTTGATTGATGCGATACATAATAAAAAGATGTCGGTGCGCGTTTGATACATTTGCCTATTGCCTCGTTTGAACACAAGCGCTTGAACAAATTATACAATGAAATGGCAAATGTTGCATTTGCGTTGTAATGATCCATATATTGATTTACTTTTAAAAGTCATCCCTTTGCTCTATTCTACTATGGGTGTGCATGTTTTTATGTGCACGATAGATATATAGCAATGCGTGTGTGCCATGTGCTGACGTGGAGGAAGGAAGGAGGAAGGAATCATTTCAACAGGTTGCAAGATGCAAGGTAGGTTGTTTTATTGTTGACACGTTGGTGTCACCTTAACATGCCAAATCGGTGTTCTCTTCTCCTTTGATGGCTGTTTGTGCACACGCGTCTCTTTGTTCTCGGATGTTTGCGTCCATTTTTGGCGTGGCTCTTTATATATCATTATTGAGAAAAAGTGGATTGTCATGTTCATTGTATGTATGCAATGGCTGCCCTGTGAATCATTCCCCTTGCAGCAGCAGCAGCAGCAGCAGTACAGGATGCGTTGTATTGGCCCATGTTCTTTTTTGATCTTTGAAAAAGGATGCAAGCATGACGATGCTGAACAATGTGCCACGTCGACGTGCTTACAACCATCACTTTGTGCACGTTCAATGATGCACAGGTCATCAGATCCACCATTCCACGCCTTGTTTACGTTAACATAATGCTCCACAAAGTTGGTTTTTGGGATAATTGAATCAAAAGTGGCAAAGTCCATTTTATTTCGATGCAATTCACTTTACTCGATTGAGCTTAACAACCAACAACTGAAAAAGCGACCACCATGATGACGACAACATGAATGGGGTTACCGCTACATACCACGTTCTCCCTTTGTGGATGCGTGTGATGTATGATGCTCTTCATTTGTCTAATCTCAGAAGACCTAATATGATATGGATATTGTAGCATCGAGAAAGTTTGCAAGTGTAATGACCAGCAACAAGCACACATTGGTCAACCTTGCCTGTAAAGGCAAGTTGAATGCATCACCGCACCCATTTTGCAATGCCACTTTTGCTGCCGCCCGCTACTACTGCTGCTGAGGGATGCATGCATTGTTGCATGTGATAAAAAAGTCACTGCTGCTGCTACTGCTATATGCATTCACTTATAATAGATGGAGCAGCGCAGTAAGCGGATGAAAGATCTTGTCGGTGCTTTTTATTCAGGGGACCTTGTTGAAAGGTGATGATGTTGATGATGATAAAAAATAGGGGCAAGTAGGAGAAGCAGACGTCAAATCCATTACGCAGCACGACACGGCGCGGTGATAAGAGGTATAATCTTCCAAGTGGCAGTGCTTGTTGTCATGGTATGATGTTGTGGATGTATGCGATGTGATCCAATTATATGTATGTATGAGTATTCACCTTATAGCAACCCTCCACATGATGAGCAAAAAAAAAAAAACTGTCAGACCATCCATTTCAACGACAGCGCTGGAGCGTGATGTTATGCACACAAAAGAACGGATGTTGTAATAATGATTCGAGCGTGCTATGTTTGTTGTTATACAAGAATAATGCGATCTTTGGTCTTAAACTCCTCTCATTGTGATGATGGCGTCTGGACCACTTCTTTCTGTAAATGCGGTTGCTTAATGCAGGTGGTGTGGAAGCGAAAAGCGTGCATCACTTATCGGAAATGCTGGTCATTTAATGTCATGTGCCGCGGACCCACCCATAAAGGGCAGTCATTTAGGCTACACTCATAAACGAGCCTATTTCTTTCATATACGAAATGGTGGTACATAGCATCGTGTTACACAATACACCATGCCGCTTAATACCTTTTTGCAACAGCTTGTTGAGAAACGATCTAGCGTGGTGCTATGTATTACCCTATGTCATGTAGTAGAAGTAAATCGAAACATGAGCTTGCCTTAGAAAAGCGGTGGTGTCAAAGAAATGGCATGACGACATGTTTAGCCTTAAGGGGATTTCAGCTGTGTCGGAGGGCAAGCGCTTTCACTGCAGCAGTCAAGGAGCTTGGGTTAGATTGGGGGTGCAGAAAATGAGGGGGGGGGAGGGGATAACATCGCTTTGCTCAACCACACTCCACGTTCCGCGCTGCTGGCCATGACATCATGGGTCACAAATAAATTTGATTTCGTATATAAAAGGACAGGGCTTGGCCTACACAGACTTTTTTTACATACACACATTCACACATACACACACGCACACATTTATTTTATCACTTTCAAGAAATGGCATACTACTACGCAAAGGCACACATGCAACAAGCCAAGAACACTGCAGCAAGTGCAAACAACCATATTCGACGTCAATCACCTTCAGCTTCCCCATCGATGGGCGCTCACCGCACTGCTATGACCCGGGAAAACCTACTTGCTATGGCAAGAAACGAATATGCACGTCAACTATGCAAGTTCACTGAAGCACAACTTAAGCAAAGAGTGCCATCTTGCTATACCAACAGCTCCCTTCGAGCCCATATGCCTCCATCATTACTCGTTTCTGATAAGGCTTGTTCACCTTCCTCCACTGTTTCATAATGCTTTTTGCCAACTTTTTATACGCAGTCGAATGCATCAACATACACACACACACACACACTCACTCACACTCAACGTCGTCATTAGCCATCATCATTTTTATCATGTCATTTACATCTTTGATCCTCCAAACATTCACACGCATTCTCCAATCCCTGCATGTTTCCATTAGACATCGTTTGTCGTTTGTAAGATATCCCACTTTTTCTCTTTCTAGAGCACCCAATTGGAAAAACGTATATATATATAAAATCATGATTCATTTTCAAAAGGAAAAACCATTGCTGTGACTGAAACGAAAGAAAATGTTCCCACCGTTTGACCTTTGGGATACGGCATGGGTATTTGTTGTGCTCTATGCAATCGTCATTGGCGAACGCACAGAGAAAAAAAGCACAGATCAACACAAATTAAACTGAAACCGGCACAAGAAACCGAATGCAGTTGACTAGACCCAAAAAAGTAAAAAGGATGTTTCGGATCAGAATTCACCAATGGTCAAGTTAACCTAGCCGTTGTGGGATGCAGCTTCTCTTTTTTTTTTACGCCCAATCGATGGATGAGGGTGAGGGTGTGATCTTGTGGTTTGCTGGTACAACCAATTGCTATCCACCAGACGATTGATAGGATGTGAAACCAAGTGATGACGAGCTGTCAGAATGTCATCTCCGCGTGATGTTGGCTGATGTTGCTGCCTATCATTGAGTCCATGTGGTCAATCAATATTACCCAATCTACTACTTTTTCCAAATAAAAGCAAAAGACCTTGATGCGCTGATAATGAAGGGATCTTTGTTTACATACAGAAATCTACTCAATGACAAAATATGGGTTGCTGCTATGTTTATTCGGAAGAACACACCTTAAAATGCTGCTGGGCTTGTGGTCGATGTACGAAATGTTTGTGTAAGCAACTTTATGTCATATGCAATGTGGCACCTCGCATGGATGACATAAGGAGATCACATTTCACACGTGCTAAAAAAGAGAGAGAGAGGCAGGGAACAAGCGAAATAAGCCTGACATGGCGCACTTTAGCATACACACCCACAGGTGGCTATGATCCCCCAGCCAAGGATGCAAGAATCAAATGAGAAGAACGTCACTCTTACGTACAAGTCATGGAAAGTAAGTTGTAACTAGCATGAAATTGCTCATACTAGAGTTTAATGCATGATCCAGCTATCGCATAACATTTTACTTTTGTCTACGACTGTGGCAAAATAATGACCAGGAGCTGAGAGTAGTACTAACGATTTTGCTGCTGCTGCTGCTGCTGCTTAGGATTGCGTTTGGGACCATTGTGATGATGGCCATTTGCATTGTTGCCTTGATGATGATTATTGGGTCCATTGGGAGCTCGAGGACGATGGCCACCACCACCATCACGGTGATTGTTGTGATGGTCTTTGTTGAAATTGCGTCCTTTGTTGGGAGGAGGAGGATGGTGGTCACCACTTTCAGGATGAACAGCAAAAGCTGGATACGAGAGATTGATCACACTGGCATACGGCAAAGCCAATCCTCGGAAATCAGAGCAACGGCCTTCCAAGTTTTTACCACCCATAAATGTCGTATCAAAGACAACGTCGACAACCTTTTCTTGCACACCAACCACTGTACCACGGGTTGCCAAGGGAACAGCACCAGCATCAAGTGCATAAACCACACGATCACCAAGCTTGAAAGTTTGTGTATGCAATTTGGCCTCTGCATCTGCAGGCTTCAAAAGGACATTGCGTGGCACGTGACGAATCACCACCTTTTTGAATTGGAGATCCTCATACTCGTTATTGTACTGTGTAGCCAACTCTTCCACAAGCTTGACAAAGGGCTGGATAAAAAACATACATCAATCACTGTTGTTGGCATTGACAACTTCCATAACCCCCACTATATTTACCTCTTCCAATTCTTGGGTGTCCAATGGTGCTCTGGGAAGATCATCCACATTCTTTTCCTTCAACCATTGTTTCATACGCTGCACTTCCTTGGAGCCGCTTTCAGACCACACCAAATCAGCCACGGTCAGCATACCTAATCGCACAATGGTTAAATAGCATGATCTCATATACACGGCACATTTACTTACCGGAACCCTTCTTTGAATGCAACAACTCAATAAATTTGGGGAAGGCTCTCAAGTACTGACAAATCAAATCGATGGCCTTATTCGAGAACTCCCATTGACCATTGTTGTTCTTGCGTGTGTATCCAACCACCTTGAGCTGTCTTGCTTCGAATTTGAGATTCAAGCCGAGATTAATGCGCTGTAATCCCTTGTCCTGAATCGTCAATGATGATGTAATCTTGGAAAGCACCAATCCATCAATGCCGAGCGTGCTGCTGACAACGTAAGAGGGCGTGTATTGGATCGTTTCACGCTGTTTCATGGCAACTGCACGACCAAAGTTGGGCTCGTTACGCTGACGATGATCGACAGGTACAATCAATTGCACATCCACTACATCACGCTTGCCATGACCCATCACAGTGGCGAGTGTACCATACATGGCACTACCCAAGAAGAAGACCTTGCTTTGAAGTGGGTATTCTTGAGTCACTGGAGGAGGAGGCTTCTCCATGTATCGGGGATCAGGGTGTGCCACATCTGTCACGATCGTCTGCAAAGGTACGAGATCTTCCTGAGCTGGATTGATATACTCCTTAACAAGAGCACCATCCTCGGTCTTTTTCATGCCACGCAAGGTACACACATGCACACCAATCTCAGTTTTGCCGATTTCCATTCCAAATCGTTTGCTTGACATATACTCGACACGGCCAATACGCTTTCGCCAATCCTCCTTTTCAGCATCATCCAACACGTGTTCACGGATCTGCTTCTTTCGGCCACTGATCTTGATATAATACTTGGCACGCAAATCAGACACACCAATGACAACAGCTTCCTGGAGATAGGGATAATCTACAAATAGCAAGTGGTAAGCAAACAAATCTTTCTTAAGTATACGCAAAGCCAACTTACGAACAAAGATACGCTTGTATAAAAGCTTCTTGGCAATCTCCTCAATATTGACATCTTCATATTGGTTTTCAAGAGTCACAACCATGGTTTCATTCCTATCCATTAAGCATATAAGTGTTTGCCATCCAAAATACACACACCCATCAATATCCTTATGACATACTTGCTCTCTTGTTGGAAGACATTCACATTGTGGAAACGCAACTCGCCTTTATGAGGGACTGTGTCCAGCGAAGGGAAACCAGCCAATGCATCCTTGCCAAGTTGAACGCCGTCCAGCAAATGGTTTCTGAAAGAGAGACCGCCATCCAATGTTGGAAGATGGAAAACTTCTTCACGTGACATGCAATGATGGATATCAGGGAAAATGCCAGGCAAAGAGCTTGGGTAAACTGATTCCTTGGTGGCAAGTGATTCATCGAAAACAAACTTGAAAGAGTCTCCAAACTTGGCACGTTTCTTTTCCTCCTTTGAAAGTCGATGCTCATAGGTCTTCATCGCATCCAGCAATCGCTTTTCATCAATAAAGGGAATTTTGACAACCGCTTCCCAATCTTGACGCTTGCCGTTCAAATCCATATCAAAGTCACTTGGGTAGAAATCAAGAATAGGCGAAGTCGTGCTCGTCATGAGTTCCTATTAAGCAACATTAGCCGAGCTCTGGTATCCACTCTGATTACTAACCTGGTATGCACGCGGCAAAAGTTTCTTGCTCAATGTTGGCAACACGCCCATCAACTGCTCGTAGGGGCGGAAAGGTTTGCCAAGCTCAAATTTGGCATCCTGGAACTTTGTAATATTGACCAAATCCGACATCTTGGGCGCATAGTGATAAGGATAAAACCATCCCCAGGACGCAACACCGCTGTAGTAGTAGCGCAACACCCATTGAATGCCTTCAATGTACGAACGACAGATACCCTCCATTTCCTTTTCATTGTCGAAATCGATATTCATTTTTTCCTAATCAAATGCAAGTATGAGCTTGATGCGTCAAAGCAAAACATACAGCCCCATTCCTTCACTCACCTTATAGTATTCACGTTTCCATTCAGCAAAATCCGCATCAAATCGTTCCTTCTCTCGCTTATTCAGCTCTTCCTCCGTCATCATATCCTTGACGACTGTGGCATTCTCATACTTTGCCAGAACGCGATCACGTGCAGCAAGCGCCTCTTCATCAAGCTCTTCGACACTTGAAACGTCTTCCTCGCCCTCTTCGTTCTCCTCAAATTCAATATACACGTGCTTGGAATTGTCCTCGTTCGAATATTCGATAGCATAATGAAGACCAAAATCATCGGCGACATTCTCGATAAACTTGCGATCACGAGCCTTAAGGGAAGGCTTGAAATGGAGCTGACCAGGATTTGCAGGGCTGTGTTCCATAATGAATGATTTGATCTGTGCAAAGAGCTCCTTTTGCGTCTCCGTGATAGCTATTTGATAGATAACAAGCATGTCAATACACCCTTCTCTTGTAATTGATTCCATATGCTTACTTAAAGCACCCTTCTTTTTCTTTTCCAAAGCATCCAGCATCTCGCGTTCGGTTTGGCCATCTTCACGTTTGCCGGCCAAGTATAACATATCCGCACGTTCAGCTTCAAAATATTCCTTTTCAACTGCCTCGGTCAATTGATTCAGGATCTTTTGCAAACGACCAGCGTGGAGCACTCCAGCATCCTGTAGGTAACCATCCGAATCCATCAAAGTCTTTTTGTAAATGTTGAACATGAGACTGAGGGCACCATCATGGATGTGCAAGTTGGGCAAATGCGGAAGGAAATCGTTGCCAACAAAGAGGGCCAGCAAGACAAAATCATCAATGATGCGTTCCAAGTTGTATTCAAAGGGTAACGTGTCCTTGAGCGAGCTGAATTCCAGATCCAGGTATTCTCTTAGCAATGATAGGTGCATAAGATAAAAGTTTTGAGAATCCAAGCTATAATTTAACATTTAGCAAATCCTGCTTCTCTTATCACTTCCATCGCCCATCCAGTCCACTTGCCTTGACTTTCGCTTTTTGTTTTGACGACCAAATGTTACTTCTTCACGTAATAATGCGAAATGAGGATCGTGGCTCAATAGACCAAGCATGATAAGATCGGCATCCAAGCCATACAAGCAATGTCGAGTGTTGGGGTTGTAGCCAGGTTGTGCTTTTGCCAAACGAATGTATTCCATAATCTTGTGTTCGCCTTCACCAGGTACCTCGGGTCCAGAAAGTACAATTTCCACATCTCGCCAATTGGAGTCTTCGGATACCTTTTTGCTGATAAAGTATCGCAGCTGCTTGGTCAACTTGGCCATAAATTCGGTACCTATGCAACACATCATCACCCCATGTTAAAACCTTCCCTTCATCATCGATGATACACCCAACCTGCCACACTCCATCCATCCGTATCCATACCTGGCGTAATACAATTGCTATCAAAAGGTGGTTCTTCAGGCAATTCTTCACCACGATCCAATGCTTTCAATCTTGTTGCTTCGGCATCCTTGGCTGTTCTGAAACGACGAGATCGTTGCTGGTTCATCTTTGCTCTTGGCGCCACACCATCAATAGCCAAAAAGAACAACTTCTTGGGCTTGATCTTTGCAAAAACGTGATCCACATAGTTGAAGATGCCGATCCAGATCTCTTCTTCGGAAATACGGTAGTGGGCGTTGTCGTTGTTGTTGTGAGAGCAGTTGTGCACAATGCCATTCATGTCAAGATACAGGTTGTCTGTCATATACAACGTAAGTCGACGCGTATGGTACAAGAGGAGGAGGATGACCATGTCCCTTACCGAATTCAGGTATCCGATTCTGCGTAATCAGCTGCGAGCACATTGGGTACCGCTCACTATACAAGGCCATGAGTATACACACGCACATCTTGGATGTATCCTATAGCGATGCCACTTGCCTCATCCATCGAAAGAACTTTGGAATGCCCATTCTATTATATTTGTATCCGTCACACGGGTTTGGGAAAAAAGTTAAAGAGAAGAAGGCTGCGTGTATGCATTGAATCCCGCAGTTGCCTTGATACATTACGTCTTGAATCAAGTCCGCCTCCACGTCGACTTTTCCTTTGATGCATCAATAACACAGCTGCTATAGGACTTTGAGTGATTAGTATAATAGCATAATGGTATCATCATAATAACATTAAATTCAATGATCTCATCATCGAGAATGACCATTGTGTGTGTGTGTGTGTGTGAGTGTGTGCAAGGCAATACATGTACAAGTTGTACATGTTGTCGGCAACTCCTATTCCGACATTGGACCAAAGTCAAAGAATGATCATCATCATCGTGTGGGTAAAGAATGGAATGACGCTGTACAACAAAAGGAGAACCGAAATGCGCATGAACCACCCAAGTACACTGCCATCACCATCATCATCTTCCCCCACGTGAAAAGGACAATGAAATTGGTAACCTTACCCCAACCATACATCAGCCTACCAATTTTATGATGCTTTGAATATCGATTGTTGTTGAAACGAGACAAAGGTGTACCCCATTTTAGGTCACTATTTGCAGTATTCACCTTGCACGTGTCTATGTCGTTGCCGAGACGTCGGTTAGTCGAGCGGAAGTGATTACAAAATTAAGAGCTGATGCCACAATATATACTCACATGACTAGTACTCTTATACTCATAGTGCAGCATAAAAAGGTGGGGTTTTAGTACCATGCAGCACTGCTCTTTCTTCCACACACGTCTCCCTTTCCAATATGCAGTTACCCACCAGCAAATACTTTTTGTTAACAGTGCCCGAGCCCCACATCCTACTCATCACTATCAACCGTCCTAAACAACTTAACTCGCTCAACCCGGAAGCCAACCGAGAAATGGACAGCTTGCTCGACTGGGCTGAAGAAAACAATGACATTTGGTGCATTATTGTAATAGGATTGGTTATCTCCATACACCAAGCAAACTAAACGATGATGGGTGTTATGTATAATTTAGCTTACAGGTGCCGGTAATCGAGCTTTTTGCACCGGCATGGATCTTGTCAGCATGAATAGCGAGCGATCATCATCGTCGGACGATGACGGTGGTATGTCACCTGAATCCCTTTTGCCTAAAAATGGCTTTGGTGGATTGGCAAATCGTCGAGTAGCTTTGAAGCCCATTATTGCTGCAGTAGACGGATTTGCACTTGGTATGTATGATGCATGATCATTGTATAAGCACGTTGTTTTATTTGACGTAGCATGAGGCTCACCATTTTTTGATCATATTAGGAGGTGGCACGGAATTAACTTTGGCATGCAACATTGTGGTGGCTACCAAAAAATCCATTTTTGGATTACCAGAAGGTACGAAGAGGGCTATTTCTACATAATGTACATGCATGAAGGCTTAGTGTATTCGATGTTGAATATAGCCAAGCAAGGTGTTGTTGTTGCTGGAGGTGCATTGGCACGTTTGGCACGTGCTGTCAGTTACCAAGTCGCTAGCGAAATCACGCTCACGGGTCGCCAATACAGTGCTGAGGAATTCAAAAACTATGGCCTTGTTAATCAAGTCGTGGATGACAACGTGGTAGAAGCCGCTATGGTTTGGGCACGTAAGATTGTGGCAAAGTAAGTGTGATTTCAATGCATGATAGGAATGTCAAGCTGACAATCAAGAATAGCTCCCCAGATGCTCTGTTCGTCACCAAATACGGCATCATGCTTGCATTGGATCAAGGGTCTCTTGTTGGAGCAACAAGCAAATGGTTGGCTTCCGAAGAGGCTGCTGCATGGCGTAATGGAGATAATCTTAGTGAAGGCCTGGCTGCCTTTGCTACAAAAAGAAAACCTGTGTGGAGCAATCCCACTCTTGGAAGAAAAAGTCGTTTGTAGATAGCCCATCTTCTTCAATCAGCTTAGCCTGCTAATAAGTAAATGATGATCATTTTATTTCGCTGTGAAGAAGACATATTGTTTATAGAAGGCGATGTGAAAAATCTATCAATGGTCACATGGATCGATATCGTGCATAGGTGGCAGTGGTATAAATGGGGGAGAGGCATATGTCAAAAGGATGTGAGCGTGTATCAAAGCGTCAAAGCGGAGTCGGCGGGACTGGTTCATTCAAACGTCTGGTGAAAAAATATTCTTGCACCAAGAGTCAAAAGGGCGATATCCTCTCTCAGAGCCAACACTCACTCATACACGGATCTCTCCCGACACCATGGCGACCCAACATGACTTGACCATGCGCATGATCCCGTTCCTTGATCGGCATCTCGTCTTTCCTTTGCTCGAATTCTTGGAATTGAAGGAGGTACATTGGACACCCAACCCACCAACAGTAGCCATGCACGCACGACCTTGCTAAACTCTTATTACGATCGATACAGCTTTACAACTCGGATGACCTTCTCAAAGCCAAGTATGAACTTTTCCGCAGCTCCAACATGGCCGATTTCATTTTGGACTTGCACCAAAAGATCAACAAGACTTCTGAAGTCCCTAAGGGTATGTAGGCTTTTTGTGCACGTACACACGCACGTGTATTGACGACGCTATAGACATCTCCGAGAAGCGTCAACAAGTCCTCTCCAAGATGGAATCCCTTCAAGCTCAAGTACAAAAGGTCATGGAAGTCCTTGAAAAGCCAGAGGTGATTGCTATGTTGCGTCAGGATAAGGCTCAGAGCTTGCAAACCTTGAAGGATGAATACAACGTAAGCGATCAAACATGTTGTCATGGATACACATGCACGTACTAATAGAAAGAGAACATTTAGTTTACCGAAGAAAAGATCGATCTCTTGTATGAGTTTGGCCAATTCGAATTCGACTGTGGTAGCTATGGTGGTGCAGCTGATATGCTCTATCATTTCCGCGTCTTGGTATGTTTTGGTTATAGGCCAAGTGAATGGAGAGAGTACTCATTCCCCCTATGAAATAGTCTTCGAATGATGAAAAGTGTTTCTCTGCCTTGTGGGGTAAGATGGCTGCTGAGATCCTTACCGGTAACTGGGAAGGTGCTTTGGAAGAGATGCAAAAGTTGCGTGAAGTGATTGATCACAAGGTAAGAGAGGGATAGAGATAGGAGAAGAGAGATACGGCTAGATCGACGTTGTTAATGTATGCCATTATAGAGCACGATCAGCCCTCTTCAACAACTTCAACAACGCACTTGGCTCATTCACTGGTCACTTTTCATTGTCTTCAACCATCCTCGTGGTCGTGACAGCATCATTGATATGTTCTTTGCTCCTCAATACATTAACACCATCCAAACCTCTTGCCCTTGGGTGCTCCGTTACCTCGCCGCTGCTGTTGTGACCAGCAAACGTAGAAAGCACCAAATGAAGGAATTGGTCAAGATCATTGAGCAAGAGTCTTATGAATACCGGGATCCTGTCACCGAATTCGTTGAAGCTTTGTTTGTCCGATTTGACTTTGATGGTGCTCAAAAGAAGCTCAAGGAATGTGAAGAAGTGATTGCCAATGACTTTTTCTTGGGTCCTATTCAAGATGATTTCATGGAGAATGCTCGTCAATTCATTTCTGAAACCTACTGCCGTATTCATCAAAAGATCAACATCAAGGAAATGACTCAGACTCTCAATCTTGGTCAAGAAGAAGGTGAAAAGTGGATCGCCAACTTGATTCGAGACACCCGAGTAGACGCAAAGATTGATTTTGAAGAGGTAAATCATCGCATTGGTTTCATCATTTTGAGGTTTCTGATGACTCATGCATTTTTTTATAGAACACCGTCATCATGAACACTCCTGTCACTTCTATATATCAACAAGTCATTGAGCGTGCCAAGGGCCTTAACTTCCGGTCTGGTGTACTGACCACTGCCATCAAGCGACGAGAAGCTCAAGCTGCTTCCAAGGAAGTGACCGCCTAGATCCCTTCGCATTGTTACTATAGTCCATCATTTTTCTTATTGTCCTGATTCTTTTTTCTTCTCTCTCTTTTCCCTTGCCTCAAATCACTTTTTGTGTCCCAATCAAAATGAAAAATCATGCAAGCAAGCTTTCGCCTAATCATTATCCGGAAGATGAATGAAGTAACAAATCAAGTAATTTTCAATGTGGGGAAAGAAGCACGCAAATCGTGACATCATGTGGAGTTTCGAGAGAATTTCCAAAGAACTCAAAATTGAAACCAGCAACTGCATGAACTCTCAATCCTCTTGTGGGACATGTGATTTCCACGCACGAGCTGCCCCATCAAATACGTATCATTTAGCTGAACACACATGCCACTATAAAAAGATAATTCCATCACGTGAATGAATGCATGGTATTGGAAGAGTGATGATAGGATCAACATGCAAGTTAAAAGCACATGCCACCCACAAGAAACATATATCGGTGTATCTCTCATCCACCTTGTTCCGCCGCTCAGATCGCCCCATCCCAATAAATACCCAACACCCCGCAATCTTTTTCATGATCCTCCATTCTATTCATTTTCACACAAACGTATTCAATATGGCAGACACTGCTTCAAAACCTCGAAGAAGATCATGGTTCCAAAAGAATGGCGGATTCACATCCTTTTTCATGACCGGAGGAGGTGGATCAAATCATAGTAATAGTCCTCCTTCCACGACACAACAAGCACAACAACCCACATCACTCCCTTCTCCACCATCACGATCTCGTTCATTGGACATGGAGAATGACAATGGACCTGTCAAGTCGACATTAGCATCACGTATATCCAAGGCAGCCAAACGTGGTCTCAAGAGAATACCTACCAGTGTTGATCTACGACGCTTGGACGACACTTCAGACTCATCCAGCAGTAATAAACGTAGCAAGGTGATCCCATTCACAGCACCATCCACACCACCCTCCGAAGAAGATAAAGTCCTCGACGCTATCGATGCCACATTCATTGCATCCGATGAAGCTGAAGCTGATAGAATACAATTCAAAAGTGATTTGATCCGCCTTGCATTTGATGGGTAAATGCATTGTTTATGCAACAAAGAGGACATGTAGACTCATTGTCTTTAAACTATGTAGGGAGTTCTCCATACCATTTGACCTTCAAGAACTCCATGGTGGCAAATTACTCGATATCGGTTGTGGTCCTGGTTGCTATTGCCTGGAAATGGCTCAACGTTATCCCAATGTGGATGTTTACGGCATTGATATCGTGGATCATTTCCCACTCAGCCCACTCCCAACAAATTGCACGTTCCTTGTCATTAATGCGCTCGACGACCAATTCCTGTTTGACCACTTTGATCAAGAAAGCATTGACTTTATCCATATTCGGTTCATGTGCTTGAGTTTCACCAAGGAGCAATACATGCGGGTGGTCAACAACTGCTGGAAATTATTGAAGCCTGGCGGCTATCTAGAACTCATGGAGATGGACTTTATGATTTATTCACCAGGACCTACCACTGAAGAAATGAATCATGACAGTAAGTACTCTTTGTGATCTACAATTTCATTGTCTTGTTTGTTCACCATGGCGCTATTATTATTATTGTAGTGCTTGCAGCGGCAAGAAACCGTGGATTGAAACCTCGTATGGCACGTCACCTTTGGTCATTGTTTCCCAAGGATGCCATTTGCAGCGTGGAAAAATATCGTTCACTTCCACTAGGCCTATGGGGTGGAAGATTAGGCGTCATGTCTCGCGATGATATCTTCAACATCATGGAGAATTGCCAAGGATCTGTCAATGATTACAAAGCGGCAAATCATTTACCGAATCGAATGACTGCCCACGCCTTTGAAATGCAAACCCAAATCATGGCAAAAGAGTTTGAGGAACACCATAGCTACATCAACTTTTATTTCACCGTCGGACAAAAGCCTTCAACATCCTCCTAGTAATCCCTGGCCAACATCAGTCATTATACATAGTTTCCCTCTATTTGTATTTACAAAATGTATATAATTCGTCTTGCATGTACTTTAAATCCATAACCCAGCACCTTTGCTTCTTTAATATTATACAATACATACTTATCATCAAACTACGCAAAGTTCCAAGCATGGCATTGGGATGACCAGGTTGGTGATGGTGGAGTTACAGTATCGTTTTCGGTCATGGAATTTGTATTAAACGAATGTATGGGATTTAAGAGGTGAAAGTATATTGTTGATGGAACCAGCATTTCAGTTGCACATCCCGTTTGTGCATTCAAGCCTAGGAGTAAAGCCTGAGGACGCCTATAAGCATCTACCTTGGCACGTGCTTGCTGGTTGCAATTTGACAGGTTGTTTCTCGTAAGTATTCAATACCGAAGATATTCTATCAAGGTATACTGTGTGTATGGTTGCGTATCACATTTGAATGTAGGGGGCAGAGCTGCATAAGTCAATTTATGGATAAACCCATTTAATTTCAATGTCCACTGCGCACGGACGTCTCACGTTCTATTAACCTCAGCTCACTCTTTACTTTATCAGAAGGACATCCATTTCTTACAAGACCAATAACGGAACCATTTTTATTATTGCGTCATCTAAGCTATAATCCACAAGCAACAAGGAGAGAGAAGTACGTTGGGTAAGTCAAAGTGAATAAGCAACAATGCTTCTAGTAGAAAACAATGGGATCTTGCATGCTTCCTTTGAATGTCAACGAGGTATGAATCATCATCTTGCCAAGAAAAGGTGAAGCCACGCTTGTCTATGCCATTATCGCTCTGGATCTCGTTATATAGCTGTTGTCGTCCTCTCTATAAATAAAAGAATGCCAATCCTGCAGGTAGATAAATCACCCTTACTTACTCTACCCAAACTTGCCTTTTTCACCGCCTGCGTGTTACACGACTCCTCCTCATCCCCATAATGCACAATGGTCAATGGAATATAAATGATAAGGTGGCAAATTAGCTTCCATGGAAACCCATGTACTGACAAGGATGGCCACGCGAAGGCTTTGCCGTCACCCTCTCCCCTACGGTGCACCAAGCCGGATAACGGGGGCTGCTATTGCATCTTCTATAGGTGCTGCTCGAGCCAACATGTTCAGTCTGATAAAAGGACAAAATAGCATCCCACGCCCACAGAGGCCGACCCATAAGAGCAAAAAGCAATACATGATCCCATATCTACCACAAGGCCACTGAGTAACAGTCTAACTTCCAACGGCTAAGGCAGCAATCATCAAATGCAATTGATAGGGCCAAGATAGGGCTGACCACACTGTCGCATGTAAATCATAGCTGCCAACGATGCTTTACACAAAAGAGCAAGGCACCATCCCGTTCTACCCATAGCAAATAAACATCCGCCATATCAGTAGTTGCTGCCATCAAGCGACCTTTTTAGGTTGGCGTCATCAGAGACACATCATGCACTGCAACAAATAAATCGGTCTTGATGAAAAGCATACGCGAGAAATAAAGAACGTCAAGGTATCTTCAAAGTAGCGAAGATGAGATCCGCCATGGCACCGATAAAAACATTGCTCTGAAGATCCACCGATAAAGAGACGGCTTGCAGATGCTGATTTCCAAAACTATGGAAACGGTATCCTTGACAACCACAACTATAAGATAGAGATCGCTTGCTTGCTTCTGAGACACTTTTTAAATTCAAAATGTTCCAGTCTTCGTCTTCCAATTCAATAGGGTTCGCCATTGACAACTGCAAGGAGAGGAACTTTGATGGCACCAAAGAGCATGCAAAATTATAGCTTGATGGAATGATGGGCCTATAAAACTGCATATCACTAATGTATCTTTGAGGTAATGGTAACAATACTTAGCCAGTGTCGTATGAGAATCCACGATACTTGATGCCACCAGTAATCGAACACATTTCCTTGCTAGAGATGTCGACACAGTGACCAATTCTGATAGCCGTTTCTCCAAGCTGATACTTGATGATGAATGCCATGAGAGATGGATACACCTTGACAGCACCAAAAGAAGACGTAACATTGTTGTTTGTTGCTGATCTGATACATCCATAAGATACGTGCGGTGAGGACTGTGAAATCGATTGGCCAACCAACGAGAACACCAAGGATCAAGTAAATGTTGTTGACACTAAAGATGTGGGCTCTGTTGCTCATTGCTGCTTCTTGCTTGTAGCTGATATGATCCACCGATAACAGGCATGCGTAGCAGGATATCCATTGAAAGGGTTGTCAGCAACTAGGACTACATCACCCAAAAGGTATAGAACTTGTTGCCTTGTACTTCACGGATGCAAATAAAAGGAAGTGTCCAATAGGTGGTACAGTAATGAAAACCATCGAGCGATGTAATAAGGCAAGCTGACACTGAAGGATGCTGTCGACGTTGCTCGCTTTGACCCTGACATGATTCACCTTTAAAAAAGATGCACGGTAAACAGTTTCCCGAATCCATAGAACGATACTTACCAATGACAGCTTCATCCATGAAAATTCCAAAGGACCAAAATACAAGTAGTTTGCTGAATAGCACACATGCTATAATGAGGGTTGGGATTGGAGCCAAAAAACGAGGTGACCCACTATTTACCAATGAAAGCCATATGAATAAACCCCTGTCGACATCCAATGATAGCTGCATCCATCAAGAATCCAAAGGGAACAAGACAAGTAGCTCGCTGAATAACCCACATGAAAGAGGGTGTTAGTAAGCATTGAAAGAAAGAATTGATCATTATTTACCAATGACGCTTCCATCCATAGAAATCCCAATGCACCAGAAGACAAGTAGCTTGCTGAATAGTCTGCATACTATAATAAAGAGGGGGTTAGCAGGCGTTGAAGAAGAGAACGGATCACTATTTACCAATGATAGCCATGCACGTCAACATGTTGGCATCAATGACAGCTGCATCCATGGCAATCCCAATGCACCAGAAGACATGCAGCTTGGTGAATATCGCACATACTATAATAATAGAAGAGGTGGTTGATTGGGATTGGAGCCAAAACACGGGTCATCCATTATTTACCAATGATAGCCATACGCACGAAAACATGTCGACATTCAATGACAGCTTCATCATGAAAATCCCAAAGAACCAGAAGACAAATAGCTTGCTGAATAGTCCGCACACTATAATAAAAGAGGATGTTGGTTGGGATTTAAGAGGCCAAAAAACGGATCATCCTCTATTTACCAGCTGTTGCCCATATGCACGAAATCCTGCTGATATCCAAATCAAGCCGATTCTTTGCAATCGTCCGCTTGTTGATAAGACCTTCCGCTACGGTGGCGCTCGGCGAAAGCGATGGGCCGACCTTTATGGGCATATGCAGTAGAGAAGATTGAGTATCAATTACCCGCAAAGAGAGCATACTTACATGAGGCCGAAGAGCCCTTACAAGAGACAACGAGACAATCCTTGCTGCCCAAGACCACATGCAAATCGAGAAAGCATTGTGCATCGAAAGCCCAAACTAGATCCTAGCTGCGGAGTGACGTACATATGGCTAAAGAGCGATGTGAATGGCAATCGTTTTTCATTGGAAATCGAATGCAGCTTGACGATGAATGCCTTGAGGAGATGCATAAATGACCTTGGTAACACCAAAGATGTCAACGCGGACTCTCATTGCTTGTTGATGACATTATCCATCCATAAGATGCGTATAGTTGTAGAGATCCATCAAAGGAATTGCCATTAATCAGAACCACGAGATGATCGAAAGCTTGCTGACGCCAAGGTATAAACCTGCTCCTTGTTCCTGACATGATCGATCGATAAAGGACCTTTGTTTCAGGAGGTTCACCAAATTGTAGGTAATGAAGCACCAGATGGATGATGGGATGAGGGTTGATATGGCACCAAAGATATGCATGCTGTTGTTTGTTGCTGATACAATCCACTCACAAGAGACTTGCATTGGCGGACACTCTTCAGAGAAATCGCCCGTTGCTTGGTAACCAACCACCCGAGACGCAATAAAGGTTGACACCACCGAAAGATATAAACGCTTCCCCATGACTGACATGATTCACCTATAAAAGATGCACCATAAACGATTGTCCCAACTCATCCAACAATACTTAGCAATTCATAGCTGTGATCTTGTAAACTCCAAAGCACCAAAAGACCAAAGCGGCTCTCTGCTATGGTCCCTCCTAAATAATGGTAGGCGTTTCAGAAAAGGTCTCCAAAAGCATGAGTAATCGTACATACCTGAATCACGCAATCATCACCCGCAGACTTGGGAACCAAATAGGCCATCAGGATGTAAAGTAATAATAAAAGCGCACAGCCAAAGAAACGTCTAGTACCGGTACTCTCCTGTGGATCGACGCGATGAAGTGCATCAATAGAGATACCATCTTCTCTCTAAAGGCAAGGAGATCAATAGCCGTAAAACGATGGAGCCGTGCAGACAGAGGATGCATTTTTAAATCCTGAGGCCGCAACATGAGTCGCACTGTCCCCGGGCACAACATGTAGAGCTCCACAGGAAAGTGTAGTACAATGACGTCTTGACGTGCAGCCTTGATAATAATAGTATCGCCGAAAGAGGCTCTGCCACTGTATGGCGTTTGGTAAGTCCACTTGAATCCAGCCAATCCCACAATGAACACTCTTACCTTGTGGTATTTCTCAATAGCATCAATGCGCCAAAATAAACCCGTATCTCCATGCCATCCATGTTGTCTTGCTGCTGTTTCACTGTAAGGTTCGTTAATTCACGGTTTCGCTTTGTAGATCCAATACCATGCATACCATTGAGCCAACCATACAGCATTCTTGCTTTGAATCCGTATCTTGTTGCTGCCAGAAGTACCATCATCCAACATGTTCAACCTACCATAAACGCAATGTGAGATAAGAAGCAAACCCAATCCACACGCTTTTGTTGTCAACATACCCAAAAGAGGCAATGTGAACCTCTTGAGAACTCTCATTGTGGACAACTCGGAAAGGAAGACACACGACGCCGTGAACCATGGTGATCACAAGGAATTGCAACCAAATACACCATCCGAAGGCAATACAATAATCAACCTGCAGCGCCAAGGTATGCCACCATATGTACTATACTCTCATTGGATCCTGAAATTGGCATCATAAGAGATATCCACCTTCTCTGTAGGCAAGGAAATCAATAGCCGTACTTGGATGGGAGGCCGTGTGCACAGCGGATGCCTTTTCAAATTGGCCTTGCCATCGCATCTTGAGTCACTGTTTCCGGGCCAAAATTCCCCAGGAGAGCATAGTACTATACAATGACGTCCTCGACGTGCAGCCTTGATAATAATAGTATCGCCGAAGAGGCTCTGCCACTGTATGGCGTTTGGTAAGTCCACTTGAATCCAACCAATCCCATCATAATGAACACTCTTACCTTGTGGTGTTTCTCAATAGCATCTTTGCCTCAAATGGAAACCGTATCTTCTTGCCATCAGTAGGTGCT